CTGATTTCATGGTAACAGGTGTCACAACTCTTAACATGTTTTGAATGTTGAGACTTGTTTAAATGAAATAATCACCCGAAGAACAAATTTACCTAAATTTGTGTATAGCGGTAATTGGTTGGGGTAACAATTTACTTAATTTTATTGTTCATTTTGAAAAATGTAATGGAGTTTATCATACTACTGTGTTGCACCCACCTGACTAGATGGGTGAAATTCTCTTACATCGAATTCCATCTGTCAGGGGTTTTGTTAAGTGCACGCCAACCTGTACATGGGACTTCGGTTTTTTGTCCCATCCGAACTGCTAGACACCTGCCAAACCCTCCGTCCTTACACCGCTGACAAGGGGAAACCACGCTGGAAAGTCTAGGGAAACTTTCTCGGTCACCACCGGAGGCCAGCGCCTACTCACTGAACCATCGCTGCATTCGCACGGGAAGGGCGACGGGGGGCAAATGACACATTCTTTGTTATAGAAATTAACCCTTTTTAAAAGTTCACCCACTGTACCCATGCGCCCCACCCCCACCACACCCATGCGCCCCACTATCCAAACCCTACTCCTACATCCTAGAAATTTTGAAACCAATTTTACACGCAAATGCTTTAAATAAAAAAAAATAAAAAAACCCCAAACAAACCAGAAATACTATAAGAATTTAATAATTAATTGGATGATTGAAGAACAAAAGAGGATATTATTTAGTGTAGAATTTATTTCTTGATTTCAGTCCAACTAACAACAAAACAATAATATCTAACACGAGGAAAGGATCGAGAATTTCTTTATTCTAAATAATCAAATTTAATTTCCTTCTTCTGCAGGTTTTCATATCTGTCTGGTTTTATTGATATTAATACAACACACGGATTAACTGCCATTTTGTCGCTTGTTATAATGTTAATTTAATCAATGGATTTATTTAATTGTGTCAACTAGTAATTTGTTAATCGGGAAATCTCGTATTTCCGCGACTACAATTTTTTTTTTCTTTCGCATGTTACATTTGAATTATATTCTGGAATTATTTACTTAGGTTAAAACATGAGTAGAGAGAGAGAGAGAGAGAGAGAGAAATGGGGTTTAACGTCCACTCGACACAGAGTAGGTCATTTCGGGACTAACATATGTTTTTTAATTTTATTTCAATAATTCGCTTGCGCGTAGGGGTCTTTAGCAGTATGGAGGAAACCGCAGGATCCAGAGAAAACCCACGAAGTTGGACAGGCGACCCTACTCCTTGTCACGTACAACCGGGGATTCGAAACTACGCCAGTTGACTCAGTGATAGGCCTTATGATACAGCGCGCACGTGCTAACCACTCGGCCACCCAACTCCCCAAAACATGAATAACAGTTACATGAATACGAGTTTCGGACGATACGCCAACATATGGTTCAATTATATTTCAACAGTTCGCGTGGGCGTAGAGGTCTGTAGCAGAGAAAAACAGAAGGATCCGAGGGAAAACCCACGAGGTTAGGCAGGCGAATTGTAACCGGCACCTGATATTTCTTAATTTCCTTTGTAGTTCACGTTCTGGACTCATTAACCCCAGAGAACTCGGGTATATCTACTATCTAAATGTCGTGTACTCTAGGACCCAACCCACGACTTGCATCCGTAGCATAGCGTCATTGACCATGTGATCAGTCAATAAAATAAGTTTGCTGTGTCGATTTGTTGACCGTATAACAAGGAACTAATATTAGCATCTGGTGACTGGATATAATGATGGACTAATACCAGTATCTAGTGACTGGATGAAATCATCAGAGGTTTTTACTCTATCGACTGTTGAACGAAGCGAGATAATTCAATTAATTAAGATATCATCATTCCTTTATTACCGTCAATCATTTCATCATGTATATCAAATCATAAAAATTAATAAATCGCTGGGCTGCACTTTATTTGTTCAACTTGGTGCGCAAAAGTACGATGTTAAACCCCATTCCATTTCAATTTCTTTTTCCCCCGTGGATGGCCGAATAGTTAGCACGTTAGCGCTGTATCATAAGGGTCTGTCATTGAGTCAACTGGTTGGGTTTCAATTCCCCGGCTGTACGTGACAAGGAGTAGGGTCGCCTGTCCAACCTCGTGGGTTTTCTCCGGGTCCCCCGGGTTCCCCCCCCCCCACTGCTAAAGACCTCTACGCGCAAGCGAATTAATGAAATAAAATTGAACCATGTGTTAGACCCCATCTCTCTCTCTCTCCCTCTCTCTCCCCTCCCCCACACACATCTAACTAAACGTTATGCATGCTCGTAAGACGATAAAAAGATGAGCTAACTTCGACCATGCCAGAGAGTAATTAATTTCAAACATTCCAAATAGACCCCATCTCTCTCTCTCTCCCCCCCCCCCCCCCACACACATCTAACTAAACGTTATGCATGCTCGTAAGACGATAAAAAGATGAGCTAACTTCGACCATGCCAAAGAGTAATTAATTTCAAACATTCCAAATAAACGATAAATAAGGGAGGGGTGGGATGGGTGGTCTGGTGTCACTTGTTAAATAATACAACCCAAAAGGTCACCGACCTCCTACTTATGTTTATAAATATAAATTAACTCTTACTGGAATCGGGTTTAACATCTTGACTAACATTTAATAATATCCATTTCACATCCCAACATCTAGACACAATCTTCACATCCCAACATCTAGACACAATCTTCACATCCCAACATCTAGACACAATCTTCACATCCCAACATCTAGACACAATCTTCACGTCCCAACATCTAGACACAATCTTCACATCCCAACCTCTAGACACAATCTTCACGTCCCAACATCTAGGCATCCATTTCACATCCCAACATCTAGACACAATCTTCACATCCCAACATCTAGGCATCCATTTCACATCCCAACATCTAGACACAATCTTCACATCCCAATATCTAGGCATCCATTTCACATCCCAACATCTAGACACAATCTTCACATCCCAATATCTAGGCATCCATTTCACATCCCAACATCTAGACACAATCTTCACGTCCCAATATGTAGGCATCCATTTCACATCCCAACATCTAGACACAATCTTCACGTCCGAACATCTAGGCATCCATTTCACATCCCAACATCTAGACACAATCTTCACGTCCGAACATCTTGGCATACATTTCACGTCCGAACATCGAGAGAGAGAGAGAGAGAGAGAGAGAGAGATGGGGTAACATCCACTCGACACAAACTAGGACATTTTGGGACTAGGATCTCTGCTATAAATTACAGTGTAATAAAAGAACGTCTTTGTTTATAAGCGAAGATAATACATAAACACAAAATAAACCGCGGAAAATGTTTTCAAACATTCCAATTAAAGCCGTCGGCTCGAACTTTGAAACGTTCGTTCCAACTAGCGGTTGTATGACAATCGAGACTATAGACGTCTGATTGACAAGCTGTTTCTGTATTAGTCTCGTGTAATCAGCCGTGCTTTCTATTGACTTGTGTTATTGGCTTGTGTCGAGCATATGCTGAAGTCATGAATATAATCATGTTAAATCCATCTTAAGCCGATTGACAAATAATATTCCTTTCTTTTCAATTTTCCCTCTTTATGTTCATTTTTATTAAAACTTAGCGAGAGAGATCGTTCTCTGATAGGCTGACGATTGTCATTCATATCTTTATTTGATAAAGTTCTGTCGTATCGCTTGGACGGTTCTATCCACGGCACCGTCTCAAGACAAGGAAGTGATACGGAAAGGTTCTATCCACGACAAGGAGGCGATACGGGACGGTTCTATCCACGGCACCGTCTCATGACAAGGAAGTGACACGGGAAGGTTCTATCCACGACAAGGAGGCGATACGGGACGGTTCTATCCACGGCACCGTCTCAAGACAAGGAAGTGACACGGAAGGTTCTATCCGCGACAAGGAAGCGACACGGGACGGTTCTATCCGCGACAAGGAAGCGACACGGGACGGTTCTATCCGCGACAAGGAAGCGACACGGGACGGTTCTATCCGCGACAAGGAAGCGACACAGGAAGGTTCTATCCACGACAAGGAAGTGATAAAGGAAAGATTCTATCCACGGCACCGTCTCAAGTCAAGGGAGAGACAAAAGACGATTTTATTAATATTGAAACTTTTTGGAGAATCGAGATAATCTGCCAGTTTTACCTTTAAACAAAAACATTTTATTTAAATGGTTGTTTATAATTACGGTTAATACAAATTGTGGAAATAAATTTATTGTTTGATTCTAGTGATTAACTACACGTGTTCATGCACGTACTTGTAGGCGTGACGAGAATAATTTTAAAATTCTCTAAAAGTGGAATAATATATGGAATATTTATCATGATTTTAGAAAACCCAGAAAGACAAATAAAGCAGCAACAGTGATACCAATAATTATTATTCCTGGAAGTTGGACGGACGTTTTACAATTCCTTACAGGCATATTTCTATTTGGTTAAAAGGTGAATTAATAAGATAAAAGCGAAATTAAACTATTATATTTTAAAAACAAAGTGAAATATCGGATAAATAATATAAACACGGAACTGAACAATTTACATTTCAGAACAAAAGTGAATTAATAGCCACAAGGGACGCGAAAGAATTTTGTGATTTCGAACATTAACAATTCGTTTGAGAACAAACGGATACCAATTCAGTGAATGAAATTTTCATATGTAGTTTATAGAACTTGATAAAACTACAGAGGAACCAACAATTCGTTTCAGACGGATACCAATTCTGCGAGTTGAATTTCTGAAATCTATTTTAAATAAATTGAGTGAATGGAACAACAATATTTAATGGATCATCTTAAAGTGGTTTATTAAATCTTTTTTTAAAGTTTGAAATAAACCATCCGAAATTGATCATTTACTAACAAAAAAAAGGATAGAAGTTCAAAGACATTTTAATAATCAGACATCCAACAAAATATGTCTGAATATAATAATAGGGATTAAATATGTTTTTTTTTATCGAACAAACTGTAGAAAGCCAATGTTTCACAATTAATGAACAAACGACCAAACACTCCGTTAATGAAGACCATTAAGGAATCGAAATCATTATAAACTTACAGAAAACCGCATCGATTAGCGGTCAATCCTAAGATTGCGTGCTTGAGGTGTTTTGATAAAATCCCATATCAACGATTTCATCAATCTTGTTATTAGTCGTCAATTATTCTCATATTCAGAACAACAGATTTTATTCAATTAATAAGATCAATGGATTGAAGGCGGTTTCACTCAGGAAGGATAGAAATAAATAGAAACTTATTTATCTGGCGGTTTTCATTTAGTATTTTTACTGTCAAGGTTACGTCAAGGTTGTTAGATTTTTCAATCAAGATCTGACAAAAAAAAAATCAACGTAGATTTTTTTTATTTCAATCGGACATTTCAAGATAAAAAAAACCCAAGAATGGAAAAGAAAGAGTCTGTAACGACAGAAGAGAAATTGGGTTTACCCGGATATCAAAACGAATCTTTGTCCGATGTTTCCGACTCCGACTCCGATTCCGAATCAAGAAGTGGTATACTCGAAAATTCAGACACTGAAACCAAAGGGCAAAATGGATTTATGAAACATAATGCTGAAAAACAAAATTCAAATTTCAAAAATCCGAAAGACAGCGATGATTTCGCGGATAGACCAATGGAACGGGGACAGCAACCACCCCGTCCATCGTTTTTAATTACAGATATTTTATCTAGAGTTTCCACTTCGAGATCTGTAGTCAATCCGTGTTATTTAAGAAGTGACAGTACTGACGAGTTATCCCCCGTTCCTTATGTTGACATGACTAATAATTCTAACCAATGGGAGAATACGTCTAGTTGTGAGGATGGAACAAAAATTAAAGGTAATAATTCTTATGTAAATCAGTTAGAGATACATTATGTAAGATTTAGATCTCGCTATAATTGTTTAAAGATACATTATGTAAGATTAGATAAAGGACTGGTCGTTCGTGCTATAATAGTGTTAAGATGCATTATGTATAATAGTTTAAAGATAGGCTACATTATGTAAGATTTAGATAAAGAGCTGGTCGTTCTCGCTATAATAGTTTAAAGATACATTATGTATAATAGTTTAAAGATAGGATACATTATGTAAGATTTAGATAAAGAGCTGGTCGTTCTATCTATAAAAGTTCGAAAATAGATAATGAAAAATTAATATATTGAAAATTCCATTCAAATTACTTTTTTCAGAGCGACGTTCACTGTTTGGAGTTTTGTCATAGATTGTTATCGCGGCAAAGTTACTTTTTAATCGAGACTCAGCCTAGCTTCTACATTTTTAAATTAAATCATTAAATGGCTATCGTATTTTAATCCGTTTAAACTCCCGCCACTCCTAAGGAGTGGATTGTGGGCGTAAATAAATGTCTAAATAACAAAATTATATAATATTTTAAGCCTTAATAAAGACCAGTCCCCGGTTACACAAAGCATTCTCAGGCTTAAGTTAAGAATTTACTCAACTTTCAATCACTGTTTATGAGAAATATCTTTGATCCAGAAACACACAAATCTGCACATAGTTTCTTATTGATGTATTTGATACATTAAAACGATAAAAAGAATCATGAAGGGCTGTATTTTAGTTAAAATAAGGCAAACAATTTTAAGTAAATTCTTGAGACTAAGAATGTTTTGTGAAACCGGGGCATGTACCTAAATAGGCAGATGTAACTCTTACATATGGCATCCTTGAATAAACCGGTCTGTAGACCTACTTAGGGCTGGATATGCACGGGCTTAGCTTAGGACATCAGGGAAAGAGATGGCACCACACAAATTTGACATTGCCGGATTTACCATGAATTACCATACGTTGACAAATTACAGATAGCCTGATTCACGAAAAGCGCTTCTGTTAAAGTAGATTAAAAATCCCAACAGAATGAATGAAGACCATTTAAAATTAGTTTGAAGAATCTGATCAAAGACCTCGCAAATTAAAAAAAAGTAGGAGAAATTTTTCAATTAATATAAATAAACATTATTTTCAATCAGAACAAGAAATGAAATAAATGAATTAAAAAAAAACAACCCAAAAAACATATATTAATTAAAAATAAATGATGACCTTGTTACAAACAATAATAAAAAATAACTAGAAAGAAATAAAATATTACATATAATGGAGACAAAAATACCCTGTAAATTAAAATATTAATAAATTCCCTGTAAATACCCTGTAAATTAAAATATTAATAAATTCCCTGTAAATACCCTGTGAACTAATATTAATAAATACCCTGTAAATTACAATATTGATAAATACCCTGTAAATTACAATATTGTGAAAGTTGAATGCATCTATGAAAGAAATATCCGCTCAGTTGGTTCATCTCCGTTCAGTATTATTTTTAAAGAAATATTCACCACCCTCTCCTCTATGTTGAGCACTCCATGTAATCTTCGCTAAAATAATTTGGTGGGCCTTTTTTTTAATTCCTAACCAATCTAAGACTAGATATTATATATAGTTGATTTTTTTCATTAATTGAATGTTAAAAAAAATCAATTTAAGCGTGGACTCAGTCGTAGAAAATTTCCAGATAAATACAAATTACGCACAAACACTTCAATCACAAAAAATAAAAAAAAATATTTAAAACACAAAATAATTGAAATTATGATTATTACGATTTCATTTCATTTAACAACATCTTAAAGGTGTTTGAATGTTAGAGAATCGACCGGTTTCAACCATTATGTTTTTTTGCTGATATCCTAAACGTATAGCCTTATTCCTCGTATACTTCAAGTTTATTTTTTATTACGCTATATAGAATAAGTTCGATTGAACTAAAACCTTTCTGATTGACAACAATACACGTCTAATTTGTTTATGCTAAAATAAATTTCAACAAATTTGTTAGAACACGAACCAAGAAACAGACGCAGTTACCCCCTTTTTTTTAGAAATAACTATCAAAAAAATTCAAAGGATTTCATATTTAAAATACAAATATTTTTATCTTTTCTTCGTTTTTTTTTATATATACATTGGGAACAAAATAATTCACTCGACTACAAGCCCACGGTTATTGTGCGTTACATTAGTCAAGACATTAGTCAGTGGATTAGTCAATGGATTAGTCGGATTAACCGCAACATATCGGTGCGAACAAGATTTTTATATTTTTATTAGATAAAAGATTTGAATGATCGTGTTTCGATGAATTCTGTTAAATAGGCCAACCATTGTATGTTAGTATTCGCATAGCTTGCATGCTCCCCAGGTCTAAGTGTGGAGTAAGGTAGTCTGTCAATCTTGTGGGGTCTCTTCTGCAACTCTTGTTAGATTCCCCCCTCCCCCCACCAAAACAAAAACAAAACAAACAAAATTTGTAACGCCAATAAAAAAAAAAAAAAAGCAAAACAAACATTTGTACCATGTGCTGGCCCCGAAATGACCCAGTTTGTGTTGAGTGGGCTTTAATCTCTCTCTCTCTCTCTCTCTCTCTCCCTCTCTCTCTCCTAGGAGAGACCATTCGTGTTCACATCTGGGTTTTATTTAATATTACAGTAAATGTTGGTGGAAGGGAATCGCCTATATTGATGTATAAATCTAAAAAACCAAGAAAAGCCAGAACAGCATTTTCTGAAAATCAGTTGCGGTGTTTAGAGAAACATTTCGACCGTCAGAAATATTTAAGTGTCCAGGACCGGGTGGAATTGGCGACAAAACTACATCTTTCTGATACACAGGTGAAAACGTGGTATCAAAATAGACGGTATGTATAATCAATCCGATTAAAACACAGATCCAATTTCGTTTCGTTTTTATGTTCAAAATTTCGATTTTACTATAAAAAACGAAACGAAATATAGATCTATATTTTACTTAGATTGTATGTATATTAATTTATTAATTGTATAGCTATATTAAGAATAGGGAGCCACGTGAACGACGGGTATAATTGTAAGCATGATCTCTTACAAATATAATTAACATTTATATCATTCTATCAGGGATTCAGATTCTAATACCTTTATGGTACTTGACTAAACAGACTAAGTCACCAAAAATAAAATCTGATCTTTGTAAATCCAAACTTTGCTAATCTATTATGTAAAGACGGATTTTTAAAGTTGTTGTATATTGTATTGTATATATCGGTAATTGTTTTATAATCAACCTAGCTGAGGAATAAAATTGTTAGATGTTGTCTTTTTTATCACACATTTTTGGCAGATAAAATATTCCAGTTGGCGGAAAAAAATATAAACATTTTTTTATACAAAAATTATCACCCATTTTGGCGGAAAAAAATTGAAAGCCAGTGTGAGCCCTGCTAAGTGGGTAAGGCGGTGACTCGTGTTCGATCCCTGCATTGGCCGAGAAAGTTCATTGTGAAACTCCGACATGGTTTCCCCTTGTCGGTGGTGCAGGACCGGGGGGGGGGGGGGCTCACAAGGACAGCTGTCTAGTTTTTTGGATGGGGCGAAAAACCGAGGCCCCGTGTATACATAGACGTGCATGTAAAATATCCCTTGGCAGTTGAAATTCGATATAACAGTAGGCCATAGTGCCGCTATCCGGGCAAAATTTCCCCCATAGCAGGCTGTATGCCTGTCTCCATTAGTCCAGTATAGGAACAGAACAGTAGGACGTTAAACCCCATTTCATTTTTATTTATAATAAGAATATAAATAGACGGTATATGTAACCCTAAACACATTTATTAATTAAATCTCCAAATTCTAAAAAAAACAACCCAAAACATGCTTGGTTGAGAGGTGGGCGAGGGGTGGGGGGTGGCGGGGGTCTAGTGATCTAACGCATGCACTTTAGATGATAAGGAGTGTCATTGAGTCAAATATTGTTGTTTCCATCCCTAGCTTGATAAGGAGTAGGGTCGCCTGTCTAACCTCGTGGGTTTATCATGGGTTATCCCGTTCCCCCCACTGCCAAAGACCTCTACGCGCAAGTGAATTATTGAAGTACATTTGTACCATTTGTTAGTCCCGAAATGACCTAGTTTGTGCGGGACTAACATGGTTTAATTTTATTTCAATAATTCGCTTCCGCGTAGGGGTCTTTAGCAGTGGGAGGAAACCGGAGGACCCGGAGAAAACCCGCGAGGTTGGACATGCAACCCTACTCCTTGTCACGTACAACCGGGGATTCGCATTTCATTCTGAACAAATCAAAATAAATGTGCTAATCTACTTTAAATATGAAATATTTTTATCTTTCAGAACAAAATGGAAGCGACAGACGTCCGTAGGTTTAGAATTATTAACAGAAGCCAGTAATTTCGCCGCTGTGCAGAGAATTCTTCAATCTAATTCTTATTGGTCGTCGTGTTATCCCCAAACTGCCAGCCTCGTTTCCAACTTTGAATCGGTCGTTAGAGGAAGTACCCCCTTACTGCCACCACGCCCCCCATTTCCAGGCCTCTTCTTATCGGCCATGCATCCACAATTACGACCATTATCACCGTCATCGTTACCAAGTAAAAGAGGATGAGTTCGGATGAAGAATCTCTGCTAAAAATGATCACTGACATTTTATAATAATAGTATCAAAAACTAATCGGTTCTACATGGATTATTATCGCCATTGTTGTTGAATATTCGAATGGTTTTGCGAATTTGACAGGATAGGATGTTACTCGATTGGCTAACCATTAAGAATTAGTGAGTATTGCGATTGGTTGGCGGAATGTAGAAGAGTCGTGAACTTTGATCCCACCTTTCTTTGACGTGTTTCTCACCTGATAGACAATCGGTTTCAGACGAGTTATTTCCCCCTGAATGTGATAATGTCGCTTACGAACATGATGTAAAAGACTTTATACAGTATATATCTAGCCGCCATATAAACAGGGATTGTGTAAGAGCTAAATCTACCCATTGCTAGGCTTTAATAGGCCTTTTAAATGTTGTATAAATTATTAATTAGACATTAATGACAAGACCATAATCAACTCTCGATGTTATCGGATGGCACCGATTTTAAGTAGATTAGAACGGTTCGGCCATTTAATGATTTAATTTAAAAATGGATAATCGCGACTTTGTTATTGACGCTGTTCTTCTATGGCCGATGACTCGGCTTAGACTGCAATTTTCAGCAAATTCCCTTTCTATTATGTATTTTTAACTATTATAGCGAGAACTGTCAGCTCTTTATCTAATGCTCCTCCCTTTAATGTTATTTTGTACAGAGATTGTTATGTTCTAGACGCCCCTGTCGCGTTTTATACATTCATGTCTAAGTGTTTTTTTTACTTCTATATTATATATCTAACTATTCCTGACCCGGTGGACCGGTCACCCCTGGCTTCAGGTCATGGTTTCGGTTCATGGTTGGAGCGTATGTGGCTTGGAGATAGGGACGCCTCCTCAACCTCGTGGAATTACTCCTGGTCCTCCGGTTCCTCCCACAGGAAAGACCCTGTGGGTATAAAGCCTAACTATTCCTGATCCTGTGGGTATATTGGTACCAAACTATTTAACAGCGACCTTAATTTATGAATAAACAAAGACTCAGTTTGAAATGGTAATTTTTATATCTTGCCGACCATTAAAGGCCGGGTTCGAATGACAAGAACACAGTAGTTGGTCCAATGTACGCAGTGGGTGTGAATTTAAAACTGGAAACAAGGTCTACAAACCGAGGTTGTGTTTATGGTATCTACGACTATTCGACTTGAAAATAAAGAAGCAATCAAAGCCCTAAACCCTTATATTGTCTGCTTGCAAACTCATGTATCATTTAAGACTCTGCACCAGAAGATATTTAGGATTCGAACTGTGACTGTCTTAGATTATAATCCTAATAACAAATGTCTCCGATTATAATCTCTACATGTATAATAATAACAAGTGTCTCAGATTATACGTGTATTATAATAACAGATTATGATCTACATGTATAATAACAAGTGTCTCAGATTATACGTGTAATCTATTAATGTATCTCAGATTATAGTATCAACTTGTGTCGTTTGTATTGTTTTAATATCAATAAAACAAATTATGTCTGTGCAAAACTTGAATTTGTTATTGGCGAAATTATTGGCGATAGTAGTGGATTTGTAAAAATTAATAGAATTCCAGTCCTTTGTGAAATGAAACTGTAGTCTGTAGGTCAGGTTTAATTGAGGACTGTCATAGTTTGGCTATGATCGAAGGCTTGTAGGTGACAGAGAGAGAGAGAAATAGGTCATTTTGAGACTAACATATGGTTTAATTTTATTTCAATAATTCGCTGGTGCGTACGGGTCTTTAGCAGTGGGAGGAAACCGGAGGACCCGGAGAAAACCCACGAGGTTGGATTGTAGGTGACAAGTTGCTGGCTTCCTAACCAGGTTTCATCCTATTTGTCTACGCTGCGAATGTCTACCCACAGTTCTGTGCACCACATGCCAAGAACTCGCCACAATTTCATTGGCTAATGTCTCACATCAACCAGAACGCGGGTTATGTAACAATTCTTCCAGATCGGCTAAATCTATTTCTTAAGGCTACCTCCAGACTTGATCAAAGGTCACAAGATGTAAACACGGCTAGTGCTAAGCCTATCCCTAACCCTAACCCAAACCCACAATCTCGTCAACAATCACGTGCCCTCCTTATTTACATCTCAGCGACCTTGACAATAAATATTGTGAATTAATCTTGCTGTTTGGGGATGAAGAGTAAATAGACAAAGGTTATAGTCAATCACATCAGCCATCATCCAATACACCATTTGATAAGAATTAACACATAATAACTGATAAACACAATAAGTCATAGCTCAAGAATACACGTTCTCAGGCGGAGCTAACTGTAGACAGGCAGTTTGGGATGGATAAACACAGTAATATATATATATATAGAGAGAGAGAGAGAGGGTTTAACTTCCTCTCAACACAAACTAGGTTATTTCGGGACTAACATATGGTTCAATTTATTTAAATAAATGCGTGTAGGGGTCTTTAGCAGTGGGAGGAAACCAGAGGACCCGTTAGACAGACAACCCTACTCCTTGTCACCGGAACCACCCTAGTTGACTCAATGACAGACCGTATGATACAGCGCACACACGGCACACACACGGCACGCGCTAACCATTAGGCCATACAACACATTTATTATTTTAATTAAAGTGACATTTCTTTAAGTGAAATGAAATGAAATTGGGTTTAACGTCCTACTGTTCTGATCCGAACTGGGCTAATGAAGACGGGCATATGCCATACAGTGTGCTATGAGGGAAATTTTGCCCGGACAGCGGCACTATGGCCTACTCTTATATCGAATTACAACTGTCAAGGGATCTTTTACGTGTAAGCCAATGTGTACACGGGACCTCATTTTTTCGTCCCATCCGAACGACTAGACAGCTTTCCTTGTCAAGCCCTCCGTCCTGCATCACTGACAAGGGGGAACCACGCCGGAAAATCTGGATTTAAAGGAGCTAAGTCGCTAATATTTGACACAAATGGGTCGCAAGCATACAATAATGTAATATGAATGTAAATAAATTGATTTATATTCAATCGTTTTTGTTTTTACTGTAATTTCTAATCAGTTAGGTTCGACGAAATGCGCCAATATTCTCAATCGAATTTCAATCTCTAGCGTCTGGTTATTCCAGTCTACGCCGATAGTATTTATTGGGCATGCTCTCCAGATAAGAATATAGCGCCACCGTTTGACATGACTTGTGGAATATACCTAGCCTCGTTTTTTGAGTCCCTTATTACAAATATCGCTGAAACGCATTATGGTACACGATTCGTGTACCAATTGTAAAATGTTTATTTTGTCTTAAATATTGGATATCAGAAGGCCATCTTTTCCCGGTAAGATCACAACATCAATGTTGATTTAAACCGACAAATAAATCGTGCTTTCAATGTCGAAGATTTTGGATGATATTGAGTTAGAGACTTAGCTACTTTAACTTTCTCGGCCAATGCAGGGATGGAACACCTGATCTCCAGGCTAGCGAGCCAGCGTCCTACCCACTTAGCCACCATGATCCCCCATTTCTTTAAGGGTTTCGCTGAGGGTTCTCTCAATGGGATCACGGTGGCTAAGTGGGCAAGACGCTGGCTCGCTTGCCTGGAGGTCGGGTGTTCCATCTTTGCATTGGCCGAGAAAGTTCATCCAGCAAGATTTTTCGGCGTGGTTCCCCCCTTGTCAGTGATGCAGTACGGAGGGCCTGACAAGGACAGCTGTCTAGTCGTTGGGATGGTGTGAAAAACCGAGGCCCTGTGTACACATTGGCGTGCACGTAAAAGATCCTTTGACAGTAGGAATTCGATATAAGAGTAGGCCGTGGTGCCGCTGTCCGGGCAAAATTTCCCTCATAGCACACTGTAAGGCGTATGCCCGTCTTCATTAGCCCAGTTCGGAGCAAAACAGTGGGACGTTAAACCCCATTTCATTTCATTTCTCAACTGCATCAAGCAAATGAAAACGTTAATAAAACCCTCAACGAAATGTTGCTTTAATTAAAATAGTAAAAGTGTTTGATATTACGTTCTTTTAATTTTTTTATTATGGGTGTCAATTGCTAAATGCCACTCAAAGAAGACATAAATACTAACGTTTTTTCATTTTTTTTAAATACAAAGTTTGAATAAAATAATATATAAAAAATACATTTTATAATTGAAATATAAAACTGACCTATAATTACTGGTAGTAACACATTTTATAATCAACCATTATTTTGAGATGTTGCTCAATAGGTCTGATCTTGTTGCCCAATCGACGTGGTAAATACTGTAATCGAGTATAAGATCAATCTCTTTTACAACGGAAAACAATCTCCATACATAGGTGCGTCTAATACGCGAGAACTATTTAAATAAGTTTATATTTGATATATATACGTGAGAAAATCAGAGAAATATTTAAACACTTTTATATTTCCTCCAAATTATAGTACATGTATTTATAAAAATCTCACGGTACACAAATTTTATTCCCATGACAATAAGATATATGTACTTGTTACAAGGAAGTCTTGGCACGTCCTAAAAAAATTACATTAAAATATATTTAAGAATCCCCGCACAACAGACTTGGTTTAGAGTAGAGATTTTTAAATGATTATAACGTTATAATCATTAAAGAAATCTCTACTCTTAACCAAGTCTGTTGTGCTGCTGTTGTGCGGGGATACCTAAATTTATTTTATTGCTCTCTTGTCCCGGGGGTATCATCTTCCTGATCTAGTACCCACGTAGATCTACCAGTCTGTGCAGCTATAGTTACTCTATCAAGGGAGTGTTGACGTTCCTCTTCTTGTATCCAGTATTAATATTAACCACAATACTTATCTAAGAATCAGATACACACTGAACATACACACACACTGTGACGTGGAGGACTGGTGATACCCCGGGCCAAGTCCTTATAGGGTCTAGTAGCTGACTGTGTACCACCAAGTATAGAGTCTAGTAGCTGACTGTATACTACGAAGTATAGAGTTTAGTAGCTTACTGTATACCACCAAGTATAGCACCTTGTTTGCCCCTAGACTCAAATATTGGGCCTTGTACTCAGAAATGTGAGCAAGGAAGACATTTTAAATATGAGTCGAAACAGATAAAATAAATGAAATAAGTAAGGCAGCTTGTACCACAAACTTAACACCGATAATTTTAAATTTAAAAAAAAATTAATTCTACTATTTGATTGGATGCCCAACTAACTGAAATATACGTCCGCGGTTCTCCAGCCCTTCTGGATGCCAGGCTAGAGGGAAGAGTGGTTATATTAAAGAGTTTTGATTATAATGTTTATCATTTTAAGTAGAATTATAAAATACAATGTTGAGAGTAAATAAAGAACAATAAGATGTAAAGATAATAATAGCTGTCACATGACATGTTATTGCTGTCACATGATCTGTCATTTTATAAATATATATGTTTGACTAGTATATGTAAGCACAAGAGAGATGAAATATTTCTGTTTGAACTTGTTTCTATGTAGGTTACCCACCCAAACTTGATCACGATCTAGTTTACACATAAACACACTTGATCACGATCTAGTTTACACATACACACACTTGATCAAGTCTAAGTTATGATCCTGCACTTGTTCATGATCTAGGTTACAGTCCTGCACTTGATCATGTTCTAGGTTACGTCCCTGCACTTGTTCATGATCTAGGTTACAGTCCTGCACTTGATCATGTTCTAGGTTACGTCCCTGCACTTGTTCATGATCTAGGTTACAGTCCTGCACTTGATCATGTTCTAGGTTACGACCCTGCACTTGTTCACAGTCTAGGTTACGACCCTGCAATTGTTCACAGTCTAGGTTACGCCTATATTTGATCAAATTGCCAACAAGTCTGAATGTTTTTAATTTCTATCATCAATATCTATCAGTATCACTCATGATAAATTCAAACCATTGATATAAATATATTACAACCACACAGTCACATTACTCCCACCATTAAATATTCAAATAGTCCTGGAATAATTTAACATATTTATCATACACGAAACGTCAAAATCAAAACAATATCTAGTCAAGTTCACAATGATGAAGTTTTTAAAAAATCACGATCTAGGTTAGGATCACACAATCAAATTCACAATGGTGAAGTTTTTAATAAAGTCATTCAAGAGGTGAAATGGATCCATTACACAATAAATGGAAAAATTTACAGCATAATTTCATTTGATTGTACAGATACAGGTAACGGTAGTTTCTATGATGCAATGTGGTAATGATCATAAATATCGTTTATCTCCATGACAACATAAATATTGTCTATCTCCATGACGACATAAATATTATCTATCTCCATGGCGACATAAATATTGTCCATCTCCATGACAACATAAATATCGTCCATCTCCATGACAACATAACTCAGGTATATGACAACACCAGGTCTATATCATACCTGTTTAAATCAGATGTAATTGTATTTCCATGACAACCACAGGTAAATGATGTGTATCAGGTGTTTGGCGACTGTGATCTATCCCGACTATCCCGATTATCTTGTCGTGGTAAATCAATGGGAATACGTAACGTACTGAGTGGATCTGAGACGTAACCGTTTTTATCAATCTGAGGAAAAGGTAGATGGCGACGTATTTCTTCACGCGGCGGATCACTGTGTCTTGTAGCCTCTTGTTCCCAGTGAGATCGTAACGCTGAGACGTGACCTGCTAATGGTGGTGTTGATCTACCTTCATCATCTGAGTCACGATCTGTAACCATTGGTAACGCTGTAGGGAATGCTACAATAGGTGTTGTATCTGAGTTACTTAACATGGCTACCGCCTGTGACTGTTTACATTCTTCTAAAATTGGGACGATTTCTTTGAACTCTGGTCGATCCTTGAGAAATCATAGAAAAGAAGAAATAATTTCATGAATAAAGGTGAAATGATTTCTTTATTTATTACATCTTAATCAGGTTTAACTTAATTACTAAATAATACTAATCAGGTTTAACTTAATTACTAATTAATACTAATCAGGTTTAACTTAATTACTAATTAATACTAATCAGGTTTAACTTAATTACTAATTAATACTAATCAGGTTTAACTTAGTTACTAATTAATACTAATCAGGTTTAACTTAATTACTAATTAATACTAATCAGGTTTAACTTAATTACTAATTAATACTAATCAGGTTTAACTTAATTACTAATTAATAAATGAAATGAAATGAAATGAGGTTTAACGTCCTACTGTTCTGCTCCTAAACTGGGCTAATGAAGACGGGCATACGCCATACAGTGTGCTATGAGAGAAATTTTGCCCGGACAGCGGCACTACGGCCTACTCTTATATCGAATTCCAACTGCCAAGGGATCTTTAACGTGCACGCCAATGTGTACACGGGACCTCGGTTTTTCGTCCCATCCGAACGACTAGACAGCTGTCCTTGTCAGGCCCTCCATCCTGCATCACTGACAAGGGGGGACCCCCGCCGGAAAATCTAAATGAACTTTCTCGGCCAATGCAGGGATCGAACTCCCAACCTCCAGGCTAGCGAGCCAGCGTCTTAACTACTTAGCCGCGTGATCCCCCTACTAATTAATACTAATCAGGTATAACTTCATTCCTGATGAATACTAATCAGGTTTAATGATTAATTTCAATTAATGATTAATTTATTAATTTCAATATTCAAATCAATTGATTCAGTAATTGCAAAGAAAATCTTTTTTGATATAAAGTGCCCCTAAATTATGCTACACCATTTTAACGCAGGAGTCGTTTTATTTAGCAGGTAAATTTTATTGGCTTTATCCAAATTGAAAGAGAATTTGAAATCTATATAATGGTCAGTAGTGATCTCAAACTCCTCTCATAAAGATACTTGTTTTATACAAAAAACTCTTCAGGTTTAACTGAGAATGTGTGGCTGTTCCCTTTATTAGTTTTTACATATGACTCATCTGAGATGAGGTAAGCTACTAGAACTCTGTAGGCTTATATGAGAATCTACAGCTATTTCTTTTATATGGTTGATTGGGAACGGGATGTGGTCTGGTGTCGTCCTGCTTTCGTAATGTGTGCAGAGAAAGCTGATTTAAGATTTATACTTACATCAGGGTTGGCATGCCAACCAACTTGTAATAGACCAACTATAGGTTTAGGTATGGTGATTCCGATTGGTGGACGAGTGATATGATACGCCATCTCAGCAGCAGCAGCCGCTAAAAAAAACCCAACCCAAATACATTAATAGATAAACTAAACAGGTTTTAAACATTGGGCTAGAGAAAAGGGTTTAAACATTGGGCTAGAGAAAAGGGTTTGAACATCTATTTATTACTTCCGTCCTAAATTTGTGGCAGGAAATGTGTGATGTCCTACCAGCTGTGCTCATGGGCGTGAATTTAGGGGGGGCGGGACGTGGTCCCCCCCCACTTAGAATCGGAAGTGGGGGGGGGGGAACAGGTCTCTGTCCCCCCTATGTTTTTGATCGTCAGGCTATGTAAGCACTGCCTTGGGTCTCGCCACTGTTACTGATCGTCACGATATCTTTCTCCTTAATTGTAGGTGGTCAGTTCTACGATATCGTCATCATATTACCCCTAGTTACAGCTTTCATCGCAATAACACTCGTATAGTAAACTGTTCGTAATTATTATTTTGGTTTGGTAAAATGAAATGTTCCAGGTTCCAGGGTTCGTCCGTCCCTCCCAAAAGTTATGACAAATCCACACCCTTGGCTGTGCTACAAGAGACAGCACCCTTTCTGCATACTCTTTATTAAAATATTATTCAAAAGGCCCCTGACAATGTACAACAATCCCAAGGAACTTTATCGACTAACAACGGGAACAAACTCCTGATCTCTTCCTAGGCCACCATAGCAAACAGTTGTGGTTATAAACGAGTCACCATAGCAACCAGGTGTGATTATTACCTGGTTTAAGATGAGCGAAAGGTAATTCACCCGCCAATAATTCCCACAAACACAGAGAATAACTGAATACATCAGCTTTTATACTATATTTAGTACATTGTGTAAATATTTCGGGGGCCATCCATCGTAAATTACCAGGTTGTTTCGTCATGTTGTCCTCTTCAGCAGATCGTAAAAAACGTGATTCTAAAAAATATCAATAAAACAATCGTTCAAGTTTAACAGGGACATTATATTCCCATATTTATGACACGGAAGGGCATCAGTTTTCAATCCTATCTGATTGACTAGATGTCTTTCCTTGCTAGACTCTGCAACCTGGACCAGAGACAAGGGAAAAGAATGCCGCTAAAACCAAGGGGACACCACTCCATCTTGCACCAAGGGGACGCCACTCCATCCTGCACCAAGGGGATGCCACTCCATCCTGCACTAGAGGCAAGGGGAAACCACTCAATCCTGCAACAAGGGGACAGGACTCCAACTTGAACCACAGGAAAATAACTCTAACCTGCACTAAGGGGACATCACTCTATCCTGCACCAAGGGGACTGAATGTCACAACATGTGTGGTTTAGATCATAATGTCTGTCATTGAGTCAAGTGACAATGGTTTCTCTATCCCACACATCCACACATGTAAGTGCCCAACCACGTGGGTTTTCTCTGGGTCCCCCAGTTTCTTCCCACTGCTAAAGACGGCTGATCATGTTTCATGGCTATCAAATCAACAATATGACGATAAAATACTGATTAAATTAACTTGATACCCATTTCGAGAGACAAGTGAAGTATTATATCTAATAAAATAAATACATACCACCGAAATCAGCAACTAGAGCATGACCGTTTTCATCCAGTAATATATTATGACTGTTTAAATCTCGGTGTATTATAGGTTGTGGTAAGTTGTGTAGATATTCCATACCTTTAGCCACATCTATCGATATCGTTAATTTAGACTGTATATCTATCAACCTATCAAATATACACAAATAACATAAACTATTCTGAATGAAGACACTTTGTCAAACTACAACTGTCAAGGGTCCTGTTACATGATCATGTAACCATGGTTTTTTGTGTGATCCGAATGATTACACACTGATCCTTGTCAGGTCCTCTTTCCTGCACCAATGACAAGGGGAAACCACTCTGAAAATGCATGAGGAACCTTCTCGGCCAACACAAGGATTAATCCATGGACCATAAGGTTAATCAACGCAATAATCACCAAGCAAAAATATAGACAATCCTTTAAAAATATAGACAATCTTTTAAAGATACGTTCCCAGAAAAGTATTTATCGGGTGGTTATTTCCAATAAAAGTATTTATTGGGTGGTTATTTCCAATAAAAGTGTGACTAGAAAAATACTGGATGCCCTGAAAAACACTCATGGAGCGCATACAGGACAAAACTGTAAGGGTTTCCCTAATCGACAGCCCGGCTATTAGGAGTGTCTGCACGCGTGACGTCAAAGGTCGCACGAGCGCTTGATGTACATGTTGAAAAACTTTATGAAGTGTTAGACTTACAACAGTTTCTGAGTTAAAAACCACAGAAAAAAACTTGAGCAGTGGATAATCCGAGAATTTAATTAGGCCTTGATATTTGTGATAGATAGTTATCGATTAAAGACAACATCGTCTTGTGTATGCAATGAATTCTCCTCCGACTTCACCCCAGTTTCTAGGTACTGAGAGAGGGAAGTCACATGACACCAACATGACCTCTTTTGATCGATTTTTTTATTTTAAGGGAATTCCTTGGCAATAGCAATATTTTGAGAGGGATTTGAAGCAAAATTATGATAAATTTATTAGTTTGAATAATTTTTTAGTTCAAATATATCATCAAATCACCCGGTTTGTATGTGGGAATGTATCTTTAAAGATAATTCCATACATTATTTTGTGAATATTCTTCCTAAAATTCATAATAATTATTTTACCTTTTTTGTTCATGTAGTAGACTGTAGAGGGAGCCACCAGAGATATATTGTGTCACTATGGCGAATTGCTGAAATACAAGGCAAGATATAGATAGTCTATTTTATTCATATTTGAAAAGACTAAACAATTTAAAAATGTTTAATTGTATTACCATGGTTGTTTTATAAAACAAATATTCTTGGTACTCAGTTTAAAGTACCTAAGTCTCTAACTCAATATCATCCAAAGTCTTCGACATTGAAAACACGATTTATTTGTCGGTTTAAATCAACATTGATGTTGTGATCTTACCGGGAAAAGATGGGCTTCTGATATCCAATATTTAAGACAAAATAAACATTTCAGCACCATTTGTAACATGCGACTCGAAAGAACGAGACTAGACATATTCCAAAAGTCATGTCAAACGGTGACGCCTTACTCTTATCTGGAGAGCTTTCACAATAAATATTATCGGAGTAAACTAAAATAACCAGGTGCTAGAGACTGATTTGAAATTAGAGTAAAAACGGAAACGATTTAATGTAAATCAGTTTATATACATTTATATAACATTATTATATGCGTTGCGACCCATTCAGTGAGTAAGTGTTTGTTTAGCTGGCTAGCTTGTAGGTTATTGCCAACTGATTACGGACAGGATCTTTAGCATTAGGTAAGCAACTGGAACAAGGATGACTTCATACATGGCGAGAAACACTAACACAGTTGTGACCCAAGCCTTTGTCATGTACAAGCTTTGAATATTAAAATTATTACAATCAACTAAAGACAGTGAAGTAAAACTTACGCTAGGATCATCAAGACAAGTGCCGAGGAACCTGATAACATAGGAAGTAAAACTTACGCTAGGATCATCAAGACAGGCGCCAAGGAAACCAATAACGTAGGAAGTAAAACTTACGCTAGGATCATCAAGACAGGCGCCAAGGAAACCAATAACGTAGGAAGTAAAACTTACGCTAGGATCATCAAGACAGGCGCCAAGGAAACCAATAACGTAGGAAGTAAAACTTACACTCGGATCATCAAGACAGGCGCCAAGGAAACCAATAACGTAGGAAGTAAAACTTACACTCGGATCATCAAGACAAGTGCCGAGGAACCTGATAACATAGGAAGTAAAACTTACGCTAGGATCATCAAGACAGGCGCCAAGGAAACCAATAACGTAGGAAGTAAAACTTACGCTAGGATCATCAAGACAGGCGCCAAGGAAACCAATAACGTAGGAAGTAAAACTTACGCTAGGATCATCAAGACAGGCGCCAAGGAAACCAATAACGTAGGAAGTAAAACTTACGCTAGGATCATCAAGACAGGCGCCAAGGAAACCAATAACGTAGGAAGTAAAACTTACACTCGGATCATCAAGACAGGCGCCGAGGAACCTGATAACATAGGAAGTAAAACTTACGCTCGGATCATCAAGACAAGTGCCGAGGAACCTGATAACATAGGAAGTAAAACTTACGCTAGGATCATCAAGACAGGCGCCGAGGAAACCAATAACGTAGGAACTCTTTAACTTGGATAAAATGGCCACCTCACGACAAAACATATCTACATCTGATTTAGCTCCTACTGTACTGGCTCGATATCTGTAATTATACAATATCATATAAACTAGCTCAATATCTTATCTGTAATTATACAATATCATCATATAAACTAGCTTGATATCTGTAATTATATAATAATATCAACATATAATCTGGCTCGATATCTGTAATTATATAATATCAACATATAAACTGGCTCGATATCTGTAATTATATAATATCATCATATAAACTAGCTTGATATCTGTAATTATATAATAATATCAACATATAATCAGGCTCGATATCTGTAATTATATAATATCAACATATAAACTGGCTCGATATCTGTAATTATATAATAATATCAACATATGAACTAGCTCGATATCTGTAATTATATAATTCACAAGGTTGAGCATGCACCCCTATTCCTATGATCGCCATTTATTGATTTTACAAGTGGCACAGGAATTGACCAAGTAGATGCAGAACTGTTCCAGGAAGAAGCATGCCAATTTTCATGTCAATCAGACTTGAATTGACGGAGCTATAGACCTTATCGAAGAGCATCACCCCAAGAAGAACAAGATGAGTAGCGGTTAGCGACTAGTTTCTGGTCCAAAAATAGTGAATTGAGACCAAGTCCCATTAATAAGTACCGTGGTTACTATAATAAACAATGTATGCCACATCTTGTTAAAACTACAAACAGTGATAACTTTGCTCAGAATAAAGTAATTTGAATGAAATTTTCAATATATTCATTTTGCATCATCTTTTTATGAATTATTATAGAATGAACGGCCAGCTCTTTTTTTCTAAATCTTTCATACGGCATCTTTAAGAATCTAAAGTATGAAGTGTGATCTATTAATGACTCTAATTTCAATACAAGTTTTTATTTTAAATAACAACATCTCTCAGAACAATAATCAGTACTGATTAAAATAGATAATGGCTAATCAACAAGGTTCATTTATTTCATCTGTTTGATATACTTTTTTCCTTAATTATATTTCTGAGTACAAGGCCCACAGTCAGCTACTAGACTCTATACTTGGTGGTATACAGTCAGCTACTAGACTCTATACTTGGTGGTATACAGTCAGCTACTAGACTCTATACTTGGTGGTATACAGTAAGCTACTAGACTCTATACTTGGTGGTATACAGTAAGCTACTAGACTCTATACTTGGTGGTACACAGTCAGCTACTAGACTCTATACTTGGTGGTATACAGTAAGCTGCTTGAATCTTGGTGGTATACAATCAAGGATTAGGTTACATATATCAATGCTGCTTCTTACCCTTTGGTTTTAATAAGATTTTTATTATATTCTTTAAATATAAATATATTTATTTATAGTTTTAATTAAGGATTAGTTTCGACATGGACGATGAAGTTATTACCATATATTACCTGTAGTTTTATTACCTTTTAATCAAGGATTAGTTTCAACATTGACGATGCTTGTTAGCATATATTACCTGTAGTTTTATTACCTTTTAATGGCAGCCGTTTTTACCTATTACCTATTATATATATTACCTGTCGTTTTATTACCTTTTAAAGGCAGCCGTCTTTACCTATATTACCTGTTGTTTTATTACCTTTTAATGGCAGCCGTTTTTCCTTTACATTTTCCTTTATAAACTTTACCGAATGATCCACTACCAATGACCTCTTGACATTCTATATCTAATAACTGCAGGTGAAACTGGTGAGGTAACGTAGCTCGTAGGTGAAGAACATCAATCTTCTCTATACAATTAAAAATAAAATAAAATAAAATAAAATAAAATAAAATAAAATAAAATAAAATAAAATAATCAAATAAAATAAAAAAAAAAAAAAATAAAAATAAAAAAAAAAAAAAATAAAAATTAAAAAAAAAAAAATAAAATAAAAAAAAAAAAAATAAAAAGAATAAAAAAAATAAATAATGGGTGGGACGTAAAATCAGAGGTCCATCCATGTACACAATCGTGTCAGTTGGAATCAGAAGAAAAGTAGGTGAAAATGTTGCTGTCTTGACAAAATTCTCCCACATCACATTATAAGCACAGCTCAGCCGAAAATTGGGTTATAAACAGAGTGTATTTATTTTTATTGTTCAGTGAAATCTCTGAGTTATAGTGAGTTTGTTGAAACCACTGACATACCATCATATGTTTGTCTTAAAATAAACACAGTATCATTAAAGCTTGGCATTAAACCTCATCAGTATCCTTAAAAATGCATTATGCAAGAGCTAAATCTACCTATTGCAGGTCTTTCTTTAGGCCTGAAATGTTATATAAATTATTAATTAGACATTAATTAACTTATCCAGACCATAATCAACTTCAAATGGCATCGTTAGCCTGCGATCTATAGTGGATTATGAGCCGATTTACTGCATAACTTTCCTTCACGATTTAATGATTAAATGGATAATCGAGACTATGTTGTTTATCGTACGGACTTTAGTAATGATGACCGAGGCTAGGCAGAAATTTCAATCGCTTAGTTCTCGTTTCATAGTGGATCAATTTGAATGAAATTTTCAGCAAATTGCCTTTACATTATCTAGTTTTAAACTATTATAGTGAGAACTGTCAACTCGTTATCAAATCTTCCATAATGTATCTTTAAAACTTGGCATTAAACCCTGTTAAACTCCATTCACAGAACCATTCCTACTAATAGTTTATTACATTTTGTTTTTTTCTGATCTCCACTAACATATTATTAATACACATACCTCGTGTCATGCTACGTAATTTACCAAGTGGTGAAGGAACGGAGACGTAAGATCCGTCAGATCCAGGTTGGGAATAATCTCCACATGCCGACTCATCCTGCGGTCGTTTATGATGTTTTAAAAATATTACGATAGAATCATGTCCTGTAAAACATGAAAACAAGTAACAGATCGGACAAATAAAACATGGAACCACTGTGACTCAGTGAGTAAAACAATGGCTCGCTAAAATACTAAAAAAGAGATCTTCGGTTCGTTCCCAGTGGCATGGTTCTCCCTTGTCAGTGATGCAGCACAGAGGGCCTGGCAACGGACAACGTCTAGTCGTTTTGATGGGACGAAAAAATGAGGTCAATTGTACAGATTGGCGTACATGTACCTAAAATAAGTAATGACAGTTGGAATTCGATATAAGAGTAGGCTGTAGCACAGCTGTTCGGTCAAAATGTTCCTCATAGCACACTGTATGGCGTACGCCCGTGTTGATTATCCCAGTCGGAGCAGAATAGTAAACCCCATTTCATTTCATGAAAATAAGATAAAATGGTTGAAATGTCCTTGTAATTGTCTTCAGTCAGGCGAGTCCTGACAGTAGGATATTAAAATAATGAGAAGGACGTAGGGTCGCTGTTGTCCTCATTTGTTTCGTTTACATGGTTGATGCTGAACAATACCATATTTCTTGACATAGATGAGAATCTGAATGATGAACTGTCTAAAGTCTTGAGATGCCGAAATCATCTGACCAATCCTATTTGGTTACGTTTTTTATAGTTCAAAATTTCGTTTTCCTTGTCTTTACTACACAAGAATCTGTTAGAGTTGTTATATAGCCCATGTTCTGGTTGATGTGAGGGATTAGCCAATAAAACGGTCTGTTACGGCAAGTTTTTGGCATGCGGTGCACGGAACAGTGGGTAAACCAATAGAAACGTCAATGCTGATTGATTAATCAATGTCTGACATCATATGGTTAAAAGTCCCTTGGCGCGACCTTGCACTTCATGTAGTGGAGGCCATTGAAAGTATAAAAAAAATCGAAACGAAATATAAATCTGTATTTTAATGAGATTGAAATTTAACCAAAGTTAAAACAAATAATCAATTTTACCTTTCTCGTAGGCCCACATTAATGCCGTCTGTTCTTCCAGTTTTTCACTTCCACCATTTTGATCGCTGACGGCTGCTACTAGATTCATGTCACCACCTGATTCCAGTAGATATTGTACGATACGAAAATGGCCGTGATAACACGCGCTGTGTAATGCTGAAATAACAAACAAGGTCCCAGTAAGCCAGAATAACGTACAAGGTCCCAGTAAGCCAGAATAACGTACAAGGTTCCAGTAAGACAGGATAACATACAAGGTCACTGTAAGCCAGAATAACGTACAAGGATCCAGTAAGCCAGAATAAGATACAAGGTTCCAGTAAGACAGAATAAATTAAATATAGACCATGCTAATCAACAAAACTTAAATCTAAAAACATTTTGGACGATGAATTATTGAAATTGATCTATCTAACAGCAGTAATTGTCATCTCTATTGATATTACAGTTTAAAGGTCAAGTATCCCAGAACAATTTATTATAACGGACGCTGTGGTCATGTTACACTGGTTTATACTGATTTCACATCATCATCTTTATCTGTCTTAGTACAAGTAAATTTCTAAGACTCCCACAGCATACGTAACCATATTATTGAGAGAAAAATAAATCGTAATACTTGAAACAATTTCTCCACAGGAAGACAGAGAGAGAGAAATAAATAATAACACTTCAGACCATTTCTCCACAGGAAGTAAGATAAGTAAATTGTAATATCTGCCAGAAGGAAGTAAAAGAGACATTTTACCTGCAGGAAGTAAAAAAAAGGCACTCAAGACCTTTTTATCTGCAGAAAGGAAGGGAGAGAGCTGTATCGCAACACTTGAGACCTTTTTACCAGCGGGAAGGGAGATAACTGTGTCGTAACACGTGAGACCTTTTTACCGGCAGGAAGGGGGATAGCTGTATCGCAACACTTGAGACCTTTTTATCTGCAGGAAGGAAGGGAGATAACTGTATCGTAACACTTGAGACCTTTTTACCCGCAGGAAGGAAGGGAGATAACTGTATCGTAACACTTGAGACCTTTTTATCCACAGGAAGGAAGGGAGATAACTGTATCGTAACACTTGAGACCTTTTTACCCGCAGGAAGGAAGGACGATAACTTTATCACAACACTTGAGACTTTTTTACCCGCAGGAAGGAAGGGAGATAACTGTGAGACCTACAGGAAGTAAGTATAAATATATTAACCTGTGTGACCATCTTTGCCCTGGTAGTTGATGTCTACGGCTGGTTGATCCAACAAAAACTTTACCAGATCTAAACTTCTACCGTTCGTACACGCGCTATAATAATAATAAAAATAATAATATCATACAATTAGTCTACAATAATACAGTCATTAAATGCTGCATAAAGATGGCATACACCATCCTATCCATTTACAGCTCGGTAGGCCTACTGACTTGAATAAACCATCCTACTGGTACCAATTTAGAGTTGGGAATACAGGGATAAACCATCCTACTGGTACTCATTTACAGCTGGGAATATAGGGAGGGAGTATCTTATACAAGAACGGAAAAACATGATGCACAATTCAAGGGTCACAAATCGTTCCAATGATATAGCAAGTCCTTTTCGTTTTATTTTAGGGGGGGGGGGGCAGTTCCTCGCTGTATCATAAGGTCTGTCATTGAGTCAACTGGCGTGGTTTTGAATCCCCGGTTATATGTGACAAGGAGAAGGGTTGCCTGTCCAACCTCGTAGGTTTTCTCCGGGTCCTCCGGTTTCCTTCTACTGTTAAAGACCCCTACGCACAAGCGATTTATTGAAAGAAAATTAAACCATATGTTAGTCCCGAAATGACCTAGTTTGTGTTGAGTGGATGTTAAACCTTTCTGTCTGTCTGTCTGTCTGTCTGTCTGTCTGTTTCTCACTCTCATTTTATTTTAAGTGAGGCCCAGGACTATACAGTTTCCCTTACATATCATTCTTAAGGACTTGACTACACTGTTGTTAGGAGTTCGGAGCCACACCTGTATTATGATGAGTTAGGAGCCACACTGAAACCTGTGTTATGTTATTTATAGAGACATACCTATGTAATGGAGTTTCACTGAATATATTTTCTTTAATTAAACTATCTGCACCAGTTAACGTGACTAGTTGTCGAGCTACTTCTGTTTTAGCATTATAACACGCTCTGAAATATAATCATACAATTCTTGTCATAATGGTTTACATCCCCCTGTACACCACAATACATATATTTGATAAATAAAATGAAATGGGGTTTAACATACTACTGTTCTTGTCCGACTGGGCTAATGAAGACAGGCATACTATTGGTTGAAGGAACATCACAGCAGAAAGCCAATGGTCAGGGAACATTGAGTTCCAAGAAATGAAATGGTTTTTAATGTCCTACTGTTAAAACAAAAGCTATTATTAGATATCTTGACCTGTGCCGTATAAAAACAAATCTGATGATAGTACCATATAGAGTGGGTACCGAACATGACTCCATCGCCACCATCTTGGAATTATGACATGACAGTCGAAGTCTATCAATCGATGAACAATTGTCCTAGGAACAACCATGTCGATCGTACTTCAATAGACAGAGGTTTAGTCTTTTTACGAAGAGTGTCTGCCGTCTGTTCGAGGTCTTGGCCGAGAAAGTTCATCCAGATTTTCCGGCGTGGTTCCCCCTTGTCAGTGATGCAGGACGAAGGGCCTGACAAGGACAGCTGTCTAGTCCTTCGGATGAGACAAAAAACTGAGGTCCCGTGTATACATTGGAATGCACGTAAAAGATCCCTTGGCAGTTGGAATTCGATATAAGAGTAGGCCGTAGCGCCGCTGCCCGGGCAAAATGTCTCTCATAGCCCACTGTATGGCGTATTCCCGTCTTCATTAACCCAGCATAGGAGCAGAACAGTTAGAAGTTAAACCCCATTTCATTTCATTTCATTTCTGTTCGAGATCTGTCCAGAGAATAAGATAATTCACGGCAGGTCAATTAATCTTAAAACCGACACACGTCTTATTGAGAATAAAATATGACACGCGACCAACTTACAGATGTAGCGGGGTATCTCCGTATATATTACAGACATGTGGATCAGCTCGATGTTCTAATAAATAATGTAATATCACTAGATTACCTCCCTTACAACAAAAATGGAGGGGTCGATGTTCTTCATCATCTTTAATATTCACTGAAAAAAACAAAAAAACAATTTTATTATTGTTTTAAATATTTGCCACTGATATCCACATGCTCTAACGGAAATGAAATGAGGTTTAACGTCCTACTTTTCAGCACTTACCAATTTAATTAATAAATAAAATAAAACCAAGTACAAACAATCCAAACCATTAGACAAAATTTGAAGTCCAAAAAAAACGGTATAGGCAAAATAGTGTAATCAGCATAGACGGGCAAATACCATGCGTTATGAGAGAATTTCGTACAGGCAGTGATGCTACGACCCATTTCAACGGTCATGGGATTTTTAACATCTTGCCAATCATATACCAGGTACCAGAGACTTGTAAATTTTTGTCCCAGGCCCTTCAACCTATACCAATGACATGTGGAAATTAGGCTGGGAAATTGGGAGCCACGGAGGCTCAGTGAGTAAGATCATTGGTCAGGGTCAGGGACAACATATAGTCGGTGGTTCACCCTTGTCAGTGGTGCAGGACGGAGGGCTCGACAAGAAACAACATATAGTCGGTGGCTCCCCCTTGTTAGTGGTGCAGGACGGAGAGAGAGAGAGAGAGAGAGAGGGAGAGAGAGGGAGAGAGAGAGAGAGAGTGAGAGAAATGGGGTTTAACTTCCACTCGACACAAACTAGGTCATTTCAGGACTAACATATGGTTTAATTTTATTTCAATAATTCGCTTGCGCGTAGGGGTCTTTAGCAGTGGGAGGAAACCGGAGGACCCGGAGAAAACCCACGAGGTTGGACAGGCGACTCAATGACAGGCTTTATCATACAGTGCGCGCATGCTAACCATTCAGCCATCCAACCCCCCGTGCAGGACGGAGGGCCTGACAAGGGACAACATATAGTCAAGGGACAATGTATAGTCTTTGGAGCAAAAAAGTGAGGTCTTGTGTACACATTGGTGTGCACGTAAAAGAACCCTTGGCAGTTGCAATACGATATAATTGTAGGCCATAGTGCAGCTTTCAGGGTAGAATTCCCCCTCATAGCATGCTGTATGGTGTAGAACTTGACTACCATTTTATTTTATTTGTGTGAAATGACATACCATCTGCTTTCTGATGTGACGTTCCTTCAACCAATAATTGTGTTATTTTTAAATGACCTTTAGCACATGCTAGATGTAGAGGTCTATCACCAACTCCACCACTGATATTTAAATCAGCACCATGGATCACCAGCTGTTCTACAACCTATACCAATCAAATATAAAATAAACAAATTTATTACATTTTTCTTTGTAAATTTTTTTTTTCATTTCTGCTGAAAACAGATGGAAAAGATAAACATTCAAATGTGGATTTTTCACAAATTTTATCACACGATAACAATCTTATAGACATTACTCTATCATGTCCATAATAATAACCTTAACGTGCCCATAAAACCAATCTTATACCTTATCATGAAATAATAACACGCTTATCCTGTCCATAATAACAACCTTAGCATGTCCATATTAACAGCCTTATGTCCAAAATGAAACCTTATCATGTCCATAATTACTCTATCATGTCCATAATAATAACCTTAACTTGCCCATAAAACCAATCTTATACCTTATCATGAAATAATAACACGCTTATCCTGTCCATAATAACAACCTTAGCATGTCCATATTAACAGCCTTATGTCCAAAATGAAACCTTATCATGTCCATAATTACTCTATCATGTCCATAATAATAACCTTAACTTGCCCATAAAACCAATCTTATACCTTATCATGAAATAATAACACGCTTATCCTGTCCATAATAACAACCTTAGCATGTCCATATTAACACCCTTATGTCCAAAATGAAACCTTATCATGTCCATAATAACACTTTTATCACGTCCATAATAACAATCTTATCATGTCCATAACAACAATCTTATCACGCCCATAATAACAATCTTATCATGTCCATAAAAAAAAAAAAAACACACAATAAAAAAACAAAACAAACAATCTAATCACATCCATAATAACAATCTTATCATGTCCATAATAACAATCTTATCATATCCATAATAACAATCGTATCACCTCCATACTAACAATCTTATCATGTCCATAAAAACAATCTTATCGCGTCCATAATAACAATCTTATAAAAACACCTTATCATGTCCATAATAACAATCTATAATAACCTATCATGTCTATAATAACAATCTTGTCATGTCCATAATAACATAATAACAATGTCCATAATAACAATCTATAATAACCTATCATGTCTATAATAACAATCTTGTCATGTCCATAATAACAATCTTATAACATCCATAATAACAATCTTATAAAAACACCTTATTATGTCCGTAATAACAATCTTATAAAAACCTATCATATCTAAAATAACAATCTTATCATGTCCATAAAAACAATCTTTTCACATCCATAATAACAATCTTATAAAAACACCTTATTCCTAATAACAATCTTATAAAAACCTATCATGTCCATAATAACAATGTTATCATGTCCATAATAACAATAGTATGGCCATAATAACAATCTCATACCTTATCATGTCCATAATAACAGGCTATGTGTAAAGGTGAAAACTTGACAGCATCCGAAGCATTAATTTTACCTCCATAATCCAATAAAGTTTTAAAGATCTACAAATATAAAGAAGATATTTGATATTATTACTGGTATATGAATCACGGTGAGAGGAAAGATGGAGAGATTTACATGTCATTAGATTAATACAAATGAAATGAGGATTAATACAAAATGCATTGAATATATTTTCAAATTGACTCTAGTATATTTAGGCTTTAATATCAGCATTATGAATGTTAAAACAAATCTTTTTTTTGCACCGATGCGTGAACCTGTCAATAACCCGTCAATACTGGGTGTGTTACTAAAACAAACAGAACAAAGGTGAGTCTGAACCTGTCAATAATATTTCACACTTTTTATTTTGTGTTTACCATAGCTCACGATGGTCACATGTAGCTCATGATGGCCACACGTAGCCGCTATATGTAATGGTGTTTATAATACCTCATGATGACCACACGTAGCTCATGAGGGCCACACGTAGCTCATGATGACCACATGTAGCTCATGATGGCCACATGTAGCCGCTATATGTAATGGTGTTTATGATGCCTCATGATGGCCACATGTAGCTCATGATGGCCACACGTAGCTCATGATGGCCACACGTAGCTGCTATATGTAATAGTGTTTATAATACCTCATGATGACCACACATAGCTGCTATATGTAATGGTGTAACATCACTGTTACCAGGGAGATTAACATCAGCGCCACCTGTTAATAAAGATTCTACGATCTCTCCATCACCCTAAAATACAAAAACATAAAAAAAAATATCTATATTTAACAAAATAATGGTTGTATGTAATGATGTATATTAATATAATGGTTGTATGTAATGATGTATATTAATATAATGGTTGTATGTAATGATGTATATTAATATAATGGTTGTATGTAACCATCTATATTTATAATGGTTGTATGTAACCATGTATATTTATAATGGTTGTATCTATACATGTATTTAATCAATTTAATTTAAAATAACTGATTTGAGTATGTTGTTAGATGAAGGGGAGAGAACTGATGATGACTTACCTTGTATGTTGTTAGATGAAGAGGAGAAAACTGATGATGACTCACCTTGTATGTTGTTAGATGAAGGGGAGAGAACTCATGTTGACTCACCTTGTATGTTGCTAGATGAAGGGGAGAGAATTGATTTTTACTCAGCACTGTTTTATTATCTTTTGTATACAAGAGTTCTACTAAATCTTTACCCACTGACAAAAGAAATAAAATAAAATCATTAGCTTTATTCTGATTCATCATTTAGTTACAGTGAATATTACCATGACAATAATAATTGACAGCAATTTATATGATCTAATCTGGATGATCTAGTCTAGAAGACTTAAAGATACATTATGGGAGATTAGATAAAGAGCTGGCAGTTCTCACTATAATAGTTAAAAACTAGATAATGTAAAAGGAATTTACTGAAAATTTCAGTCAAATTGATCTACTCTAAACCGAGATTTTAGCGATTGAATTTTTGGCCTGGCCTTGATCATCATTACTAAAGTCGGTACGATAAAAACATAGTCTCGATTATCCATTTCATGATTAAATTGTGAATGGAAATCGAACAGCAAATCAAAACCTAATCCATTAAACATCGAAGGCTAGCAATGCCATCGAGAGTTATTTATGGTCTGGATAAGTTAATTAATGTCTAATAAATAATTTAGATAACATTTCAGGCCTAAAGAAAGACCTGCAATAGGCAGATTTAGCTCTTGCATAATGTATGTTTAAGTTTGAGGTGTGTGAAATGAAATAAGTTTTAACATTAACCATTTGAGCATTAACTGGACTGATGAAGACAGGGATATAGGGTTAGATATCCTACTGAACCATGCAGTGTACAATAAGTGAAACTTTGATCGAACAATTGCTCAACGCGGGCTATTCTTATTTATTTTAAATTACAACTATCAAGGGATCTCCTCAATCTATTTTAAAAGAAATACAAGCCATACCTCCTGATATACATGCTATATGAAGTAAACTAAGTCCTGTGTCCGTTTTTTCACCAATATTCTCATCCGTCAATAATCTAGTCACTCTTACTACATCTCCTCGACTGGAAAATATATAACATATACCTGGTTATATACAACATCTACCTGGTTATAGACAACATCTACCTGATTATATACAATATCTACCTGATTATATACAACATCTACCTGATTATATACAACATCTACCTGGTTATATACAACATCTACCTGGTTATATACAATATCTACCTGGTTATATACAATATATACCTGATTATATACAACATCTACCTGGTTGTATACAATATCTACCTGGTTATATACAATATCTACCTGGTTATATACAATATCTACCTGATTATATACAACATCTACCTGATTATATACAATATCTACCTGGTTATATACAATATCTACCTGGTTATATACAATATATACTTGATTATATACAACATCTACCTGGTTGTATACAATATCTACCTGGTTATATACAACATCTACCTGATTATATACAACATCTACCTGATTATATACAACATCTACCTGATTATATACAACATCTACCTGGTTATATACAACATCTACCTGGTTATATACAACATCTACCTGGTTATATACAATATCTACCTGAGATACAGTTAGATTATATGAAATGAACTGAGGTTTAACATTCTACTCTTCTGCACCGACTGGGCTAGTGAAGACGGACATATGCTATGCAGTATTTTATGAGGGAAATTTTGCTAAGACAGCCCCGTTATATCGAATTCTAACCACCAAGGGATCTTTTACATGCACTCTTGTTATACAAAAATAATTATTCAAATCAATTCCTTTTAAATTAAAGATACATTGCCAGAAAAGTATTTATAGGGTAGTTACTTCCAATAAAATTATGGTACATTTAGTATTTATACCCACCTACAAGCCAGCTGCAGTTCTGACCAATCAGAATCTCTTGGTCGTAAATCTTCAATAGCTTTAGAACGAAACAGGGCGTAACTCTCGCTGATCTTCTTCTTCAACTCATCTGTACATAAAACAGTTTATAACAAACATTACATATTGAATGAACAACCACATATAAAACATACATTACATATTGAATGAACAACCACATATAAAACATACATTACATATTGAATGAACAACCACATATAAAACATACATTACATATTGAATGAACAACCACACATAAAACATACATTACATATTGAATGAACAACCACACATAAAACATACATTACATATTGAATGAACAACAACACATAAAACATACATAACATATTGAAGGAACAACCACACATATAACATACATTATATATTGAAGGAACAACCACACATAAAACATACATTACATTTTGAAGGAACAACCACAAATAAAAACTGTGAGCTTTTATTGATTTTCACCACGGTTCTTAATCCATTTAGAAATGAACCGGCCAGAATTGGGTCAAATGAGGTCCCATAGGAAATGGGTTAATTATAAGCTTTACATTCCCTTTAATATAACTAGAATTCAAAAATAATTCCATCCGTGCAGAAACAGCCCCAATCAAACCCCTAATTCAGCTACTGTGTGTCCAACCTATTTATTTTTGTCTTTTTCCACTTACCTACACAGGATATTGTTGGTCTAGATTTATAGTTGCCCATTTTCTTCTTGGTCTTGATTTTATACACCTGAGCCCGGACTTATACACCTTGGTCTGGACTTATGTACCTTGGGCTGGACTTACACACTCTGGACTGGACTTGCATTATCAAAATATTCCAGCTATGATTCTAGATCATTATAAAGACAGGCTAGCATGTATTTGTTCATCACATCCTAAATAAAATAAAACAATTTATACAGTAGTCAACAATACAGGTGTACAGCTTGATGTAACTTATACAGGTAGTCAACAATACACGTGTACAGCTTGATGTAACTTATACAGGTAGTCAACAATACAGGTGTGTAGCTAGTGTGAAAGTGTGACTAATTATAATACCCATCACTATTGAATACACAAACCTGGCTAATAGTGGTGTTTATCTTTCTATAGTTATCACTTGTCTGTGACTTCACTTCGGTGGAAGCCAGGCCAGGAAATAACGGTTTAGATATATCTGACAAAATGTCAGGCACTAATGAAATAGTACCGGACATTTTCAACTTAGTGCCGGACATGTGTTAATAATATCAATAAAAAAGACAAATCAGACAGGCACCAAAGGTTTTGTGCCTGAAAAAGCCTGAATCTGTGCCTGACATTATCTGTGACAGGTGCCTTTTTTCCAGGCTGGGTGGAAGCGGACGGTAAATAAAGCTATTTCACACATTCTATTGTCATGATTTAAACCGTAATGACATAAAACCTACTTACATGTGTAATAGCTTACCTACTGCCTGATTACTTATCAATTTAACTGACCAGTAAAGATTATGTATATAAAATTAGGACTTAGATCTGATTGTAACATACATGTAAGTAAAAGTCATGTTTTTATCATAGGGATCGATAAAAACTTTACAGTGACGAATCAAAACTACTAGACTGTGTTCCATACAAGGCTACATTTAATATATAATAAGTTCTACATGGCTAGTACAGTAGATAAGAATAAAGCATATACATCGAATAAATTAATTAAAGATACATATGTTAAGAGCTAAATCTGCCTATTGCAAGTCTTTCTTTAGGCTGCAGATGATATCGAAATTATTAATTAGAACTTTATTTACATGACAAGCCCAAAACTAACTCTGTAGACCCTTGGATGGATTGGATACTGTTTGGTTTTTAAAGAGTAGTCCATATAATATTTAAATCAATAAATGACTGACCAAGCTAACATTGAGCGTTAATCACTAACTGTCGATGAAAGGCCTGCCAATCAAGGGTACCCTAGCCATTGAGAATGTTACTTGATAATGGAGAATATGTGACTGGAGTTATCGTCTGTCAATCAAACGATCTGCAATTCTCAGAGACAGTGCGGAGATAGTTGATCCCTATTTCTAGTCCAAACTTACAATAGTGAAAACTTCGTTCAGAATAAAGTAATTTGACTGAAATTTTCAATATTTTCTTTTTTTATCATTTATTTTTGAATTATAATAGCAAGAATGGCCAACTCTTTATTAAACTCTTAACTAATGTACCTTTAAGGAAGCCCTTCAACAATGCTAATAAGGGCGACTCGATCACCAGTGTGGTATGCCAGAATTGGTCCTATGTGCTGTATACATACAGATACAAAACCTTAGAACGCTCAACTACCTTGGCTGGGGTCAAAAATGGAACAGTTTGTATTAAGGAGTGTGGGGGGGGGGGGGGAGTTCTGAAAAATCAAACTCAGTGGTGGCATAGGAGGCCACTGGTTAGAGAATCTTCTACAAACGTTCAGTTCAATCTATAAACGAATCGCTCTTTCGACAACTTATTCCATTTCCATAACAATAAAAATTAAAATAACGACTAAACTAACGTTGAGAATGAGATTTAGTAATTCAAAAACAACCAAAATAAAACGATTTGCTAACTTCCATAATATTTTGTTGACTAGACCTTTTTTTACGTTACTGTATACGAATTTAATGCAATAAATAGCGGCTTTGGTGGTCTTTTATCGAGAAAATAAACTTTTGATAGGACTTTTTCTGCTAAATACAGGGCGCTGACATATTGGATCTCGCAGTGTCCCGTTATACGAGATATAACGAGACTGGCTGTCAAACATTGGATACGATGTAAACAAAATGGAAAATGCTGCTGTTTTTTGTAATTTCAGGAAATATAAAAGTGCCTTTAAATTCTAAATGATTGAAAAGAACTAGTGCTCAACCTTTTTAATGAAACTGTCGTTGAAAAAATGGCATGTAATTGGAATAAAGAGGACTATTTTCCCCATCTATTGAGGACTGACTCGACTTCTCATGCGGCACTAGAAAAATTGGTTGATGATTTGCATGCAGAAAAGGATCGCACGATCAGCTCGTTTCTGTGTCATTCCGGATCAGAAGATTTCCTATGGGGTTTGGTGAGATTACTAGGGGAAGATATCACCAGGTACAGGATTATACCCCCCCCCCCCTAATATTTAAAGTTTTAATAATGTCATATAAGTATAAGTATTTTCAATAACAGAAATTTTGTTACAGTAGGCCTACTACTAATAATAATAGCTGGATATTGTTGAATTTTTATTATATTTTTGACAGTCATGCCAACGGCCGAAATGGTTCATTTCATTGCTTGTGAGGTGGGTAAGGGCTCCAACAAGTTTGAGAGTGAGTTTTCTCTGGGTTCTCCGAGTTCCTCCAAAGAATTCTATAGCTATGTGCATATGGGCATAAGTCAGTCCCAAAATGACCTATGTTAGGCATTAAGTTCACATTATTTAGCCAGTTTCACACTTTCAGCACCCCCGCCCCCCCCCCCAATTTAGAAAGTTGAAGTTGAATTAAATATGTGAAAAATGTCAAAATAATATCCTTCATCTACGCCCACCCATCACAGACACTCCCAGCAACACAACCACCAAATTTGCTTCACCATAAAATGCATGGTTTAGGAGAAGAAATTAAAAAATTAAAAATCTATGAAATGGCCTAAAAGTGCCTTTTTTAAATGCACCGCCCCACCACAGGCCTATGGATCTTAAATCCATTTGAACCTAGGGATTCCCCGGTTGTACATGACAAGAAGTAGGGTCGCCTGTCCAACCTCATGGATTTTCTTTGGGTCCTCCGGTTTCCTCCCACTGCTAAAGACCCCTATGTGCAAGCGAATTATTGAAATAAAATTGAACCATATGTTAGTCCTGAAATGACCTAGTTTGTGTTGAGTGGACGTTAAACCCAATTTCCCTATCTCTGTGTCTTGAATGTTGAACCTAGGAATATCTTATTCTAGGAGAGAAGAAATGAAATGCGGAGAGAGAGAGACACTTGATTTAGGTAATTTTGGGACTAACATAATATGCACAATTTTATTTCAACCAATACTTAAGTATAGGGATCTTTAACATCAGGCGGAAAACTGGAGGACCCAGAGAAAAAATAGGGGTCCTTAATATCGGAGAGTAAACAGGAGTACCCAGAGAAAACCTATAATGAGGTTAGACAGACTAGCCTTCTGATTAATTTAGAATCCCTCAACTCCTCATATGGTTAGTTTTTAATATTCCTGTATTTCACCACAAAATGTGGGCCCTTAGCTGAACCGCTCCCTTTCCATTGGACGCAATACGAAGTCAACGACCAACATGCCCATATCAGTATGGGCGCCCTGTAAAGACAAGTGACATTGGTTAGGCTGCCCCCGCCCCCCCCCCCCCACTAGCAGTAGCAACAGATCTGAAATGGCAGAACTGAAGGATGTTAAACTCCATGTCATTTCACCACAAAATACATATTTTTATGATTTTAGGTTGTTTTTCAGTATGTAAAATGTAGTTCTGATTATATTATAAATTAGTACCAAGCTTATGTTCAATCAAACAATTTATTAATATCAGCCTCATCTTCTATTGATACTAAGCCCATACAGAAACCTCATACACATGGAACTACTGGAATAATATTTTGGTTCTATTTTGCGTGAAAGCTGCACCGCCGGTACCAGATATTTTTAACCCAAATTTCTTACAAAGATTAATTTTTCTTTTAACATTGTTTCAGAGTTGCTGGAAATGCTGCCTATATTATTGGTACATTGGCCGAGTCGGAGTTGGGCTGTTACAGAGTTCTTGCCCTTGCCCACTCTGGTCGTGCCGAGAGTGAGAAGATTCTACCAAACCTGACGCGGATGCTGGCTTTCAATGATTCTGAATCCGTCATGAATGCTGCGGGTACAATGGGAACTCTGGTATATTTTTTTATAGTTCAGTTTTGTGTCATCGAAGTAGCATTCTGGTCCCGAGTTCAAAAAGCATTCTCAGATTTAAAGTTAAAAATTTACTCAAAATTGTTCGCCTTATTCTAACTAAAATATAGCCCATTATAAAACTTTTGTTGTTTTAATGTATCAAATACATCAATAAGAAATTATGTACAAATTTTTGTGTTTCTGGATCAAAGATATTTCTCATAAACAGTGATTGAAAGTTGAGTAAATTCTTAACTTAAGTCTGAGATTGCTTTGTGAACTCGGTGCCAGGCTTGTTAGACCAGAGGCTCAGTGCAGGAGGTGTCCATCAAATGGGCACAAAACCAGATCCAACTTTTCTATGGTAAAATTTTCAGTGTAAATGACCTCATTTGTCTTTTGACCCCAAATATCTCGAAAATGCCCCAATGGCTGACAGATTACCACTAGGCATCGTATTCTAATCAAAAATGCGGTAGAAAAAATTGGGTCTGGTTTTGTGCCCATTTGAGCCTAAGACCATGTGGTTGGGCGTATATTTTGTTGCCATGTAAACTATGTTTGTAATCCGCTGTGTGTCATCTATATATGATTAACAGAGGGTTAATTTTCTAAGCTTTAACCAGTTGAATCAGGATTTCCTGAAGGTTCTCTGGTTTGCTTTCCATTCCCAGCTTGTACGTGACAAGGTGTAGGGTCGCCTGTCCAACCTTGTGGGTTTCATCCCACAGCTAAATTCCTCTATGTGCAAGTGAATTATTGAAATAAAATTGAAGCATATGTTATTAGTCCCGAAAGGACTTAATCTGTGTTAAGTGGACTTAAATCTCTCTCTCTCTCTCTCTCTCTCTCTCTCTCTCTCTCTCTCTCTATTTCTCTCTCTCTCTCTGCAATAACAGTTCATGAGTGGTGGTGGTTCAGTGAGTAAGATGTTGGCTCGCTAACCTGGAGCTCTTGGGTTCGACCCCCGGTGTTTATCCAAGAACATTCATCATGATTTTCCCCTTTGTCAGTGGTTCAGGATGGAGGGCTTGGCAAGGGACAATGTGTAGTTGTTCGGATGTCACGAAAAATCGATATACCAATTGCACCATGTTAGTCCCGAAATAATGATATACCAATTGCACCACGTTAATCCTGAAATAACGATATACCAATTTCACCATGTTAGTCCCGAAATAACGATATACCAATTGTACCATGTTAGTCCCGAAATAACGATATACCAATTACAGTTTGTTAGTCCCATCATTTTCATTCCCCATTTTATTTTTCTCTGGTTTAGGCCGAAAGTCCCCAAGGTCGTGATTGGATGTTATCAGTTTCCTGTTTAAATATGCTATTAGATCATGTGACAGCATTATTACATACAGAAAATATGTGGACAGCAAGTAATGCAGCTCTTGTTATAGCCAGGTAGGTCCTCTTATACCCAGGTAGGTCCTCTAATACCCAGATAGGTCCTCTTATACCCAGGTACAGTCGGGTATAGATCCTAATAGGCAGGTAGGTCGTAATACCCAGGTAGGTCCTAGTAGCCAACCTGAGGGAGCCATGTAGGTCCTAATATTTCTTTGGAGTGGTTGAGTGACAGAGTAGTGTAAACATGTTCACTGTTTATTGTAAGATCTGATAAATATCCCTAACAGATTAACTCTTGTTTTTTTTTTCTGGTTCCTATTATAATGGTTCAACCATGACACAATCTGGTGCCTATTATAATGGTCCAACCATGATAAATCGACCTTGATTAGAGGAATATTGTTTTATTTATGTGTTTTTATTTTTCGTGATAACTTGATTTAAATTATTGTCTGACCTAGTAGTACTCTAATACCCAGGTACAGTCAGGTATAGATCCTATTGTCTGACCTAGTAGTAACTGTAGACACATGGATGAGACAAAAACACAGACATTTTAAACTTGAAATAAATAAAAAATAAAGAAAACAAACGGGGGCCCTGTTCTAGCCAGAAAAATTGGTGCAGATAAGTGAAAAGCTAAAGCCCATTCCATTTAAAGAATCTACATGTAAGTCTCTAACTCAATGTAATCCAAAGTCTTCGACATTGCAACCACGAATTATTTGTCAGTTTAAAATAACATTGATGTTGTGATCTTACTGGGAAAAGATGGGCTTCTGATATCCAATATTTAAGATAAAATAAACATTTTACCATTGGTACAGGGGACTCGAAGAATGAGGCTAGACATATTCCACAAGTCATGTCAAACGGTGACGCCATGCACAATAAATATGGTTGTAGATTGGAATAAGCAAATGCTAACGATTGCCTTTCGATTGAGACGTCTGGCGTATTTCGCCAAATATAACTGATTAGGAATTAGAGTAAAAACAGAAAAGATTGAATGTAAATCAATTTATATACATTCCTGTTTTGTCAGGTTAAAACGTGATTTGATGTTGGGGTATATTTACAGATTATCGATATCAGAAGATGGTTGTAATAAAATATTAAGTCATCCATTGTCGTTAAATATCCTCGTTAAGCTCATCATGTCACTCGGAACAGACGAAGCAGGTTAGTAAACACTTACTTTAAAGATACATTAATCCAGTGGTTCTCTGATTTTGTTGGGGGATTGGATGGCTGAATGGTTAGCTTGCGCGCGCTGTATCTTAAAGTCTGTCATTGAGACGACTGGCGTGGTTTCGAATCCCCGGTTGTACTTGACAAGGAGTAGGGTCGCCTGTCCAACCTCGTGGGTTTTCTCCGGGTCCTCCAGTTTCCTCCCACTGCTAAAGACCCCTACGCGCAAGCGAATTATGTAAATAGAATTAAACCATATGTTAGTCCCGACATGACCTAGTTTGTGTCAAGTGGACTTAAACCCCATTTCTCTCTCTCTCTCTCTCTCTCTCTCTCTCTCTCTCTCATGTTTTTTATGCCAATGGCACACATTAGAACACCTGGCTAAATATATATGAAAAATGTTTTGATTTTGTAATATAAAAACATGGTAAGTCAGACAGCATACAGCCCTAGACACAGACAAGTCATAGATACATAGAGTGACTCAAACTAAATAAAGAAAAACACAGCTATGAACTTATCAGTAGACACCTGTGAATACTCAACTTAGGAATATCTCGTGGCCCACCTGTGTGTCATGGCACACCTGGTTGAGAATCACTGCATCAATCTCTCTATTGCAGATCTTTCGTTTGGGCTCAAACGTTATTTAGATTATTAATTAGACATTTAATAACATGAATATCCTATAATCTACTATGTAGACCATCGGATGGTTGTGATTTTTAACAGATTTGAGCATGATTTCCATTAAATGATTTAATCTAAAAATGGATAATCAAGACTTTGTTTATTATTGTAATAACAGTAGAAATGAAAATCGTGACTACGCTGTACTTCAAACAGTTATAACCTTGCTCAGAATAAAGTAATTTGACGTCAATTTTCAATGGATTACTTATTCATTATATATTTTTGAACTATGATAGCAAGAACTATCAGCTGTTTATCTAAATCTTACATACACATATCTTTAAAGTAGTAAAACTGTTGTTAGGCTATAGTATATATCTTATAAGGGGGTTGGATGGCTGAATGGTTAGCGTGTGTCATAAGGTCTGTCGTTGAGTCAACTGGTATGGTTTCAATTCCCGGGTTGTAGGAGTAGGGTCACCTGTCCAATCTCGTGGGTTTTCTCTGGGTCCTCCGGTTTCCTCTCACTGCTAAAGACCCCTACGGGCATGCGAATTATTGAAATGAAATTGGACAATGTGTTAGTCCCGAAATGACCTGGTTTGTGTCAAGTGGACGTTAAATCCCATTTCTCTCTCCTATATATTTATATCTCGTACTGAAACATTACATAGTGTAAAAACATACATCTCTAATACACCATGTTTCTTACAATTGAAAATCTATAAATTAGCAAAAACTTGATTCAATTCAAAATTATTGTCGGACGAAAAACTGAGGTCCCTTGTACACTTTGGCATGCACGTAAAAGATCCCTTGACAGTTGGAATTCGATATAAGAGTAGGCCGTAGCGCCGCTGTCCAGGCAAAATTTCCCTCATAGCACACTGTATGGCGTATGCCCGTCTTCATTAGCCCATGTTAGGAGCAGAACAGTAGGACGTTAAACCCCATTTCATTTCATTTCCAAAATAATTGTCTATTATTAATCACACTATCTGATTCAGAAATTGTAACTGCTTGTACTTAAAATATTCTTGAATAATTCCCATTATTTTATCTTTTGATAGCATCGTTTACTGTTAACTAATTTTATTTGGTTTGTTAACTACAGTGAACTCTGTCAATTCTGACATCGTACAGGATCAATACAATATGCCGGATTACACAGCATGTCCGAATACTCAATTGCCTCAATCAACCCAATAAACAAAGCCCAACACATGTCTTGTGCTCGCAGATAATTGATTAGTGATTGCTTGTCGGTTAACACCCAAAGATTATCCAGTGTTAATAAAATGCAAATTGTGTGACAGGAACGCTGATTGATGTCGTAATTCGAAATATTCAGAATCTGGACTACTCAAAACTTTTTCTGTTGAAGTAATAAGGAAATAAATCGGGAAATGAAAATGATGACGGATTTCACAGAATGTCGTCATATTCAGATGTCAGAAGTGACAAGAGAGTACTGGAAGAACAAGATGCCTGTTTATATCTGTAATTAAACAGGACACAATTGTTATGGGAAATCACTGCACATCGTTTTTACAAGTATCATCTTATCGTTATCAAGCACAATGAGGTAAACTTGAGGTCAATTTATTAGAATAAAACCTTTGATTGATTTCCCATATAGAATTGTATTCTGTTAATTATGTTCTTCTATCCCTGAAAGTCACTTTAAGATTATAAATTGACTTGTTTTACAGGACGGGGGATGAATGCAGCATTTGCTATAGGAAGATTATGTGATATGGAATCTGGAAGACAGAGGCTACTGACATTACCTGAATCGGATAAAATGGTGAGATGAAAGATCATGGTTTTCTCTGTTTTCGTTCCATTGCTATCACAAGCAAATATCATTTATGAAAAGTGAAAGATATCTCTTAAAAATCTCTCCAAAATCTGACATATTTCTCTTTTATAAAATGAAATTTTGTACCAAGTTTAAATTGTGTTCAATGTTTATTTTTTGTGGTAGATATCATCTTTAGCCCGTATGTTGAGTTGCCCCGATCTCGGAGCCAGTAAGAATGCATGTTTTGCTCTGAGTTGCCTAGCAACTAACGATGAAGGCCATAGTAGATTATTAAAGAATCCTCTTATAGAGGAAGTTTTGTCGGTGTTATCACATTTGTTGAAGTCTGAAGATAGCGAGACAGGCTGGTTTGCCGCCATGTAAGTTTATTACATATATATCTTGATGTATTTTATGAGTATTTGGATCTAGAATTAGGTTGGGAGATATCTAGCAAATGATTTTATGTTGATTACACAGTTTTGATATTGCAAAATATTCAAACAGCTAACACATGTTTTAAATGAATATACTTTATATATTTCTACTCAGTTAGTTTCTACTACAGACATGTCGGACCGCAGACCGCAGACCGCAGACCGCATGGTTTTTCTTATCTATGATTGGTCATACACGGGAAGTAGTATTATGTTAGAATGGTCAAAAGTCACTATTACCATAATATACTCAGTGTAGTTATTTCAATACTGTAACCAAAGATTAATACATAACAGATATATATTTGTGTATATTTTAGGACTATTCTGTATTTTTGTATATTTTATGTATTTTTGTGTATGTTTTAGGACTATTATGTATATTTGTATGTTTTATGACTATTATGTATATTTGTATATTTTATGACTATTATGTATTTTTGTATATTTTATGTATTTTTGTATATTTTAGAACTATTATGTATTTGTTTTTGTTTTAAGGACTATTATGTATTTGTGTATATTTTAGGACTATCCGTACACTAGCCAGTCAGCCTAAAGGATGTGTAAAACTTCGAGATAATCAGCCATTACAAACAGCATTAAAGGTAATACTTACTCTAACTAAAACAAGCAATTATTGTTGTGTGTTTTAGACAATGAATTTACAACAACAAATGTCCCATAATCAAAACAGAACATCCCTTGGTGAGGGTTTGAGCCTACTAGAAAATTCTTTGGGCGTCCGTATGAGATAATTAATGGAGGTTGTGTGTACACAATGGGTTTTTACCTAATAGACTGACAAGATTGCAGAAAAGTAGGCCAAAGCGCTGCTGCCAGGGCAAAATTTCTCCTATAGCAAACATTATGGTGTTTGCCCATCGTCATTAGCCCATATGTTATTCTCAAAATGATTTAAAGTAGCTAAGTCTCTAACTCAATATCATCCAAAATCTTCAACATTGAAAACACAAATTATTTGTCAATTTAAATCAACATTGATGCTGTGATCTTACCGGAAAAAGATGGGCTTCTGATATCCAATGTTTAAGACAAAATAAACATTTTTGCCATTGGTACACGAATCGTGTACCATAATGCGTTTCAGCCCCAGTTCTAGCAAGAGACTCGAGGAATGAAGCTAGACATATTGCACCAAACCAAACGGCGTATGTAGACTTGAATAACCAGGCGCTAAAAATTTGCATTCGATTGAGACTTCAGGCTTATTTCGCCGAACATAACTGATTTGAAATTAGAGTAAAAACGGAAACCATTGAATGTATATCAGTTTATATACATTCATATTACAGTATTATATGAGTTCCGACCCACTTATGTCAATTTCTAGGTCCTAAATGTTAGCGATTTAGCTCCTTTAAGTAAAGTGTCAATGAAACATTATTCATTTATTTTTGTAATATGGATGCATTTTATGTCAATTAACGACAGGGATGCTATTTCAAAAGTTTGCTTATCAGACATTTTTAGTTAATAGAGGCCAGAATTATGTCATCAGCGTCTAGAAATAAGGTCATTAAGCTTCTGTTCACCTTGATAGATCTCAACTAGAAATATTTCTTATATTATATGTACTACGCAACTTAGCAGCAGCTGTACTTGACGTAATATGTATGAGTTTAATTTCAGTTAACGGCAGCTGAACCTGATGTCAACGTGGATTTAAAAGAGGAAGTAGAGATAACTCTAGATATATTAAAACGTCTGGAAAAACCAAATTTACCTGTTATTGAAGGTACTTGTTAAACATGTATTTATAAAATAAAACAGTTCAGAAACCTGCTGCTTGTTTAATCAAATGTAATTACTCGGTACTGGAAGCCATTTTTTTCAAATTTCCCATCTGTAAAATCAGTGCCTGCAGGACTGACAGGGAAAGTGGCCCAAGTCATTCAGTCATAGGTTTTCTCCGAGTCCTCTGGTTTCCTCCCACAGCTAAGGACCCCCTGCATGCAAGCGAATTATTGAAATAAAATTGAACCATATGTTAGTCCCGAAATGACCTAGTTTGTGTTGAGTGGACATTAAACCCCATTTCTCTCTCTCTCTCTCTCTCTCTCTCTATTGATGTTTACACACCTCCAGACTATATCTCCCATAGCAAATGGTGATGTTTTAATGTCATTAGCGGTTTGTATTTCACCTGCACAAGGTGATCGGCGGTTGATATCTCGTGATAACCTTTATTATTATTATTATTATTATTATTATTATTATTATTACAGCATATTTATAGTACACCCTTTCATATAACATGTTCAGGGGCACTTTACAAAGTGACAATGTAAATCACACATAAACAACAAGATTATGGGCATGTTAACGATTGTATACAGAGTCAGTTAAAAGCCTGATTAAATAAATGTGTTATAAGTTGTTTTTTAAAAGAATATAGAGATGTACAACATCTTAAACTTTATAGTTTATATTAGTTTATAGTTTATAGCAATCTATTTCCACTGCTGTAATTAGAAATAAAAATTGTATGGGCAGCTAGCTACTACTATTAACAGTTTGTTAATTTGTTTATGTAAATGAAATATATTATTTATCTATATTTGATGATACAAGCAATCAATGGCTCAGAAGTCAACATTCAGTGGCAAGAAGTCAAACCCAAGAGTGGCCTTGAAGTTTCCTATCAAGTTTTGGAAGGTAATTAGATTATCCACTTTGAGCTGATAACTGGGTGATCTGGTCGAGTGGTCTCGATCATTAGGTATCTCATTAAGTCAAGTCAAGTTGTTTCGAAACAGGCTCCAACCTTGTTGGTTTTCTCGGGGTCCTTCGGTTTCCTCCCACAGCTAAAGACCCCTATGCGCAAGCAAATTATTGAATAAGATTGAACCATATGTTAGTCCCGAAATGACCTAGTTTGTGTCGAGTGGACGTTTAACCCCATTCTCTTTCTCTCCTCGATACAGCCTTGAAAATGACAATGGGTCGGATCGCCTGCCCAACCATGTATGCTAATTTATCAAAATCCTGGATATATAGACTATGAATTTTGTACCTCTACCTTATTAACACACCTTATGATTGCCAGGAATCACACACCTTATGATCGCCAGGAATCACACACCTTATGATCGCCAGGAATCACACACCTTATGATTGCCAGGAATCACGCACCTTATGATCGCCAGGAATCACACACCTTATGATTGCCAGGAATCACACACCTTATGATCGCCAGGAATCACGCACCTTATGATTGCCAGGAATCACACACCTTCAGGTCATCAGTCTTGTCTAGAAAACAAGAACTGATTTTTATTGTCCAATCAGAATCGCTTAAATAAATCTGACTAATTGAAAGACTCAGCGAGTCGTTTTACACGATCATATTTTCGACTCTTCAAACCCATAATGTTGAGAATTGAAAGTATCAGCAAGCCCTTTAACACTTATATTTTCGACTCTTCATTCCCCGTTGTCGAGAATTGAAAGCACCAGACGTTATTAGCATGGTTATATTTTATTCTGCAGGTAATCGAAGTGTATATAAAGGTCAACAATGTTCTTGTTCTGTGGACGGGCTTCAACCTGCAACCAAATATGGTTTTAAACTACGATGTTTAACAGAAAACGATGAGAGTCCATTTACAGACGTAGTTTTTATAACAACTTTAGAAGGCGGTATGTTCTAATTGATAATAAGGCTCCGGTAGTCAAGGGTTAGGGCACTTGTCAGAAGTGAGGCATGGTGGGCTGATAATGAGACTCCGGTAGTCGAGCGTTACGGCACTTGTCGGAAGTGAGGCATGGTGGGCTGATAGTCAAGCGTCAGTTCACTAGACTTGTGACTAGAAATTTCTGGGTTCAAATCCCAGTCTGGAGCAGGAAGTGAAATCCCTGTGTAGATCAGGAAGAAGGGAAGTGAGTCCTGTAGGGAAGTGAGTCATGTAGGGAAGTGTTAAAGGATGTGTGCCTAGTTCCTTAGATGGGACAAATAGTGGTTTTCAGATTAATCATGACTATACATTTGATTGAATTAGATATACAACTACCTGTTTACAAACTTCTTACAGATTTAAAATCGATTAATAATATAAATCGATATATTGTCCGTGAAACGTATATCATGTACAGAGCAAATGTCCATGTGTGTAACTGTATTATAAAAACATAGAATATATTTTTCCTGAAATGACCTAGTTTTTCCTGAAATGACCTAGTTTTTCCTGAAATGACCTAGTTTTTCCCTGAAATGACCTAGTTTTTCCTGAAATGACCTAGTTTGTCCAGAAATGACCTAGTTTGTGTTGAGTGGATGTGAAACATACTATTCTATTTCTAATGAATACATATTTTGTCGAGTCGACATTAAATTAATACATATTTTGTCCCTTTTGTTTAAACTGCACCAGGCCCAGAGAAGTGGATGTTAAATTAATAATTTTGTCTAAACATCACCGGGCTCAGTCGAGTGTACGTTAAATTAATACATTTCATCTTTTTAATTGATACACAAGCAGGCCCAGTCTAGTGGACGTTAATTTTTTTTGTTTAATATATTCAAACAGCACCGGGTCCACCAACCAATATGCGTGTATTAGGATGTACAATAACACAGTTAAAGATTGGGTGGGATCCACCAGATATAACAAATGGACAGGTCAAAGGTTATCACGTATATCAAGGTTAGTATCAAACAGATAGGTCAAAGGTTACCAGGTATATGAAATGAAATGAAATGGGGTTTAACGTCCTACTGTTCTGCTCCTAACCTGGGCTGATGAAGACGGGTATACGCCATACAGTGTGCTATGAGGGAAATTTTGCTCGGGCAGCGTTACTACGGCCTACTCTTATATCGGATTCCAACTGCTAAGGAATCTTTTACATGCACGCCAATGTATACACAGGACCTCGGTTTTTCGTACCATCCGAACTACTAGACAGCTGTCCTTGTCAGGCCCTCTGTCCTGCATCACTGACAAGGGGAAACCACTTCGCAAAATCTGGATGAACTTTCTCGACCAATGCAGGGATCGAACACCCGACCTCCAGACTAGCAAGCCAGCGTCTTACCCACTTAGCAACGTCATACCTACCATGAATATTAAAATATGTCTAATATATTGGGATTGTATATTTAACCTTTATTCTGGTAGGTCAGGTAATACACACTCATTGTCTGGATATTTTTTATAGCCATGTTCCACATAATTCATATTTATTTTACATTTCAACAGGTGGAAAACAGGTGGATTTTACAACTGATGTGACGTCAATAGTAACAGGTTTAACACCTAATTCACAGTTTACTGTTCAGGTAATATACACAGTTTACAGGTAATATACACAGTTTACAGGTAATACACACAGTTTACAGGTAATATACACAGTTTATAGGTAAAAGCAATAAATAGTTTATGTTAAATATAATGTTTATCTGTAACATAACGACAAAAATGGTCTGTTGTTATTTTTTTTTAATGTTGTGTTTATTCAGTGATCAACTCGTATGTTTTTAGGTTTGTGCTGCCACTGCCAGGGGTAAAGGTGAAAAAGCATCTGTGGTTGGAACAACAGCTGAGCTTGGTGCCCATGCTCCATCGAAACCTAATGTTACAGTTCTAGGACGTAATGAAGTACATGTATCATGGGCTAGCCCAGAGGTTCCGTTTGGTCGTATCACCAGATATGATGTTATCATGAATGGGAAGATAATCCACACAGGAACGGAACTGTCATGTTCCGTACACAGACTCACGCCTGATACTGAATATTGTTTTGTGGTAAACATATTAAAAGTATTTCTCTGATAAAAGATGCCAGTCCTGGATCTAACTCGTAGTTTACAGGGGGTGGGGTGACCAAGATAGAAAGGGGACTGATTGGCTGGAGGTGTTTAAGTGACCCGTCTGTCAGATGACATGTATCAATCACAAGCTGGTTAATGACAAGTTAAAGTGTCACCTGCCTAATGAAATGAAATGAAAATGAAATGAAATGGAGTTTAACGTCCTACTGTTCTGCTCCTACCCTGGGCTAATAAAGATGGGCATACGCCATAAAGTGTGCTATGAGGGAAATTTTGCCCGGGCAGCGGCGCTACAGCCTGCTCTTATATCGAATTCCAATTGCCAAGGGATCTTTTACGTGCACGCCAATGTGTACACGGGACCTCAGTTTTTTGTCCCATCCGAACGACTAGACAGCTGTCCTTGTCATTTCCTCCGTCTTGCATGACTGACAAGGGGGAACCACGCCAGAAAATCTGGATGAACTTTCTTGGCCAATGCAGGGATCGAACACTCGACCTCCAGGCTAGCGAGCCAGCGTCTTACCCACTTAGCCACGTGATCCCTCACCTGCCTAACATCGTGGGTTTGTTTTCTCTCTGATATTAGATCACATTTATCTCTCTCTCTCTCATTTCACCACATCTTCTAATTGATAGATTTTGTGTGTTGTTTCTATTTAATAGATTTTGTGTGTTGTTTCTATTTAATAGATTTTGTGTGTTGTTTCTATTTAATAGATTTTGTGTGTTGTTTCTATTTAATAGATTTTGTGTGTTGTTTCTATTTAATAGATTTTGTGTGTTGTTTCTATTTAATAGATTTTGTGTGTTGTTTCTAGTTAATAGATGTTGTGTGTTGTTTCTATTTAATAGATGTTGTGTGTTGTTTCTATTTAATAGATGTTGTGTTTCTATGTTCTATTTAATAGATGTTGTGTTTCTATGTTGTTCTATTTAATAGATGTTGTGTTTCTATGTTGTTCTATTTAATAGATGTTGTGTTTCTATGTTGTTCTATTTAATAGATGTTGTGTTTCTATGTTGTTCTATTTAATAGATGTTGTGTTTCTATGTTGTTCTATTTAATAGATGTTGTGTTTCTATGTTGTTCTATTTAATAGATGTTGTGTTTCTATGTTGTTAGGTAGTTGATATGTCAATCTGATTAAAACCCAGATCCTATTTCGTTTCGTTTTTTATAGTTTAAAATTTTGTTTTACTTGTCTTTACTACACCATAGAACTATGACTACACTAGGATCTGGAAGAGTTGTTATATAACCCACATTCTGGATGACGTGAGTGATTATTAGCCAATAAAATGGTCTGTTATGGCGAGTTTTTGGCGTGAGGTGCACAGAACTGTGGGTACCCCGCTAGAAACATCAACGCAGATTTATTAATCGAATGTCTGACATCATAGGGTCAAAAGCTTCTTGTATGACCTCTGATGTGACCTCCCAGTACAACTTGTCAGATCTTCATATAGTGTACGTCATCAATGTATAAAAAACAAATCGAAATATAGATCTGTATTTTAATTAGGTTTTTGCAATAACAACCTGTACCATATATATACTAAATATATATATTTTTTTAGGTTGTTGCTATAACTAGTGAAGGTAAATTTGAAAGTAAACCAACAAAGAAACGGACTGCTAAAGATGAATGTAAGTAGGCCTATATTTAATATCAAGAAAACTTGGCTCCTATCATTGCCCTGATCATCAATTAAATCTATACAGTTTGCTATACGTAATGAAAGGTGAGAACTGTTCTGAGACAGAATAACGTTTACAGTGCCAAGACCACCTTATCTTGAGTGGTCCAGATTGGAACGGTTCTAGTATGGGACAGTTATGTTTTATACCACATTACCCGTTCTTGATTCTGTTCCAGACTCGTTTGATATTTGTAATGTAAACAGGATTAATGACATGCAGCAGAGGGTTTGTGTCTGACGCAACTTGTGATATCGGTGTCTGACGCAACTTGTGATATCGGTGTCTGACACAACTTGTGATATCGGTGTCTGACGCAGCTTGTGATATCGGTGTCTGACTCAACTTGTGATATCGGTGTCTGACGCAGCTTGTGATATCGGTGTCTGACGCAACTTGTGATATCGGTGTCTGACGCAGCTTATGATATCGGTGTCTGACGCAGCTTATGATATCGGTGTCTGACGCAACTTGTGATATCGGTAGCATGTGCTTCATTTACAGCCCAGCTTTAAAGAAATCTAGAAATTAGGTTAAATGTTAAAAATGCATTATGTAAGATTAAGAACTAAATTTGCCTATTGCAGATCTCTCTGTTGGCTTCTAGTGATACATTAATTAGACATTTATTAACATGACAAGCCTATAATCAACTCTCTAGATCATCAGATGGCAGAGATTTTAATGGATTAGAACACCAGCAAGATTTAAAAATTTAACAATAAAATGGATAATCACAACTATGTCTCGTTTGTCCAGTACCATTGCTATGATAATAAACAATCTGTGCTACATCTTCAAATACTCATAACTTTGCTGAGAATAAAGTAATTTGAATGACATTTTCAATATATTCATATTTCATTATCTATTTTAGAACTACTATAGCAAGGACGGTCAGTTCTTTATCTAAATCTTATATTATGTCTCTTTAAACTACACTTTTTAAAACTAATATAGAGTTTGTTTATTGTATTGTAGATGATGTAACTAGGCAACCATTATATCAACCACCGCCTCGACGAGATTCTGTTACGGAAGACATAATAACAAGCTCATCATCAAATAACAACAAACAATCCACATTTAAAAATCGTAAATCAATAGGGGAGATAAAACCACGTCAAAATAGTGCCAAAATAGATAAAAACACAGCCAATGTAAGTGTTATACTACATGATCAGTTCTAGTTGGTAAAATATTAATTTCTTATTTTCACTTTGACTACATGTACAGGTGCTGAGTGTTTGCAAGGACATGAAACAAAATCCATATTTCTGAAAGAATTACATGTAATTATGAAGAATTTATTCTTAATTGATCCCTGACAATCAAGAAACAAGTTCTGATATTGTATATGGTGGGTGGGTGTCTGAGTGGTTAAGGTGTGCGCTACAGTCTGTCATTGAGTCAAATGGCATGGTTTTGATTCTGAGCTTGTTTAGGGCAAGGAGTAGGTTCGCCTGTCCAACCTTGTGGGTTTTCACTGTGTCCTCCGGTTTCCTCCCCCACTGCTATTAAACTGTTTAGATATCAGAGTCTCATATCACTGTATTTAAAGGACAATATTGGTGTCAGTCATTATCACATATTAAAGGACAATATTGGTGTCAGTCATTATCACATATGTGATAGAACTGGTTAAACACCTTCCAAATATAATTTTAACATGAGATCTTTGCTACTATAGATGCGTAATGAAGATTTCAAGAAATGGAAGTGACGAAAGCAAAAGGAAAACACAAGTTATCCTTCTATATAACTGACTGAGGTGACGAGTGATAACAGTTACACAGGCGAATTTCTGCTCACGAAAAAGTCCATTCATTACCATGTTTTTACTCAGTATGGCAGAGATTTAAACGGATTAAAACACGATAACCATTTAATGATTTAATTTAAAAACGGTGAATCAAAGCTAAATCTTGATTAACAAGTACCGTTGTTACCATCATAAACAGTCTATAACACATCTTATCAAAACTTCAAACAGTGATCACAGTAATTTCAATGAAATTTTCAATATATTCATATTGCATTATCTGTTTTTGAACTATTAAAACAAGAACAGCCAGCTGTCTATCTAAATCTTACATGATACATCTTTAATAAGAATGGTAAAATCTATTGTAGGTGAAAATAGCCACAAGTTCAACCGTTGTTGTGCCAACAGCTAATGAAATCGTGGATAGGCCTGATTCAGGTAGGCTAAATTCAAATTTGTAATGGGAAGATGTTTTTCGATGGATTATATTGCACAGTGATTATATTACACTGTGATTATATTACACAGTGATTATATTACACAGTGATTATATTACACACTGTGATTATATTGGTTTCTGAAAGATATGTGTAGTATTGGTATTATACTGGTAACCATGGTGATGGTAGTATTATACTGGTAGCCATGGTGATGTGTAGTATTATACTGGTAGCCATGGTGATGGTAGTATTATACTGGTAACCATGGTGATGTGTAGTATTATACTGGTAGTCATGGTGATGGTAGTAATATACTGGTAGCCATGGTGATGCACAGTATTATACTGGTGACCATGGTGATGTGTAGTATTATACTGGTAACCATGGTGATGTGTAGTATTATACTGGTAACCATGGTGATGTGTAGTATTATACTGGTAACCGTGTGATTTCCTCTTGTCAGTGGTGCAGGATTGTGTGGCTGGCAATGAACAGTGTCTGATCATTCAGATTGGACATTGGCTTACACTTATAGCAACACTTCACTCATATAGCGCACTGCATGGCCGTCCTCATTTGTCAGGTTGGAGCAGAAAAGTAGATTTTGTCAAAATGGAGTAATTCTAAAAGTGATTATAAAGATATGTTTATTCTATGGCCTGGAGCTCAGATGTTATGTTCTATTTTGTATGATAAATTTTATATTCATGAGGACATTTTATATTTTATCATTGTTTCAGCTGGCAGCAGTGTGACCACAAAAACCTCACCGTCTAGACCAATAGATACAACCAATCAACATCAAGAACAGATAAAGGTGTGTTCAGCTAGTCGAGTATCAGGTGACATCCGACCCAAACGATATCTTAAATTAGCTCTGGTCAGTTCCTAGCCAATTATAGCACAGTGTGAAGATCATGTGACTTGTCTGTTTCCCAGCACCTGTAGCACATTAATTGTCATTTGGTTGTTTTGTTTTTGTTTTTACTTTTAAACTGACCTCTGACCTTTCTGATTTGACTTTCTAGATCATTAGGTCTTTTATTGAATAAAGTAAGGACCCGCTGTGGCGCTGGCTCTCCGATTCCACTGTTGGCTGAAAAAGTTCCCTGGGATTTTCAGCATGGTGTAGGATGAAAGGCCTGGCAAAGACAGTGTATAGTCGTTCAGATGGGGTGATAAATAATATCCAGTAAACATATTGGCGTGCATGTATAAAAACCCTTGACGGTTGTAATTTGATATACAAGTAGACCAAAGAACTGCTATCCAGACAGAATTTCCCTCATAGCACGATGTATGGGATACACAGGTCTTCATTAGTCCAGTCGGACATTAAACCCAATTTCATTTCACTTCCCAGGTTTGTAGGTGACTGAAATAGGTTTTTAGATTTTACACTTTTAACAGTTTTGGCACTTTGGTTTTTTTTAAAATTCTGACAAAGATTGTCAGCTGTTTTTATGTTGTATTTGAATTTGTATAACAGTTTGTAATTTACATTCTGTGGTGAAGCACGTATAATGTCTACTGATTATACTAATTTGAAATTGAGGTTTGAATTATTTAAAGATATGGCTTATGGAAATATTCAGGTGTTCGAATGGTCTAACGACTAGACTTTAGATCATAAGGTCTATAAAGTGTTATTATTTTGATCCCACCAATGTACATAACACGGAGGTCCGTGGATCGAAACCACGCTCTGCTACCATGTTAAATGAAGGCTAACTATAATTATATATTCTTTATTAGCTATCAGACGTGCATCTGCCTTTCATGGTTACATACATAAAAGTCATGATCTACAGATACACAAGGACCGAGGCGTCCTCTCACTGCACGTGCGCTATACGGATCTAATTAATATTCATGAGTCTGACATAACGTTGACTGTTCCACCTGCTGGTTTCCTCCCCACAGCTGAAGCACTCTACCCACAATTGAACTGTATGGTTTGTGTCAAGTGAATATGTCTAACCTGTGATATTTTGGAAGTATCAGAACCAATTTTATTTACAATTATGGATTAATAATTACAAACTATATTAAACATTCAAATTGCTCTGTGGTCAGTGCTTACACCTTATTGTATGAGGTTTGGGTTGGTGTGAGTTACTGGCAAGTCTTGACTGGCATTAGGTGGGAGGGGCTTGCAAGTCTTGATTGCCATTAGGTGGGAGGGGCTACAAGTCTTGATTGCCATTAGGTGGGAGGGGCTACAAGTCTTGACTTGCATTAGGTGGGAGGGGCTAGCAAGTCTTGACTGGCATTAGGTGAGAGGGGCTAGCAAGTCTTGACTGGCTGTAAAATTTATTTATATCTTAAATGTTTTGATATTTTACATAAAAGATTTATGTTACCATGAATATTATTATTTCAGAAAATAAAAACATCAGTGAAATCACCTCCACTGGAGAAAAGACGCGATTCCAATTTGAATATGGGTGGTAGTAATAAATCGAAAATAGAATTCCATCGACCAAGTATTTCGATACCTGTATCAGTATCCAATAATAAAGATGTTTCGTCATTTCATCGTAAATTAACAGATCGTGACCCTAGTATTATTAAAAGTATGTTTCCCGTGACAGTTAGCTACGTTTCAATACAAGGAGATGAACGACAGGACGACCTAGACTATAAGATTAAAAATACTGGCGCTTGGACTCGTCGACCAATCGGAAGAGCAGTAGTAGTTTCAAATAAATCAAGTGTCAAATTAAAACTTGACAGATCGAAGGCTTTGCCAGCGTCTGTTGGATCTCAGAGTTCTGTGAAAGCGAAACTTTCTCAACCTGATCCGGATGTGCCAATTGTTCTGGAATCAGATGTTTTATACGAATCGACAGACAAGCCAATGGATCCAAACGAACGAAATAATCGAATATACGAGCGCAAAACCATGTTGCCAAAACCAACGATGCCAAGTCAACAATATCTAGATGGAGGAAAGACTTCTGTCAGTGACTTGTCTAAATCTCGATGTTTTGGGTCACAAGGTTTAACGGACTCAGCATGTAGTACGGATACGTCCGATAGCAACAACAGAAACAGAAGGTATGATATACATTTACATTAAATAATATTAATTACCATGGACTCTGTCACTTCCGACATCTGAATGCTACGGCATTCTATGAAATCCATCATCATTTTCATGTCCCAATTTATTTTCTTATTACTTCAACCAAAAAAGGTTTGAGTAGTCCAGATTCTGAATATTCCGAATTACGACATCGATCAGCGGTCCCATCACAAGATTTGCATTAAATTATCATTGGATAATCCAGCCTTCAATCAGTGGGCATTAACGGAACGGACAAGCAATCGCCAATCAATTATCTGTGAGCATAAAACATGTGTCGGTCTTTGTTGATTACCTTGATAATTTTATAATCTCTTGTAAGAGAGTGCTTGGTTTTTGATTTGAGTTTCTCACGTCAAATACAGCAACATTAGGCCTATATATAAATTGCTGAGATAAAGAATCATTATTATACTGTGTTCAAAATGTGTGATCGTCCTGCATAGCGTGCCCGTACAGATTTGACATTCAAATTATAGCAGATTTTGAGAAGGTTCCACGACCTATTCAAATGTGACTATAATCTTTCGTCACCCCTGTCCTTCCATTACTTCGTCCATCATCCAATCGACTTGTATTCTTTAAATTGTTATGAGACAAAGAATCCTATTGGACAACACATCAGATTAATGTAATCTACTAATCCTAGATTAAAGAGAATTTGCTGTTTTAACATGTGCTATAACTTGTGTTGTTGTTAACAAACTCATATCAAATGAGATTTAATCTTTGCTTGAGCTATTTATTGCTTTGTTAAAATTTAATCCTTGCTTTGTTAAAATTAAAACGGGTGAAATTTTCTATACAATTCAAGTAAGACATTAAACTTTATTTTGTCTGAGGATTTCCCGGATAGCTAGATATTGTAATAGAGTAAACTGTTTCCACAGAGCTTGAAGGTCGCATTTTCAATCCCTACATTGGCTGAGAAAGTTCATCTGACGTGGTTTCTCCTTGTCAGTGGTGCAGGACAGAGGGCCTGACAAGGACAGCTGTCTAGTTGTTCAGATGGGACAAAAATACAATGTCCTTTGTATACATTGGCTTTCACGTAAAAGATCCCTTGGCGGTTGGAATTTGATATAAGAGTAGGCTGTAGCAACGCTGCCTGGACAAAATTTCCCTCATAGCACACTATATGGTGTACGCCCGCCTTTATTAGCCCAGTTGGAGCAGAAAAGTAGGATGTTAAACCCCATTTCATTTCAAGATTTCCTGCACCAATTAATCATTTTAAAAGTATATTGATGAATTTATTTATGTAGAAATGATAGAAATATTTGTTACTAATTATGAATTCAGAATGCACCATCACTTGGTTTGTTAGTTCAGGTTTTTGTTTTTGCACTTTAAATATTTGCAGTCGTCACCAGGACTATATTAGAGAATTAACAAGTTTACCAGCCTTTCGTGGCTCGCCAGACACCATGTTTGAAAACTCCCACAATGCCTTTCTACAACGTGCCAACACATTTGTTCACACCCACAGGTACATATACTAACAATATTTTTGTTTCTTCAATCTCAAGCGGGTTAGCGATCTTTAACGATAGTAAGTCTTGATCGATCCAGTCTATATTATCTCTGACGTGACTTCCAAGGGAGGGGGGGTGGCATGATGTAAGGGTCGAGTAGTCTAATATTTGCACTTTAGTTCACAAGGTCTTTCAATGAGGCAAGTGGCATGGTTTGGATGTGACAAGAAACCCTAACCCTGTCCATCCATATTAGGTTTCTCCTGGTCACCTGTGTTTCTCCCACTGCTAAAGACCCCTACATGCAAGAGAATTATTGAAATAATATAATATTGTACAATAATTTACTCCCAAAATGACCTAGTTTATATCCCAAAACGACCTAGTTTATAACATGAATGTGAATCCATCTCTCTGTCGATTATATGGTAACAGGCTCTTCATGTTGTCTCTATCCTCTAGTTAACAATGCGTTCTGCAAGGTGAAGGTAGTCCCGAAATGACCTAGTTTGTGTTGAGTGGACGTTAAACCCCATTTCTCTCTCTCTGTGCAAGGTGAAGGTCATTTGTTTCAATCGTTAGACATCTGATAATCTGTCTGACCTTTGACCCAGAATACAACTGTAGCCCTGTTTTAGCCGAAGTAAAGATATTATAGGCTGGAATGATAAAGACTAACTGTATAGCTGGACGTTGAAGACTAACTGTACAGCTGGACGTTGGTGACTAAGTGTATAGCTGGACGCTGGTGACTAACTGTATAGCTGGATGTTAAAAACTTGTTTCTATGACTCTACTTGTTATAACAAGCTGTATTTCATTATTAACTATAAACATACAAGTATGGACAACAACTACTAATTTATTTATACCAGGTTTCGAACAATATTCTCGCAACAGTATCTAGCTAATTAAAACCTGTTTTCAATAAGTATATGTTATGCAACTTAAACATACATTATGCAAGAAATAAATCTGCCTATTGTAGGTCTTTCTTTAGGCCTTAAATGTTATATAAATTATTAATTAGACATTAATTAACTTATCCAGACCACAATCAACTCTCGATGGCATAAGATTTCTCCGATATTAAATAGATTAGAGCATTTCTCAGGTTAAAATTCTATGGAATACAATTACCGCTTATTACTGATTGACGTTTCTCTAGTAATATTATTGTCTAGAGATTTTAGTATGGTCTTGTCATGTTGATTTTTGTAATATTTGAGGCCAAAAGAAAGGTCTGCAATGTTGCTCTAACAACCAGTTACTAAATGTCTATAAGTATGTGCTATAGATTGTTGCTCTAACAACCAGTTACTAAATGTCTATAAGTATGTGCTATAGATTGTTGCTCTAACAACCAGTTACTAAATGTCTATAAGTATGTGTCTTATAGATTGTTGCTCTAACAACCAGTTACTAAATGTCTATAAGCATGTGCTATAGATTGTTGCTCTAACAACCAGTTACTAAATGTTTATAAGCGATTATGGTAGTTGATATTAACCTGGACTTGTTAATACTAGCTAATTACACGGATATATTAATAGATGTCAAGTATATATTTTAACAAAATGTTGCCGAACTACGATTACAGATCAAATTTTGTTTTGTTTCCACTCGGATTATGACAGTAGATTATCTGATAATGACAACAGAATTTTTTATACGTTAAAACTACCCAAAAAATATAATTATATTTCATTTCTAGGAATTCTTTACGTCGATCATCAGACAGAGTTACATGTAAATCTAGTAATATTACTGGTGGTCCAATAACCTTGAACCCTGACCTGCCCGATAATCACACAAATAAACTACATAAAAGGTTTGTCCCCATGCAGACACGCACTCAACCAGCTCATCTTCCTCAAGGTCATCGGGAAACGCCCAAAATCAGTGCTACATTATTAGAACCACGAGGTGAGTTGGGCATTTGTTGAATTTCTTCATTTCTATTGTAAATTAAACAAAACACAAGACTGTCTGTCTGAACTCTTTACCCAAAGGGGGATGGGATGGCCGAATGGTTAGTGCGTTTTATCATAAGGTGTGTCATTGAGTCAACTGGCATGGTTCTGATTCCCCGGTTGTACGTGACAAGGAGTAGGGTTGCCTGTCCAACCTTGTGGGCTTTCTCCGGGTCCTCTGGTTTCCTCACACAGCTAAAGATCCCTACACGCAAGCGGATTATTGAAATAAAATTGAACCCTATGTTAGTCCCAAAATTAACCTAGTTTGTGTCGAGTGGACGTTTAGACCCCATTTCTCTCTCTCGTCATGGGTTGAGAACTCTGAACTCAAACCTTGTCATGGGTTAAGAACACTGAACTCAAACCTTGTCATGGGTTAGGAACACTGAACTCAAACCTTGTCATGGGCCGAGAACACTGAACTCAAACCTTGTCATGGGTTGAGAACACTGAACTCAAATCTTGTCATGAGTCGAGAACACTGAACTCAAACTTGTCATGAGTCGAGAACACTGAATTCAAACCTTGTCGAGAACACTGAACTCAAATCTTGTCATGGGTTGAGAACACTGAACTCAAACCAAGTTTCTTTGAAAACCTTTGTGTGTTATATCACCTTCTGTGAAATTGGTCATTAACTCTGTTTTCTTTGATTTTTGATTTAGGTTATCCAGGTCGTCGTATGGAGTCGTTGGCTCGGAGTCACAGCAGTTTAAACCCACATTCTGCCTCCAATCGGCGAGGTTCAGCCCGGGGTCAGACCACTGATGATTTTATTAATCTGGCCAGCCACGAAATTATGAAACAAGAAAAGTAAGTATCAAACAATATAAATTCTCTCCAAAAACAATATTAATTCTCTCCGCAAAAAATATCAATTCTCTCCACAAACAATATCAATTCTCCCCACAACAAATATCAATTCTCCCCCCAAAATAAATGGAGACGTAATCTTGGTCTTTGACAGTCACAAGGTGTTGGCCGAGAAAGTTCTTCAGGTTTTTTTTCAGCCTAATATCCCCCTTTTAAATGGTGCAGGATGGATGGCCTGCAGATCGAAGGGCCTGATATCCCCAGTTTAAGTGGTGCAGGATGGAGGGCCTGATATCCCCACCTCAGTGTTTTAGGATAGATGGCCTGGTATCCCCACCTCAGTGTTGTAGGATAGATGTCTTGCAGGACGGAGGGCCTGGTATCCCATGTAATTTTGTGTCGAGCTGATGTTAAACCCCATTTTTCTCTCTCTCCACCACCTCTTTCCCCCCTGGTCTCCTCTCTGCTCTCTCTTCTCTCCCCTCTCTCTCTCTCCCCTCTCTCTCTCTCTCTCTCTCTCTCTCTCACTCTTCAGTGCACAATACAGGACATGATTTATAATTTTCTTCGAAATGAAGCTGAACTTCCCCCTTTATTGTATTTGAGTAATTATAAATAATGTTTTTTTGTATATTTCAGATTATCTCGTGGACGACCATCATCTCAAGTTAAAACTTTAAACTCTAAACATATGAATGAACCTGACTCCGTTAGACTATCTCAATCGTGGGCCGTTAACGCCAGATAGTAGTACATATGACCGAATCCAATTCCGTTAAACTATCTCAATCGTGGGCCGTTAACGCCAGATAGTAGTACATATGACCGAATCCAATTCCGTTAAACTATCTCAATCGTGGGCCGTTAACGCCAGATAATAGTATATATGAATGAACCTGACTCCATTAAACTATCTCAATCATGGGTATATAAAATACATTAAACACCTTTAATTACCTCAGGTAACATCTTCATTTTCATTGGCTGTTTACAATACATCAATGAGAAGTTGAGAACACAGCACAGAAAATATCGTCCGATGTTAAGAAAAATCGAGTCCTGTGAGGCCATAAAAAAAAAAAATTCTGTTTCTGAGACAGTCCATGCCAAATATATGATGCGGGAGGGAGGTGTTTTTTATTTTTATTTTAATGGGTTATTTTTTGAGGAAAGAACCATTTTTTGGTGAAATGTCTTCTCATAAACATCACATTTCAAGGTACTGCATTTATTTCAACATGTTGTTTCTAGGAATGTATGATTATCCAGTACATGTATTTGTTATGATTGTGAAGAACATTCATCAGGGTAACGTACTTGATAACTGAGCCTATGCATTTATTCAAATTTGTTTACAGATTTAGTTCCTGTATATTTACGTGAGACTGTTTTTATTTTTTATAAAGTGATGCTGGATTGTCTTAGAACCAGATTCTATTTTTTATATGGTCTAAAATACAGAATAACAAATTGACAAGCATCTGATTCTGATTAAATTGACCACCATCATGTCATGGGTCGGAACCGCTTTTATTTATAGCAACTGCCCAGAGATTATTAGCTTTTTAAGAGCATGATGTGTCATTTTTGCTGAAACATGAAATTTCTCATGGCTTAATTCCTGTTCAATATATGTACACAGATTTAACATTTAATTAAGAAAACAAAATCAAGATAATTTGATTTAAACTAGGCCCATCAGGTTTCTCCACCAATTTATCATAAGTTTATTAATACTGAATGGAATCAAGCCATATTTGGACTGATATTCCCGTTAGACATTAGTCTCGGTCACCCAGAACCACCCAGTCTTCAGGGTACGCAGGGTCTGGGACCGTTGTAGTCTCGGTCACCCGGAACCTCCCAGTCTTCAACGTACGGAGGGGCTCGGACCGTTGTCAGTATTTGACGAAAAGTTTCATTGCCCATGCGTAACCTGGAGTTGTTTTTTTTTATGTGGTTGATTATCCAGTATTTTTGGCAAAGTTAAATAAGAGTTGCGCCCCTTCCCACAATAAATCCCATAATTCTTTCATTAATATAAACAAACATGAATCTTGAGGAATTAGGATTAATTAAAAATACATAGATATGGCCCATGGAGAGAGAAATTTTACAATAAAAAAAAACTGGATATTGAAATGGCAATGCAATCAAATTGATTTTCTAAAATGACATTCTTAAATTAATTTCATGGGCGTCAACATCTTGTTTTAGGACTAGTTACCTCCCGTAGACTTTGTTTATGATAATGTAAAAGACTGGCATCTGGACTAATATTCGTAGAATATTTTTCTGGATGATAGAGACTAGTTAGACATTAAACTTCCACAATATTGTAGTTTGTAAAGAGATTCCTTTAACGTATAAATAACCCATCAAGTCTAAAAGTTATTGTTTTATCAGCACAATAAAATATTTATCTATTTTAGATTATTTTTACATTGTATATGTTAGTGATTTATCTTATTTCACCTAAAATAGTATTAATTTATTTAGATCTCTATTGTTGCTATGGTAACATAAGAAATTAATGTGGCAAGATATTAATGCAACCCAGAATGTTATTATTATACTATTATTTGCCATCTGCTGATTTATTATGAGGTATTTAAGTAATCCATTGTTGCCACGGTGACTATGATACTGGCTGTTCGTTTACCAGAGTGGTTTCCCCTTGTCATTGGTGCAGGATGGAGTGGTTTCCCCCTTGACATTGGTGGCAGATTGAGGCTTCTTTCGAAGAATTATAGGTCAGGATTTATGTGACATTTTATTGAAACTTGGTTCAGTTAGTCGTGTGGAAAAATGCTATCAAAACTGAGGGTTAACAAATTTTTCACAGAGTAATGATTTGTTTCAAACATTCATGCCTAGTTATTGCCCCATCCAGACCCCCGAAAACCTATTTTAGGGCACAAATATATTCATTATTTGGCAATGTCTGTTTTTGAAATGGGTTAAAGATATTGGCACCTAATAACAGTGTTTGGGGAATGGCCTGTAGATGATTTTATCAGGATTACCTCCCCCTGTATTTATGATTTTACCAGGATTATCTCCCCCTGTATTTATTTTAATTTCTTGCTCACATTAGTTTCTTAGTTTACATTAGTATATTTATATAAAATATCTTTCTCGGAAACCCATCTTCTATTTACTCTCAGATAGCATGTTATGCCTACTTCTCCAAGACCATCTCATACCACCACTATTTACTTCCAGATAGGAGGGTTGGATGGCTGAATGGTTAGCATGTGCGCACAGTATCATGAAGTCTGTCATTGAGTCAACTGGCGCGGTTTTGTTTTCCGGTTGTACGTGACAAGGAGTAGTGTCGCCTGTTCAACCTCAAGGGTTTTCTCCGGGTCCTCTGGTTTCCTCCCACTTCTAAAGACCCCTACGCGCAAGCGAATTATTGAAATAAATGGAACCATGTGTTAGTCCTGAAATGACCTAGTTTGTGTCAAGTGGATGTTAAAATTCCATTTCTCTCTCTCTACTCCCAGATAGCATGGTATGCCTACTCCTTCAATTTACTCTCAGATAGCATGTTATGGCTACTCCTTCAAGACCATCTCATACCACTTCACCTCTAGTTCTACCTCTAGTTCTACCCCTAGAATTGATGCGTTTTAGTTGATTTTAACCTAGGTAAGTCATTGGTATAAGTTTAACAGTGAAATTTAACTCTAGTGTTAACTGATTTATTGATGGTGGGTTTAACATAGTGTTATCTGATTTATTGATGGTGGGTTTAACATAGCGTTAACTGATTTATTGATGGTGGGTTTAACATAGTGTTAACTGATTTATTGATGGTGGGTTTAACATAGTGTTATCTGATTTATTGATGGTGGGTTTAACATAGTGTTATCTGATTTATTGATGGTGGGTTTAACATAGTGTTAACTGATTATTGATGGTGGGTTTAACAGTGTTAACTGATTATTGATGGTGGGTTTAACATAGAGTTAACTGATTTATTGATGGTGGGTTTAACATAGTGTTATCTGATTTATTGATGGTGGGTTTAACATAACGTTAACTGATTTATTGTTGGTGGGTTTAACATAGTGTTATCTGATTTATTGATGGTGGGTTTAACATAACGTTAACTGATTTATTGATGGTGGGTTTAACATAGTGTTATCTGATTTATTGATGGTGGGTTTAACATAACGTTAACTGATTTATTGATGGTGGGTTTAACATAGTGTTATCTGATTTATTGATGGTGGGTTTAACATAGCGTTAACTGATTTATTGATGGTGGGTTTAACATAGTGTTATCTGATTTATTGATGGTCGGTTTAACATAGTGTTATCTGATTTATTGATGGTGGGTTTAACATTTTGTTAACTGATTATTGATGGTGGGTTTAACATAGTGTTAACTGATTATTGATGGTGGGTTTAACATAGTGTTAACTGATTTATTGATGGTGGGTTTAACATAGTGTCAACTAATTTATTGATGCTGGGTTTAACATAGTGTTATCTGATTTATTGATGGTGGGTTTAACATAGCGTTAACTGATTTATTGATGGTGGGTTTAACATAGTGTTATCTGATTTATTGATGGTGGGTTTAACATAACGTTAACTGATTTATTGATGGTGGGTTTAACATAGTGTTATCTGATTTATTGATGGTGGGTTTAACATAACGTTAACTGATTTATTGATGGTGGGTTTAACATAGTGTTATCTGATTTATTGATGGTGGGTTTAACATAGTGTTAACTGATTTATTGATGGTGGGTTTAACATAGTGTTATCTGACTTATTGATGGTGGGTTTAACATAGCGTTAACTGATTTATTGATGGTGGGTTTAACATAGCGTTAACTGATTTATTAATGGTGGGTTTACGAGAGAAGATAAAACATGTGATTATTTTAAACCAATTTTTAAATCACAGTTTTTGATAAAAAATATTTTTACTCTTTTTTAAAAATATATTTCCTTTTTATGCATTATGTATAGAATTTTGTAAATATGTACAAAGACTTGTAATTGTACATTCTGAATTATACGACTTTATTCCTTTCTGTTTACCTAAAATATTAAAACACTTTTTAAAAAATTGTAATTGTAATTGATCTGTTTTAATGGTTGGATGGCCGAATGGTCAGTGCATGCACGCTGTATCATAGGGTCTGTCATTGATTCAATTCCCCAGTTGTACGTGACAAGGAGTAGGGTCATCTGTCCAACCTCGTGGGTTTTTCTCTGGGTACTCTGGTTTCCTCCCACTTCTAAAGACCCCTATGCGCCAGCAAATTATTGAAATAAATTTGCACCATATGTTCGTCCCGAAATGGCCTACTTTGAGTCGAGTAGACATTAAACCCTCTCTCTCTCTCTCTCTGGTTGGTTAAAGGTGTTTGAAGTCAGGCGGCCCTTGTATCACTTTGCCACCATAGCGGAGGCTGATAGTGGAATTCAGAGTCTGCGGTTTCACGGTGTGGGCACACAGCATCCTTCTCCTATTGGTTGATACAAACTAGGTGATTTCGGGACCAACATATGGTACAATATTAGTTGAATAATTGTCTTGCACCTTATGATGTAAAGCACATCACATTCCACAGAAGTTAATCATTACATCAACTTATTGGATTTTACTCTGTCAGTATCTTAAATGAGAGAAATGAAATGAAATGAAATGGGGTTTAACCTCCTACTGTTCTGCGCCAAACTAGGCTAATGAAGACAGGCATGCGCCATACAGTTAGCTATGGGGGACATTTTACCGGGACAGCGGCACTATGGCCTACGGTATTCAAATTTATGTCAGTAATATTCCTACAAAATTATGTGTTGTCGTAATACGATAGACTGAAGGCGTGTCGACTACTGTCGGCACGTACTTTTGTTCAAAATCACCTAAAAAATTACCGTATTTTTTGGGGTATAAGTCGATACTTTTTCCAGCAGAAGTCCGGCATTCGTCTTGTACTACGTTTTGACGTCTATACGGGTGGAGATAAAAAATAAAAGACATCCCGAAAATTTTTTCGAAGTGACTGTCGCTCCCGGGCAAGTGACATCATCTGCTAAGTATGGCACTAGCACGCGCTATCGTGTAAAACAATTAACTACTTACATGTACACTATTCCAATCGAAATATTTGTCGACATTTCTCAGCTTGTTTATTCCTTTTTATTTAAAAATAAACCCCATTCAAAATATTACCATAATCCCGAGAATATGCCACCAAATAGAATCTTTCCTACGACGTGATAATTGTCAGGTTTACATCTCTTGTAGTTTCACGTGTCTCGCGAGATTTCTACTTTAGGTTTCGATTATTGTATTATAACCACGTGTGGGTGTTTGTGTAAAATAGCTTTATTTAACGTCCGCTTTCACCGAATTGATATCGCAGACAAATTACCGGATATATTGATTAAAAAGTTAACGTGCTAAAAGTCACGTTTACATATCTTGTAATTTCACGCGTCTCGCGAGATTTCTACTTTCGTTTTCGATTATTGTATTATAACCACGTGTGTTTAAATAGCTTTATTTAACGCCCGATTCGACCGAAGTGATATCGCAGACAAATTAACGGATATATTGATTTACAAGTTAACGGATAATATATTGATGACATCTATGATTAGTTTATACATATTGTCGGCTCACATCAACGGGATTAAAATGTACGACAATGGAGAAACCACGAGGTAAACACGTAGATTAAAAGGATAATCGCTCTTATTGGATTGATGAATAGTCCGACAAAGGGGAAGCAATGACTTCTGTTTAAGATTAGATTGAGGAATTGTCTGACAAAGGATTAAGTCAGTCAATCAAAGCAGATTAAGTAGTTAATCAAGGTAGGTGTTTACACGATAAATACGTTGATCACTTAATGACCTAATCAATCCCGCTTATTATCAACGATAATCGGGTTGAGTGGTAGTTAGACACTCAGTAAGCTATATTAATTTCGGAATTTTGAATATTATTCACCATTTCTTGATGTCCGATTGGGCATATTCACGGTCGGACAATTTTGGGCGTTTGGAAAAAAGATTTGGACAAGTCCGGAATATACGGGCAAAATCCCATCACTGGCCTACTCTTATATTGAATTCCAACTGTCAAGGGATCTTTTACATGCACGCCAATGTGTACATGGGACCTTGGTTTTTAGTCCTTGTCAGGCCCTCCGTCCTGCATCACTGACAAGGGAGAACCACGCCAGAAAATCTGGATGAACTTTCTCAGCCAATGTAGGGATCGAACACCCTACGTCCAGGCCTTAGATGAGAGAGAATCTGTGTCAGTATGTTAGATGAGAGAGAAGCCATTCAACTCAAACTAGGTCATTTTAAGACTAACATAATATTATCTTCAGCAAAGGGGGAACTTGGAGAAAACCCATTAATAATAATAATAATAATATTTGTATCGTGCAACTATTCAAACCACTAGGGAATCCACTAGACGCCAGAAAATGTTCTCACTTTGGAGTGTTAATGATAGTGACAAAATAACCATGTTTTCACTTTGGATTTAAAAACTGTGTGTAATGCAGTCCTCTTGCACTTACTATTTAAGGTTATAGCCAATTGCTTGTCGTCGTCGTTTCGATTCCTGGTGTGAGCATATGTGGCTTGTAGATAGAGGTGCCTTCTCAACATCGTGGCTTTACTCCAGGTACTTCGGCTACCTCCCATAGGTAAGACCCGTGCGTGCACCAAGCATAATAAAAAAAGAATAAAGTTGTCTGTGATTTTCACCATTGGTGGAAGCGGACATTAATCACTAATAGAAGAAGAATCAATAATGTAAATCTTCCCAGTAGACTTTTTAATTCAATATGTAACTCTTATAAACGATTATTCTAAACTTTTTCTTTATTTACATTTTTTACAAAGTTTAACGTTCATTGTCTGTTAAATCAACATTTCTTCACTTCTGATATATTCTCCGATATCTGCTTGATGAAATACAACAATCGCCATTGGATCACATGAACGACATAAATCGGTTGATTTAGCTGCTACGCCAAAACCCTACAAGATCAAAAATAATACAAGATACTAAACCCTACAATAATAAAAGTAAGAATAATACTGCTATTGCACCAGCTTTTCAAAAGTATTGCGTTGAAGTGACATTAAATATTACTGGTCAAGTCTCTGTCATAAGTAACTATTTGTGACGTTTCGGACTGACAATCGAACACCCTCCTCTAATTACAAAAGGGAGATAATTCAACATATAAAAGCCAGATAATTCTACTTACCAAAGGGAGATCATTCATGTTATAAACCACAACACCTTGATATTGTGGGGTATTTTCTGTTATTCTACCTAAACCTGCCTTCATCACATGATGACCGTATAGAAACTGTTGTTCAGCATTAGGTTTTAACCACACTTTAAACTACAAATATAAAATCAGAATTCATCTAATCAAGATATCAAATATTATAAATCTAGATACTAAATCTAGATATCAAATATTAAATCAGAATTCATCTAATCTAGATATCAAATATTATAAATCTAGATACTAAATATAGATATCAAATATTAAATCAAATCTAGATATCAAATATTATAAATCTAGATATCAAATATTAAGTCTAAATATCAAATACTAAATCTAACTATCAAATATTAAATCTAGCTATCAAATATTATAAATCTAGATACTAAATATAGATATCAAATATTAAATCAAATCTAGATATCAAATATTATAAATCTAGATATCAAATATTAAGTCTAAATATCAAATACTAAATCTAGCTATCGAATACTAAATCTAGCTATCAAATATTAAATCTAGATATCAAATATTAAATCAAATCTAGATATCAAATATTATAAATCTAGATATCAAATATTAAGTCTAAATATCAAATACTAAATCTAGCTATCGAATACTAAATCTAGCTATCAAATATTAAATCTAGATATCAAATATTAAATCAAATCTAGATATCAAATATTATAAATCTAGATATCAAATATTAAGTCTAAATATCAAATACTAAATCTAGCTATCGAATATTAAATCTAGCTATCAAATATTAAATCTAGCTATCAATTATTATAAATCTTGATATCAAATATTAAATCAGAATTAATTTAACCCAGATCATTTATCAAATCAGAATTAAAATATACATTATGTAAGATTAGGATAAGGAGCTGTCCGTCCTTGCTCTAATAGCTCAAAATACATAATGAAAACTTTCATTCAAATTGCTTTATTCTGAGTGAAGTTGCGACAACGGTTCTTGACAATAAAGGTTAAGTCTCGATTATCTGTTTTATGGTTCCTTTTTAAAATCTTGCCGCTGTTTTAATGGATTAATGGTCACAACAAATTCCCTTCATTCATTCTCGACGTTTCATTTCTCTATCTTGCGAGTGGGTTGTACTTTGACAGGTCACATATAGACCAGTTCAAATACTTTATAAGATTAGTAATGACATAAATATTTGAAAGCATACCTTTGGATTTTTAAATACAAAATATGTTTGATTATTTAACATGTCAGCTATTTCTAAAGAATTTACTATAATTTTTTTAAACCGGTTCACCTGTGCATTTAACCGGTTCACCTGTGCAACTGAACCTTTTTCGGTTAAACGATTAGCTGATTTGCCGATTGAGATCCCTATTTTCATCTATGGTCTACGAATTTCTGATAGGCTTGTCATGTCTGTATCTGTTGATCTACCATTGCTAACTGTCAGGGAGAAATTTACAGCACACCTACCGTAGCATATGGTAACCAGGTAAATTAGCATATGGTAACCAAGTAAACTAGCATATGGTAACCAAGTAAACTAGCATATGGTATCCAAGTAAATTAGCATAATTATGGTAACCAAGTAAACTCCAGATGGTAACCAAGTAAACTAGCATATGGTAACCAAGTAAACATGCATATGGTAACCAAGTAAACTAGCATATGGTAACCAAGTAAATTAGCATGTGGTAACCAAGTAAATTAGCATATGGTAACCAAGTAAACTAGCATATGGTAACCAAGTAAACTAGCATATGGTATCCAAGTAAATTAGCATAATTATGGTAACCAAGTAAACTGACATATGGTAACCAAGTAAACTAGCATATGGTAACCAAGTAAACTAGCATATGGTAACCAAGTATACTACCATATGGTAACCAAATAAACTAGCATATGGTATCCAAGTAAACTAGCATATGGTAACCAAGTAAACTAGCATATGGTAACCAAGTAAACTGACATATGGTAACCAAGTAAACAAGCATATGGTAACCAAGTAAACTAGCATATGATAATGAAGTAAATTAGCATATGATAACCAAGTAAATTAGCATATGGTAACCAAGTAAACTGGCACATGGTAACCAAGTAAACTAGAATATGGTAACCAAGTAAACTGGCATATGGTAACCAAGTAAACTAGCATATGGTAACCAAGTAAATTAGCATATGGTAACCAAGTAAATTAGCATATGGTAACCAAGTAAACTGGCACATGGTAACCAAGTAAACTAGCTTCTGGTGACCAAGTAAATTAGCACATGGTGTCTATGACTGTATGTTGTCCATTATCAGGTCCTGCATACCTGTGCCACTGGCTAAGTGGGACAACGCCAGAAGATCCTGCTGAACTGTCTCTACCAACGTAGGAATGGAACAGGTAATCAGCTAGAAAATACCTACCTTCGCATATGGAGCCAAATAATCTAGCGCTGTTATATGAAGACGAATTCTCTTGGTTTTTGTGAATTTACCAAAACATGTTCCAATACTCAATAAATGTTTAGGATCAACGCTTGTAGCTCTTTTCATAATGTCTTCTCTGAAAATCAAAGTAAAGCTCAAAATTTCCATGATTTATACATATTTATATCTTCTTGACTATAGAACCCTGAATCAGAGAGAAACAACCAGCTGTGTCAGAGGATTATTCATCAATAAAACCAAGAAAACTGAGTCATCAGTTTGATAATCTGCCCTGTAGTAATTACCCCGGAATACATTAGCCCAGTAGTAATAAGTCCTGTAGTAATTACCCCGGAATACATTAGCCCTGTAGTAATAAGTCCTATAGTAATTACCATGGAATACATTAGCCCTGTAGTAATAAGTCCTGGAGTAATTACCCCGGAATACATTAGCCCTGTAGTAATAAGTCCTGTAGTAATTACCCCAGAATACATTAGCCCTGTAGTAATTACCCCGGAATACATTAGCCCTGTAGTAATTACCCTGGAATACATTAGGCCTGTAGTAATAAGTCCTGTAGTAATTACCCTGGAATACATTAGGCCTGTAGTAATAAGTCCTGTAGTAATTACCCAGGACTAATTACCCCCGGAAATCATTACCCCTTGAGTAATTACCTGGGAATACATTAGCCTTGTAGTAATAAGTCCAAGAATATTGATGTGTTAAAACTTATAATATCTGCTGGTCCTACATGTACATGTATACATAAACCTGATAATACCTGTACTTGTCCTATATATAAATTTATTTTTACCTGACATAAAATATTCTGTCTTTTTGAAGTCTGAAGCAGAAATTACCATCAGGCCTGTCCAACAATAATTTAATATTCTCACCGATACTGAAATAAAACAATTTATAAAAACTTTGAATTATACAATCCTCGATAGCTTCAACCCTTTTCTAGAGACACAAAGAATTGGAAGAAGAGGTACCTTTTCTAAAAACTTAAAGATACATTATGGGAAATTAGATAAAGAGCTGGCAGTTCTCACTATAATATACTCAGCCAAATTAAAAACTTGACACTGATGAATTTCAACAAATTTTTTTTTTCTGGTAAGTCAAATAAATTTTAAAGTGTTTCTAACAATAGTAAGTAGTAAGAAGCCTTTAATTTCATAAAATTGTAAAGTCACGCGGATCGCGTGACTTTTGAGCATATAAAGATGAAAAACATGTGCAAACACAAACTCGTGAGGTCAATCGATGCAAGTTTGCTTAAACTGAACACGCACACGTAACTTGAACTGGAAAAACAAATTAAAATTGTTATTTTCATCTTTGTTAGAAAATGCCGCGCCTTTCAAATGTAGAACGTATGCGTCAGAGAAGTTGACCTAATATGGTGGCGGCAGCATCATGGTTTGGGGTTCTTTTTGTGCACATGGACGTTCTCCTCTTGTTGTCCAAGGGAACTTAAATGCTGTCCAGTACAGGGATCAGACTTTGCAACCTGTTCTTCTTCCGTTTATGCAGAGACATGGGCCTGGACTAACATTTCAACAAGACAATGCTCGACCCCATACAGCAATTGCTACCCAGAATTTTTTAAGAAATGCCGGTGTCGAAGTCCTGGATTGGCCGTTGCTTAGCCCCGACCTTAATCTTATTGAACACATCTGGGTCGACGTGTTCGTCAGCAAGTGAATCCACCACTGACGTTGCAGGACCTTCAACATGCTCTTGCTGAGCAGTGGCGACGTCTTCCTCGGGTAGTGTTTACTAATGTTCTGAGATCCATGAGAAGACGTTGTGTGGCAGTACGAGAGGCTAGAGGAGGCCACAACCGTTACTAAACACTTTATTCCGATTGTTCTCCAAGTCTGTGAATTTCATTTTGGGGGGTACTGTGACATCACGAACGTTATCAATGTCAAAGACTTTCGGCGAGACGTATTCTTGCTTTCTGTTGATGTCAAGGTCGTCTGTGCACAACATAACACTAAAATAGTTGCCTTAAACCAAATATTAAAAATCTAGTCCCAAAAATCCTGAGTGTCAAGTTTTTAATTTGGCTGAGTATAGTTCAAAACTACATAATGTAAAGGGAATTTGCTGAAAATTTCAGTCAAATTGATCCACTCTGAACTGAGATATTAGTGATTGAATTTTCTGCCTAGACTCGATCATCATTACTAAAGTTGGTACGATAAAAAACATAGTCTCGATTATCCATTTCATGATTAAATCAGGTGCATGTATGGAAGTCGAACAGCAAATCGGAACCTAATCCAATAAACATTGCAGGCTAGCAATGACATTGAGAGTTGATTATGGTTTGGATAAGTTTATTTATGTCTAATTAATAATTTAGATAACATTTCAAGCCTAAGGAAGCCGATGTGATTAGCATTGGGGTTTGCCAATAGGATCTATACAGTACCATCTCTTATCTCAAAACACTGAGGAGGGATGAGAGGGAGAGAGAGAGAGAGAGAGAGAGAGAGGGAGAGAGAGAGAGGGGGAAGTCCACTTGACACAAACTAGGTCATTTCAGGACTACCATACATGTAGGGTTTAATTTTATTTCAATACTTTGCCTGCTCGTAGAGGTCTTTAGCAGTGGAAGGAAACCCGAGGACCCGGAGAAAACCCACGAGGTTGGACAAGCGACCCTATACTCCTTGTCACATACAACCAGGGAATCGAAACCATGCCAGTTGGCTCAATGACAGATAAAGCGAGGACGCGCTAACCATTCGGTCATTCCTCCCCAGAGGGTAAAGAGATGAGGTTTCTTATCTAATAATAATATATCAGTGGACAGTGGACTACACCATGGACCTTATCCTTATATATATGTATAACTAGAATTGCACCCTGACAATACCTAAAACAATAGTGAATTATCATTACACAAAGGATACGTTCGCAGGGTTAGCTAGTTGTGTTTGAGACGCTAGTCTGGGGAAGCCTGTAGCCATTAAGAAAAATCATCATCTCCATTCCCTTATTAAGGGTGTTTTATTATTAATATGAACAGTCTTGAATGACTCAATCAATTGCTGAAGGTAGCAATGCGAAAGCTCGCTAGGGGCGCCACTGATACTATTTTTAACACTGTCAAAAAATCTGACCGCAAAATGTGCCGTTTTTGTTCTGCGACTTTGGGAAGGTGTATGACCACCAACACCAATGACTTTTTACTTTTCGTGAAGAGGAGAAAACAGAGTTTGTGTCGAGCGTGGTTTGGACATTCAGAAACGTATTTACGACTGATTTTTTATATTTTGAAAAAATAAAATAATCAGAAAAAGGCAAAAACGACGCTCGTCACTGGATGTAAACGTATTTTCTCATAAAATGACCCCTTTTCTTGTTATATTGACCTGCATTTCATTCATCAACCGTTAGAACAAGTGCCAGAACTCGGGGAAAACAAATCATGTGGAAGAAAAGAAAAAATAACTCCACCCGTTGTGGGGGTAGATCACAGCCACTTTCTTGTTATTGTGAACGTGTCCAACCAAGTTTCCCTTTTGCAAACAGTAGGCTGGTTCAGTGGCACGATTTTCACGTGCACTTTTTAGGGGTATAAAGTCTGGTGCACGGTTTGAATTCTTTCTCTTGTATTGTTACAATATTTTATTGATTCTAATAACACTTTCCTAAAATTATTTTTTTTTAAAAATTATCTCTTGGATTAGTTTCTCTTTTTGGTGATCAAATGACAGCCATATGGAATCTGTTACAAGAAAATGAAATAGGGTTTAATGTTCTTCCCCTACTGGGCTAATGAAGACGGCGGGGCATGGGTGGGGGGGAACACGCCATTGCAGTGTGCTATGAGGGGAAACTTTGCCAAAACTGTGGCGCAACAGCCTACTCTTTTTTCGAATTTCAACTGTCGAGGGTTCTTTTATGCACACACGGGACATCAGTTTTCCATTCTATCCAAATAACTATGTTGTCACTTGCTAGGTCCACCACTCCCCCGTCGTACATCTGGTGGGGGGGAGGCTGGTGTGTATAACACAATGAACTTGCTCGGCTAATGCAGGAATTGAACACGGCACATCAAGTTGAGTGAGCCAATGTCCTACCCACTGAGCTACCGTGGCTCCCTCTTGCCAGAAAAGAGAATGGGCTAGATGAGTATGGGATGTCCAGTGCTCAATCCCCAGAATTCACTTTGTTTTGCGGATCAGAGAACCTATCAATGATAAGTTGAATGAAAAACAAGGTCGTACGTACGGATTGGCGGCGCACATTAAAGATCCCTAGATACCTACAAATCGAGGAGCAGTGTAGGAAGTTGTTATAAGGATTAATTCTGCCAGCATAAAGCAATACCCGAAATTTGAGGTCTATCATATGTGAATTCTATCTTAAAAAAGTCTTCAACACAAATTAACCAAATTTGGGTTTTTTATTCCATGTTCAATGATGTTGCAGACCCCATATCAAAACAAATAAATTATATAGGCCAAATTTAAAAATTCCAATAGATAATTAATGGTCGGAAGGATATTTCCTAAAAATTTGATGCGAATATCTTCAATAGTTGCTGAGAAATGGGCTTCGGTCACTTTTTTGGCATATTTTAAAATGACATCCATCAATTTGGGGTCTTATTAAACAGTGCAATATCTTTTTTATTTCTTAACCGATTTATACATTTTTTTTTAATTTCTTAAATGGGAAGGGGGTTGGAATGCTAAATATTCAGTTTTAGTCAGATTCAAAAATATAAAAAAGCTTTTGCATTGCTAAATTTACCACGGTTCAGACAGTAGCTAAAGGTACAAAGAATAAGATTATGATTATACACTATGGCTGGTAAACAAAAATTATAATCAAAGGCTATTCTTACTATTTAGATAATTTTTCAAAGAATATTTTTGTTTCATCTTCTGTAAGAGGTCTCATTTTGTATAAATTCTGCAGGGTCGACCAGTTTTTGTTTTGTTGATACACGTGTTTTCTCACACTTCCGGTAAAATTTTGTTGGAAAATGAAAGTTATCTCCCCGTACTTAAAACTGATTTTTCGTGCTTCCCCTTTTCTCGTAAAATTAAATGCAGAAGAATCGTTATTAAAGAGTTAGTTAGTTTTGTGAATGATAATTAGTCTAAATCGTGAGAAACTGATGTTGTTAGGTATTTTGTGCGTGTGCTTATAATTAATTTTGTAGTTAGAGTCTTTTAAAATAAAACTAGAAAATGGGGGAATCCCCCTTCTTTAGAGTTACGCCCCCTTTATATATCAAGATCATGCAAGTCTTTTCATGTAATAAACAAGTTCGACAGCAGACCTAACGACGACGCGATGGAGAGCGCGGCTTCAAAATTTACATTTTTACCTCTCAAAGACAAAAAATTTCCCTCGATAGATGGAAAAGAAAACCAGGATAATTTGTTGAAATGGTTAGTTATTTTTAAAATTGTGTAAAAAAAAATCTGTGGAAGAACAGCAGAATTACGTTATTTTGATTATTTGTACTGGTCACCAACACTATTCATGACTATGCCTAAAAAAGTATGAATCCAATGATTATGAATGAAATGATGTCAATATAAAACTGTTCTGCCCAAACCAGGCTAATATGAAGATGGGCAATATACACCAGGCAGTGTGCTATGAAGGAAATTTTGCCTGGACAGCACTTTAATTACAATTACTGTCAAGGCTTCTTTTAATTACATACATGCATGCCAACATTTGCAAGGTATTATAGGCCCTACCTGTTTTTTTCATCCCATCCAAACAACAAGAAGCTGTTTCTTGCCACTCCCTCTGTTCTGTACCACTATACTTAGGGGAAGTAACCACTCCCATACATTATAGGTGTTGAACTATTTGGTCGATTTTATGTGATAGATTGTCTCAGTGATGAGATCAGCTCGATCTGTAAATGAAATAAAGACAGGACAAACTCTGTAGGCCTACAATCAAATTATATTTCAAAGGAACAATGCAGCCAGCTTATAATACATTTATGGCAAGACCATATGAAGCTCTAATCGAAAAAGCTTCAATTGTAAAACAAATCGAGTTCAACGGTGAGCAAAAATGGCCTCCAATCACAGAGTTTTGAGTGTTTTATAAATATGCTGTTTCTATTCGTCCGTCATTGGATCCATATGTCAAATTGCTATTTGTCCAACGTTGGATTCATATGTCAAATTTGCTATTTGTCCAATGTCGGATCCATATGTCAAATTTGCTATTTGTCCAATGTCGGATCCATATGTCAAATTACAATTTGTCAACTAGTATTTATCAACTAGTATTTGACATTTTAAACTCTGTGCCAGACAGGTGTTAAAAAAATCCAAATCAGTGCTAGGTGTCAAATTTCTAACTTTGAATCATTCAACAGGTCATATTGTGTTACATTGATTTGATCATTCGACAGGTCATATTGTGTTACCATGATTTGATCATTCGACAGCCATATTGTGTGATCATGATTTGATCATTCAACAGGTCATATTGTGTTACCATGATTTGATCATTCGACAGCCATATTGTGTGATCATGATTTGATCATTCTACAGGTCATATTGTGTGATCATTATTTAGATTAATTCTTTACTTTAGGTCAATGAAAGGAAGAATGAAAGCCCAGATGTTTTGTTTTGATCAGGTTTTTCAGCCATATGAAAAAGATCAATTTGTTCGGGTAAGACCCTTATTTTATGTTTAAAACTTCAGTTTAAAATTTGTCTAGCTGATTGAGACCATATTGTAAAGATCAAATATTGAAAGAATACTGTCGTTTTATTGGTTATATAAGGTCACTGAGCTATACTATGATTTTAACTCAACCAATGAGATGGCTAATTCCCTAAAAAAATATTTTAGTTAAAAAATTTCTATTTGTTCAGATGAGACTACAGTATGTTTTAACTTTGAAAGAGTGGGAACTCCATGTACAATTATATATTGCTATCTAAATGGGGGGTTATGTGGGTGAGTTAACTACCACTGGGGGGTAGATAATGATAGGTTATGTGGGTGAGTTAACTACCTCTGTGGGGTAGATAATGGGAGGTTATGTGGGTGAGTTAACTTCCTCTGGAGGGTATATAATGGGAGTTTATGCAGGTGAGTTAACTTCATCTGTGGGGTAGATAATGGGATTTTATGTGGGTGACATAACTACATCTGGAGGGTATATAATGGGAGATTACTATATATTTGTGTATTTTATTATTTCAGGATTTTTTTAAAGATGAAAATGTGATTAATAATTTGTATATTTTAACTGACAGTGGGAGATGGACATCTGTAGGTGAGTCAACGACGCACCTGGCTTTCCCTTTAATATTTAATACTCTGACAGGCCTTTCCCTTTAATATTCAATACTCTGACAGGCCCTTTAATATTCGATACTCTGACAGGCCCTTTAATATTCGATACTCTTGACTAATTTCATGGATTCTCTCTGTTTTCTACAATTTCCACCAACAGCTAGTTAACCAGGAGCACAAACTAAATGATAATCTCTCCTGATCCTCCCAATGATAAAAAGCCCAAAGAATAGTTTGTATCATATGTTAGTTGCAAAATAACCCATTTGTGTTGAGTGGATGTTTAACTCTGTTGATTGATGAGTGTATTTGTTTTATATCTAGGTATACCTTTAAATCCTGTTTCCGTGGAAATAGTTCCGTGTTCAGTATTAGCCATGACCTTATTTGATCGTCTGTATAGTAATAATATCGTGAGAGAAGGTGGAGCTATCTGTAAATGTCTTGATGAGTTTTACGATGATTTTACTATATCAGATGAACTAAGAAAGGTGAGAATTTACATCATTCAGAGTTGTCTTCCCTTACAATTTACATCATTCAGAGTTGTCTTCCCTTACAATTTACATCATTAACTAATAAATCAACATTCAGAGTTGTCTTCCCTTACAATTTACATCATTCAGAGTTGTCTTCCCTTACAATTTACATCATTAACTAATAAATCAAAATTCAGAGTTGTCCTCCCTTACAATTTGAAGGGTGGTCGAATGGATCGATGCTTAATCATAATTAAGGTCTGCCATTGATTCAACAGAGAATTTGTGAGATACGTGGCTTTTGAGAAAGATCATAAGGTCTTTTATTGAGTCATGTGGCGTGATTTTAATCACGGACTTGTACATGATAAGGAGTAGGCTGTCATACCTAACCTCATGGGTCTTCTCCGGGTCCTATGGTTTTCTCCCCACTGCTAAACACCCCTACAAGCAAGGGAAGTGTGCCATCTGTTAAAACTGAAATGACCTTGTTTGTGACAAGTGGATGTTTAACCTCATTTTCACTGACCTCTAATAATGGCTTGACCAGGATAGATCCATGAAATTTCAATTGATCAAATGTTTTCTTTATAAATGTTGAATGGAATTGAACCATTATTGGACTGATATTTCTTATGTGACGTTCATTTTTGACAATATTATACTTTGTAAGGGATACAATAAATCGGGTTTCCAATTATAAATTATACAGGATATGTACATTGGTTGTATATGTATGTACAGTCTGGACTAAATTCTAGAGGACGTTTACGTTGGTTGTATATGCATGTACAATCCTGACTATTTTACTAAAGACTCGATGCATCATTGTAGCGCTATAGGAATTGTCCACAACCATGAACTAATAAAATATTTTAAATTAAATTTTTTGGAAGCGGGGATCAGGGGACAAGTAAATTTTTTTTTTTTTTTTTGATAAACAATATTTCATTCTGAGAAATAAATTGAGGAACAGGCTAGGCCTATATTACCTCTCTCCTTATTGGTGAATATATTGGGAATTGTTTTATTTATGTGTCTGGGTGGGTAAGATGCTAGGGTAATATGTTCGATCCCTGCATGGTTTCCCCTTGCCAGTGGTGCAGAACGGAGGGCCTGACAAGGACAGCTGTCTAGTCGTTCAGTTGGAACGAAAAACCGAGGACCTGTGTATACATTGGCGTGCATGTAAAAGATCCCTTGGCAGATGGAATTCGATGTAAGAGTAGGCCGTAGTGCCGCTGTCCGGGCAGACTATCTCTCGTAGCACACTGTATGGTGTATGCCCGTCTTCATTAGCCCAGTTCGGAGCAGAACAATAGGACGTTAAACCCCATTTCATTTCATTTTATGTGTCTGCTGTATTTTCACCGTTCTGTATTATTTTTCAGATGTTGCTCTCGGAAGATTCAGATAATTATGACATATATTCAGATGCGGACAGAGATGAATTCTTATTCCGTTTGTTTAAACACATGTGTCTGGGTGGTCAAGTCTGCCAGTTTGAAGATAATATCCAGCCTTATTTAGATATAACTAAACAGATATATAAAGACTTGATAAGGTATGGAATAGATAGAATTATCCAGTCTCTGATTACTCCCATTTATTGATATGTTGTGTATTAGAGACTGAAGTCATAAATGGCTGTTACAGATAGAGACAGACGGACAGAGAGAAGAGTGAGAGAGAGATGGGGTTTAACCTCCACTAGACACAAACTAGATCATTTCGGGACTAACACATGGTTCAATTTTATTTCAATAATTAGCTTGCGTATTGGGGTCTTTAGCAGTGGGAGGAAACCAGAGGACCCGGAGAAAACTCATGAGGTTGGACAGGCAACCCTACTACTTGTCACGTACAACCGGGGAATCGAAACCATGCGAGTTGACTCAATGACAGACCTTATGATACAGAGCGCACATGCTAACCATTCGGCCATCTAACCACCTCTGAATTGGACGAACAAACAATAAATGTTTTGATCTTTTACATCCATATTTCTGTTTTTCACCTACATAATAAAACATTCAAGAACTAAATTTTATCTTGAGATGTTATAATATATAAACTATTATTGACGTGCCAAGCCTTTAATAAACTCTCTATAGACTATTGGATGGCCAACATTTAAACTAGTGATATTTAAAATGGACAATTGAGGCGAAGTCCCAGTTGTCAAACCAAGGTTCTTAATCCATTTTGAAACAAACCGGCCAGAATTGGGTCAAATGAGGTCCCGGTAGGAAATTGGTTAATTATAAGCTTCCGTTCCCTTTAATATAACTAGACTTCAACAAAATAATTCTTGGTAATTTGTTATGGAGAATGTCGTATAGTAATGTCAGTGATTACCAGAACAATAACAACAAATAGGTACACCTTTTGAATATTTTCCATATTTAATTCACGCACCTGAGGTCCTTGTGTACACATTGGCCTTGAGAGTTAGGCTCTGATGAAGACCAGACAGAGGTTAATGATTGTTGTTTTGTTTATTTATTAAAAGTTAATGATGGTTGTTTTTGTTTATTTTTTAGTGTACAGAAGAACAGTGAAAGTAAAGAATTAAACATCATTTCAAGTGTATATAAAATAACAGCTGGGGTAAGTCTCAAAATAACTATTTTAAATTAAAACCCAAAATAACAGCTGGGATAAGTCTCAAAATACCTTTTTTTTTTAGTCTAAAACTCAATTTCATTAATAAAATATCTCAGCTGTGTTATCACTTCCAGACATCTGGGTTAAGTAGATTAATGCTGAACAGAATTCAACCATTTGTGGACTGGTAATCCATTTGGGGATTCAACTCTTAGTTTACAAGGGATTCAAATCATTTAAATGGCAAAATAATACATTAGGGATACTTGACTGTCAATCCAGAACGTCCAGACTGACAGGATTACAATCGAATGACACAGAATTCCGTCCTGTCAGTCCAAACAACGGAGGTTGTGGGAGTAGAATCGTCACGTAATTAAACACAAAGAATATGTTTCAGCTGTCATGGCGGGTTAAAATATCTTCTTTGGCGCATGCATTGTAACCCGAAACCCCCCCTTTTTTGGGGATTGAGAGAATCAAATTCCAGAACGTTCAGTCACGTATCCCCCCCACTCCATGTGTTTTAAAGGGAGGTAATCCTGTTGATTTCAATCAAATAAGTTATACGCCATTTTTAATGAGTTTTAAATTAAGAAAATCGGTCAGAGCTGTGATGGCTCTTCAATCCTGATGTTTGTGGAGAACGTGGTGGAGGATGGAGGGCGTGGCATGGAATCCTGTGGCTAGTTGTTCGGATGGGACAAAAAACAAGGTCCTGTATACACATTGGGATGCATGTCAACGAGTCATTGGCAGTTCAAGTAAAAATATGAATTTTGCATTAGCCATTGAAGTTACAGCAAATTTATAAAGGTGCAAAGCTTTTGAAGTTTTCGATTTTCTTTTTGTTAACCAATCGGCAAGGAACAGCATTTAGTCGTTGGGATGGAATGAAAAACAAGAGTTCCTGTTTACGTTAAAGATCCCTTGGCAGTTAGAATTTGATGAAGAGTAGTCGTAGTGCCGCTGTTTAGGAAAAATTCCCTGCACTGCCCAGTCTGAGTTGGGTCCATGTTATTTCAGTCTCGATGATTGAATCCATTTTAATTTTAATATTTGCCATATGTCGTTGTAAAAATCGTGGCCCATCTGAAGGTCAATTAAAGTTACTCAGATTGTGTAAATAATTTATTCATTTTGGCTAAAGAATAATGGAATTGAAAAGTTTATAAATACACGGATTTGAACAAAAACCTCTGAGCTCATAATAACCAGTTTACATGAGCCTGGGAATTATTATTATCAAAGATACATTATGTAAGATTTAGATAAAGAGCTAGCCATTCTTGCTATAATAGTTCTAAAATAGATAATGTAAAATGAATAATTTGAAAATTTCATTCAAATTACTCTATTGCGAGCGAAGATATTAACTTTTGAAGTTTGACAAGACGTGTGCAATAATTTCAACCACTGTACTGGTTGTTCCAAGCTAAGTCTCGATCCTCCATTTTTAGATTAAATCAAAATATAGCTGAATCGTTCTAATCTATTTAATATCGGAGAAATCCAATGCCTTTGAGAGTTGATTATGATCTGGATAAGTTAATTAATGTCTAATTAATAATTTATATAACATTTCAGGCCTAAAGAAAGACCTGCAATAGGCAGATGTAGTTCTTGCATAATGTATGTTTAAGAATTTATATATATAGTGCCATTTCTACAAACAGTGCTTAAAGGCATTTTACAATAAACAAATGGTAAAAATATGATGGTAAAAAAATCACAAATTATGCTCAAAATAAAAGTTAAATATAAATTGACACTGACTATAAGATTGTTAAAATGATAATTAATCATATAAAATAAGCCTTCATGTACCTATTTACTTCTAACTCCTTTATTTTTCTTAGAAGTTATTTCGCAGAAGAAACAAAATTTGATATTTGGTGATAATTAACTCGCCCCCCGATGTCCTGTCAGTGATACTGGTGGCCATGTTAATATTAACTCGCCCCCCCGATGTCCTATCAGTGATATTGATGGCCATGTTAATATTAACTCGCCCCCCGATGTCCTATCAGTGATATTGATGGCCATGTTAATATTAACTCGCCCCCGATATCGTATCAGTGACATTGGTGGTCATGTTAATATTAACTCGCCCCCAATCCCCTATCAGTGATACTGGTGGCTATGTGAATATTTGCTGGCTTTCAAAGTTTACGATCCTGACTTTAGGACATGTTACACTAGTCTACATGTAATATTCGGGGAATTCTCCATTTTTTGTCCTTTTTGTTTGTGGAATGTCTCTCATGTTGTGAATTATTTTTAGTTTTGATTGAAGCCTGTTTCACTGCAGGCCTGGGGATTGTATGGTCGGCCATTTTACTTGAACTGTTGGTATCAGTACTTCTATTCAGTGATGGTTCGACATGGCTACTATCCGTATTAATAATATCACATGTTGAAACCGATTATTGGGACCATCAGTACTTTTATTGTTTATGATTTGCATTGTTCAAGTTTCCGTGTGATCATGTGTGTCCACTATATTAGTTTGTTTATGCTTGGTGTGGTTCTCTTACTATAAGGAAAATATTTTAAACATTCCTCTACACTTCTTCAATAGAAATTGGCTTCATTGCAGTTTTCGAGACACTTGGTAAACACCATTTCATCGTTACATGTAGCTGAAATTTGGATGGACAGTTTGTATTTTGTGTTGGTTTCCTAGGAGTTGAGTTAAGCTCAGTCAGTGCTTCGCCTTCTTGTATGACGAGTTTGTTTAATCTCCTGGTAGCATTGTGTAGATAGAGCAACAAGACTGACACAACGAGAAAAAAAACACAGCCAATTAAAATCATTACAAAGACAAACAGCATGTAGTAATTCTGCGTGTCATTGATAAAGTCAAAAAGGCTATTTCTACAAGTTCTCCATTCAGGAAGTTCTACGGAGTTGTCTTTCTTTGTTGTATTGAGATGACTACACTTGGTGATTATCCAATCAGCGGTTTTAACACAAGTCACATGCCTATGTTTGACCAATCGCCAGCTTGCACTGAGTTCTGTGTTCTGTGTTACACAGTTAGATACTGTCACGTTTAATAACCCTGTGATTTCACTTGGATGCATCGTACAATTTTTACACACAAATAAATACACTCCTACAGCAGTCCCTGAAACAGCGAGAATTAAAAACAAAATGGCTGTTATTCGCTTGCCCAGACAACACAGACCAAATATGGTAAAGAATATAACAACACATCCGATGTAACCAGGGGTAACTAGATGATAGCATGGCGCATGATGTAGTCCTACAGCATTAGTCACATCACGTAGTCTATTCCTACACTGTGTAAGGAAGCACAGAGATACGATTATTTTAATTGCGGCTACAATCGGGAGTATCACAGTCAAAGTTCGGGTGGTTAAATCAATTTTTCGTTGATGTTTATATGGTGATTTCAAGTCCGATATATCTGTAGTCTCCATGGTGATCCGTTTCCACGGTAGATTTTGAAAGGTTGGTTAGATATATCACAGCGTAAAATGTATTCGTTATTTTTTTATCTTTTCTCAATCTTTACTCCTGAAAAAGAAATGTTTACAATAAATGATTAAGATAAAGAGGGAGAGGGAAATGAAATAAAATGAAATGAGGTTTAACATCCTACTGTTCTGCTCCGACTGGGAACAGGGAGCGAGAAATGGGGTTTAATGTCTACCAGACACAAACTAGTTTATTTCAATAAATTGCTTGTGTAGGGGTCTTTAGCAGTGGGAGGAAACCGGAAGACCCAAAGAAAATCCACAAGGTTGGACTGGCGATCCTACTCTTTGTCACGTACAAGCGGGGAATCGAACCCACTCCACTTGACTTAATGAGATTGATTACCTTAAACTGTTTAACAGCGGTAATGTGAAAGCCTGCTTTTAATACAGTATAGTTCTATATGTGATGTCAAATCATATGACTTCCATAACACGTACATTATTTACATTAAGTGTAGTAATATAAAGTAGTACAGAATTGGGCCTTTTACTTATTTTACGCCTCTGTGTACTATATTATGTACCTATTTATACTAAATAGATAATATTTTTAAAAACTTTTATTTTTTTCATAATAATTTAAAGGGGCATTAGGTAAGATTAGATACGCCATTTTTAATGAGTTTTAAATTAAGAAAATCGGTCAGAGCTGTGATGGCTCTTCAATCCTGATGTTTGTGGAGAACGTGGTGGAGGATGGAGGGCGTGGCATGGAATCCTGTGGCTAGTTGTTCGGATGGGACAAAAAACAAGGTCCTGTATACACATTGGGATGCATGTCAACGAGTCATTGGCAGTTCAAGTAAAAATATGAATTTTGCATTAGCCATTGAAGTTACAGCAAATTTATAAAGGTGCAAAGCTTTTGAAGTTTTCGATTTTCTTTTTGTTAACCAATCGGCAAGGAACAGCATTTAGTCGTTGGGATGGAATGAAAAACAAGAGTTCCTGTTTACGTTAAAGATCCCTTGGCAGTTAGAATTTGATGAAGAGTAGTCGTAGTGCCGCTGTTTAGGAAAAATTCCCTGCACTGCCCAGTCTGAGTTGGGTCCATGTTATTTCAGTCTCGATGATTGAATCCATTTTAGGTAAGATTAGATATAATAGGTGGGGGTCACGGTGGCTAAGAGTAAGTGAGTAAGACGCCGGCTCGCTAGCCTGGAGGTCGGCTGTTTGATCCCTGCATTGGCCGAGAAAGTTCATCCAGATTTTCCGGCCTGGTTCCCCCTTGTCAGTGATGCACGACGGAGGGCCTGACGAGGACAGTCGTCTAGTCGTTCAGATATAACGAAAAAACAAGGTCCCGTGTTCACATTGGCATGCACGTAAAAGATCCCTTGACAGTTGGGATTCGATATAAGGATAGGCTGTAGTCCCGCTGTCCGGGCAAAATTTCCCTCATAGCACACTGTATGGTGTATGCCCGTCTTCATTAGCCCAGTCGGAGCAGAAGAGTAGGACGTTAAACCCCATTTCATTTCGCTATAACAGGTAAAAAATGGATATGGAAAACAGAATATGCTGAAAATTTCAGTCAAATACTTCACTCTGAATCGAGATATTAGCTATACAATTTTAGGCTAGCCTCGATCCTCAGTACTAACGTTGGTACGATAATAAACAAAGTCTCTATTATCCATTTTCACGTTAAATTATCCATTACAATATGTATTCAAATGTGGAGTTGATTATGATCTTGTTTTGTTAATAAATGTCTAATTAATAGTTTATATAACATTTCAGGCCTAAAGAAAGACCTGCAATAGGCAGATTTAGCTCTTGCATAATGCATGTTTAAAAAATAGTTTTAGAATTTAAGTTAATATCAAGGGCTAATTAACTTTGAATGTCATCGGACATGCGGAAACCATGCGATTAAGTCCTGTTGATCTTTCTACACCGGTAGGCCAAACAAAAATAATTTTGATTAGATTAGTGATTTGGTGAACCATGCAATCAATGACTATGAATGAATCAGGGAAATGTTAAAAGCAGTATTAATACAACAGTAGGTAATTATAAAGTCATTAACTCTTTCAAGTCAGGAATATCTATTTCCAATATTTGATATTTACGTAAACAATATGGTTCCTTGATACAATAAAAATAGATTGGCCCGTGTTTAAAATAGAATCTATTTTTATGTTGATTGATGAATTCTGTTTTCAATCTAAGTATATTATTATTATAGTCTCTATTTGTTACTGTGTACTTTATAGAAGCAATATTCTTATTGATTTATAGAACAACCACCAGAGAGAAAGAGAGAGAGAAATGGGGTTTAACATCCACTCGACACAAACCAGGTCATTTCTGGACTAACACATGGTTTAATTTTATTTCAATAATTTGCTTGCGCGTAGCAGTGGGAAGAAACCGGCGGACCCGGAGAAAACCCACGAGGTTGGATTGGCGACCCTACTCCTTGTCACATACAACCGGGGATTCGAAACCACGCCAGTTGACTCAATGACAGGCCTTATGACACATTCGGCATCCAACCCCCTGAAAACCAACCAGCTTTTTCTATATTGTGATTCCACATTTCTGAAAGATAACATTTGTCATGCATCAACACAGTTCTTACTTGGTATCGCATCAACACAGATCTAACAGAGGGGCTGGCAAGGGACAAAGAAGCACAGTCATTTGTATATGACACAAAAAAATGAGGCCCTGTTTACACTTGACGTACACGTAAAAGAACCCTTGACATTTAGAATTGGATGTAAGAGTAATTTGCAGTGTCGTTGTCTGGGTCAAATTTCCGTCATAGCACACTGTATGGCATATGCCTGTCTTCATTAGCCTAATCGGTGGAGGACATTAAACCCTGTTTAATTTAAACTCTCTTTCTTTCAATCCAAACATAAAATATAAAAAAATCAAAGATGCAGTAAGAACAAACCCTTCACAGATGTAATACAGCAAAAACAAACCCTTCACAGATGTAATACAGCAAGAACAAACCATTCACAGATGTAATACAGTAAGAACAAACCCTTCACAGATGTAATACAGCAAGAACAAACCCTCACAGATGTAATACAGCAAGAACAAACCATTCACAGATGTAATACAGCAAGAACAAACCATTTCACAGATGTAATACAGCAAGAACAAACCATTCACAGATGTAATACAGCAAGAACAAACCATTCACAGATGTAATACAGCAAGAACAAACCTTTTACACATGTAATACAGTAAGAATGAATGAACAAACCCTTCAGATACTTGAATGAAGTTTCTACCTTCTTGCACCTGTATAGCTATGTCTTGTATACAATTAGAAATAAACATTTCAGTAACCAGGCAACTTAATCAATTATTAAAGTCAGATACATGTTTTCTCATTTTAATTACATGTTCTATCATGTAATAAAACATGTACCATACCGTATTTAACTGAATCGTGGGGGAGGGGGGCTTATTGAAACAATTCAGAGACATAAAATGTGCTATGAGGAAAGTTTTACCCAAGGGTTCTTTTACTTGACAGACTAATGTGTGCACGGAACCTCAGTTTTGCGTCCCATACAAATGACTAGGTGCTGTCCCTTGCCATACCATCCGTCCTGCACCGCTGACACGGGGAAGGCCATACCAGAAAATCGTGAGGAACTTTGGGAGCTGGAACATGATTGAGAGTTTTTATTATAGTGAATACGGTAATTTGATGAAGCTGTTCTGTTTAAACAGGGTCAATATATCATGCAATATTTATTACCTTCTATTTCTAGTTGATATAGTCAAACGCTAAACCTCATTTCATTTCTAGTTTAACTATTGAATTACGTGTTGAAGTTTATAGATAGGTGTTGAATTACCTGTAGTAATTGATTTTTCAATCCACTAATTACCTGGATTAAATGTAATCTTTGAATCATCAGATTTAGGAATTGTAACAGTTATTATGGTTTATGAGAGAGATGGAAGAGATAGGGAGAGAGAGAGAGAGTATCAGTTTTTGCTCCGGGTTAACTAGCTGTTGTGCTCCGGGTTAACTAGCTGTTGTGCTCCGGGTTAACTAGCTGTTGTGCTCCGGGTTAACTAGCTGTTGTGCTCCGGGTTAACTAGCTGTTGTGCTCCGGGTTAACTAGCTGTTGTGCTCCGGGTTAACTAGCTGTTGGTGGAAATTGTAGACCCCCCCGGACCCTCCCATGTGTGACGCCCATGTATGTGAAAGAGAGATACAGATGCCGATGTGAACTCAATAACCAATGTAAAAATGTGAACTCAATAACCAATGTGAAAAATGTGAACTCAATAACCAGTGTAGAAAATGTGAACTCAATCACCAACAATGTCAGATCAATTACCAACGATGTCAGATCAATTACCAACGATGTCAACTCAATAACCAACGAGGTCAACTCAATAACCAATGATGTCAACTCAATAACCAACGTAAAATGACCATAAGACCATAATCTATGTTAGAATGAGTGAATTTGAATAAAAGTACTTAATATGATATTAAACTCTATAATTAACCTTTATTCTAGCATGTTGGGCCTTTAATCTCTATTCAACAGGGGGGGGAAGCTGAATGGTTGGAGTCTGCTCGCTGTAGCTGTTTAAGCTGTACATCATTGTGATCAACAAATCTAGGTTTCTTGTTACAATCAATTAACACCTGACACAATTATATAGAATTCAACTTTCATCTTTTAGTGACTTTGACGGGGGTTGGGTGGCCGAATGGTTAACATGTAAGGTCTGTCATTGAGTCAACTGGCGTGGTTTCCATTCCCTGGTTGTACGTGACAAGGAGTAGGGTCACCTGTCCAACCTCGTGGGTTTTCTCCGGGTTCTCTGGTTTCCTCTCACTTCTAAAGAACCCTACGTGCCATCGAATTATTGAAATAAAATTGAACTATATGTTAGTCCCAAAATGACATAGTTTGTGTCGAGTGGACGTTAAACCCATTTCTCTCTATATTTAAAGTAGCTAAGTCTCTAACTCAATATCATCCAAAATCTTCGACATTGAAAACACAAATTATTTCTGATATCCAATATTTAAGACAAAATAAACATTTTGCCATTGGTACACGAATCGTGTACCATAATGCGTTTCATCAAGAGACTCGCGGAACGAGGCTAGACATATTGCACCAAACCAAACGGCGTATGTAGACTGGAATAACCAGGCGCTAGAAATTTGTATACAATTGAGACTGCGGGCTTATTTCGCGGAACATAACTGATTTGAAATTAGAGTAAAAACGGAAACCATTGAACGTATATCAGTTTATATACATTCATATTACAGTATTATATGAGTTGCGACCCACTTTGTCAATTTCTAGGTCCCAAATGTTAGCGATTTAGCTCCTTTAAACTTTATTCTACCCATCTCATGTCTGTGTTAAATTTTGTTAACAAAGTACACGATACCTTTCATACATTTACTCGTTCTGTTCGAGTTAGTTCAACTGTGTCAATTATTCTTCTCACCAGAGACTTCACTCAAAGTTTGTATTAGTTTTAAATCTTTTAGCTGTCTGTCATACCACTCTGACCACTGAGGTAACTAACTGGCTGTTGAGAAGCATGTACAATAAATACATGGGCTGTTTAATCTCACTTTCCCCAGATTTGATTGTTTTGATAAAGGATTAGGAGGTTACTAGACTGTGGGTGTAGAACTATAGTCTGTTCTAATTAATTAGTATTACTGGTGTAAACTTCTCACTATTATTATTGTTACTGGTGAACACTTCCCACTATCAGTAGATTGGGCAAATTGGTGAAATCAGTTTACTAATAAATTTACACCCTAGACACCCATTGAATACCTCAACACTGTTATGAATTTTGTTGGACTGAATTGTCATGTTTATCAAACTGTTTATAAATATTTATACTATAAAAATGTATTTATTTATTTTTTTAGTTAGTTAGTTACTCATTTTAATATATGCACTTACTATGTATTACTTATTATAATATAATATATATAAAAATTTATTATATATTTGTACTTATTATGTATGTATTATATTATATATATGTATTATATTATATATATGTATTATATTATATATATGTATTATATTATATATATGTATTATATTATATATATATGTATTATATTATATATATGTATTATATAATTATATTATATATGTATTAATTTGTATATTATCAAAATTCTGGAAATGGTATAATATAAGAATCCATATTATATGTATTTTTTACATGTAATCTTTTTCACTAATATTATTTAAATCACAAACTTGTTACAGACTATACTTTAAACCCCCTTTGTTGATTAATTAGTCATGGCCTGGTGGACCCAGACTCTAAACAATAGATGTGGGGAAAGTGAGGTGTCCCCACATGGGCATACTTTTGTTGTAGTAAACTAACAATTAATTAATTAATTGATTAAATTAAACCTTCAGTCATTAGCTTGCTTTCAAATGAATAATCCCTCTGGTCCATTTAAACTGCAGATGTTAGAATAACGTTGCCTGAGTAATAATCCCCTCTATTAGAAACCAATTAAATACTTTATGTAAGCAAACTCAAAAAAAATATTGTAAACAAAATTAGTTTATAAACCCATACAACCTCCGAGGCATAATCTCCCCTATGACTGGCTAATCTTCAGATATTACAAGAGTCTGGGAACAACCAACTAGTACCTATTACCTAATAATTTACAATATAAGAAATAAAATAATGGTAAATAAAACAATTAATAGATTAATCATACGATTGGCATGTTCACGAGACAGGCTATATTGGCAGTTACTTTCTATCTATAAAAGTTTTATAAATAATAAGGGATTATAATAAATTAACATGTCATTAGCATTACATAACATTTCACCCTCTTGGCTAGTCACCTTTCAATAGCACACACACACAATGTTTTGAAGAAAAATAACAATTATTGTCCTTCAAGTTTACATGTATACAGAATTCAGTTTGATGACTTTCCTTTTTTTTAAATTATTAAAGTATAATCTGAAATATTGAAGATTTAAATTCTAACACAGAACTAAAATAACCAGCTCAGTTCTATGTACAAGGTGACACTTGTCCGCGATATCACCCTGGAAACGGACATCAATATTAATACTTCTAGAGACATTAAAGATATAGTATGTTTTGACAACCCTGTGGGGGGAGGGGGATGACCCAAGGGTTGTAGCCACGTCCCCAACAACAAAATAACCCAAAGGTTGTAGCCACACCCCCAACAACAAAATAACCCAAAGGTTGTAGCCCGTCCCCCAACGACAAAATAACCCAAAGGTTGTAGCCACACCCCCAACAACAAAATAACCCAAAGGTTGTAGCCACGCCCCCAACAAAAAAATAAGGACAGATTATTCATATCTTGTGTGATATACCATCTTAGTAATGATGACGACATCATCAATAATTAATTAGTTAGTTAGTTAATCACCATCTAGTCATAGTCAGATCTATTAATAGAATTGATTCCAAGTCCAATCATTCTGTCACTCAACACAATTACAAGGTCATTTTGTCGGGACTAACATATTTACAATTTGTTTCAGTAAGGAGAACCCACGCCACGTAATTCAATGAAAGACCTTATTATTTAAACTACACTACTTGACTCAATGACAGACCTTATGATCTAAAGTGCCCTAGTCCTTCGGATGAGACGAAAAACCGAGGTCTCGTGTAAACATTGGAATGCACGTAAAAGATCCCTTGGCAGTTGGAATTCGATATAAGAGTAGGCGATAGTGCCGCTGCCTGGGCAAAATGTCCCTCATAGCACACTGTATGGCATATGCCTATCCTCATTAGCCCAGTATAGGAGCAGAACAGTAGGACGTTAAACCCCATTTCATTTCATTTCTGTCATATTGTTTTCCGTAGAACTATTTATTTTGATAACTAAATGGGGTTCAAGCAGAACACCAGATATAGTGATCAACAAATCTAGATTTCTTGTTACAATAAACTAACACATGACATATGAAACACAACATCTTTCAGTGACATTGAGGAGGGTTGGGTGGCTGAATCGTTAACATGTAGGATCTGACAGTCTGTCAATGAATCAAGTGGCATGTTTCGATTCCCTGCTTGTACGTTACAAAACCTCTATATTTAACTTTTATTCTGGCATGCTGGGCCTTTAATCCCTATATTCAACCAGGGAACAGTGTGGAGGGGAGGGGATGGCCGAATGGTTAGCATGTCTGTCATAAGGTCTGTCAATGAGTCAACTGGTTTGGTTTTGATTCCCTGGTTGTACGTGACAAGGAGTAGGGTCGCCTATCCCACCTCGTGGGTTTTCCCTAGGTTTTCTTAGTTATTGAAATTAAATAGAACCATATGTTAGTCCCGAAATGACCTAGTTTGTGTAGAGTGGACATTAAACTCACTCTCTCTCTCTCTCACTCTCTCTCTCTCTCTCCCTCTCTCTCTCTCTCTCTCTCTCTCTCTCTCTCACAGTGACATTGAACAGTAACACACTATTTATGGATTGACAATCATTTGCTTGAAAAAGAGGAGAGAACCGTTGACGAAATGTTGTATGTTAATAAATCGGTAAGTAGCCATAGTAGTTTTTATTGGAATACAGTTTTCTTAGACATTTATTTCTGGTGAGGTATCAACGAGGGTTCATTGAATGACAACCATAGTACAATGTAGATATGGGGATCACGTGGCTAAGTGGGTAAGACGCTAGCTCGCTAGCCTGGAGGTCTGGTGTTCGATCCCTGCATTGGCCGAGAAAGTTCACCCAGATTTTCCGGCGTGGTTCTCCCTTGTCAGTGATGCAGGACGGAGGGGTTGACAAGGAAAGCTGTCTAGTCGTTCGGATGGGACGAAAAACCTAGGTCCTGTGTACACATTGGCGTGCACGTAAAATATCCCTTGGCAGTTGGAATTCGATATAAGAGTAGGCCGTAGTGCTGCTGTCCGGGCAAAATTTCCCTCATAGCACACTGTATGGCGTATGCCCGTCTTCATTAGCCCAGGTTAGGAGCAGAACAGTAGGACGTTAAACTCCATTTCATTTCATTTCATTTACAATGTAGATATACATGTATTGTTTTATTTTGTGTTTATAAATATCTTCAATGAGCTGTGGTTCGTAAAGACAGAGAACCGTAGTCGAATGTGGTCTCTCTCTCTCTCCTTTCAACTGTTGAAAGTCAGGTGTAAAACTATAACGTAGAGCTATATTTGATCAAATCTGTGGTACATAGAGAATTATATCATTTATAACATCTATTTTTATTTGAACTGATAGAAATAGTATGATATTATGCAGGATAGTATATTCTCTTATCCTATATACATGCTAATTATACATGGAAAATAAATATCACAGCTGATACAAATTATAAATGAAATGGGGTTTAACGTCCTTCTGTGCCAACTGGACTAATGAAGACAGTGTGCTATGAGGGAAATTTTGCCCAGGCAGTGGCACTATGACCTACTCTTATATCGAATTCCAACTGTCAAGGGATCTTTTACGTGCACACCAATGTATACCTGGGACCTGTTTTTTTTATCCCATCCCTTGTCAGGCCCTCCGTCCTGCACCACTGACAAGGGTATAGAAATTATAAAAAAGGTAGGCCTACCAGGTACATGGAAATACAATATATCCAGAAGAAAGACATCAAATTACCTGAACACTGACAGACATGGAACTAAACACATGTTGTAAACTCCTGAACTAAGAGATATGGTGAGTCAATGAATGGTGTTGTGACTCATGCTATGGACAGCAGACGACCAAGCAGCCATCTTGAATGTTATAACTGGTTTATTGATCCGGTTCACGAGAACAAGTTGTTCACTGCTTGTCAATAAATGAGGGAAAGTTTGAATCAGTCATTGTAGGATGTAACCTTTTAAATGATCTTGATATCGTGGTGTGGAGAGGACGACAGGCCCTGATCATTCATTTCCAGGGGGCAGAGAGGTGAAGGCCTTGATCTATTTCAGGGAAGCAGAGGGGTGACGGCCCTGATCTTCTATTTCAGGGGAGCAGCGGGGTGACAGCCTTGATCTTTTATTTCAAGGAGGCAGCGGTGTAAAGGCCATGATGGGTGAAGGCCTTGATTACCCCTGAATCTAGAGGGTATACAGTCATGGAGTTTGACCAGGGTATCACTAAACCCATGCACACCACTGCTTGAAAACCGTTTCATACACGTTTTGGGTGTGATGATTTGCATGATTACGACACTGAATGCACCAGCGGTCTCATCCAATGATGATTTCATATTGAAATATTTTATATCCAGGACATGATTCGATGGAATAGTGTAAAAGTATGTAATACTGAGGTTATGGACCCTCCAGAGGTTAGAAGTTTTGTCTGATTTAGATGAAACTTTGGATATGTGTTAACTTAAACTGTTAATTATCAACAGTTCTTGAGCTTGGTCAACTTTGGTATGCATTAGACCTTCCATTCTAGAGTTGTTGCCCCTGCTTTTTATGTAAAATGTGAAATATGTATGATCCATACTGATTTTCTCTGTTCTCTTCCATTTATTGTAAAATGTGGGCGAATCTTGCATGACAACAATTTGTTAACTTTTCTGATTTATATTATGACTGAAGTTTTGAAGCTTACTACACATTCAGTGTATATCAACACACGATCTGTCTCGTCAATTTGGGTTGAAAGTCAGACGTGTCCAAAATGTCTCACTGCGCCTCAGACTCCGCTTCTGCTATTTCGAGCTATCAAAGATAATTTTACCTACATGTAACCTTGGTATTTGTCCTTGACCTTTCGAAGAAAGCAGGGGACTATTAAAATGGGTTCGCCTGTCTGTCTGAGTGTCTGGGACACAATAACTCTCTTTCTAATTGAGATAGAATGTTCAAACTTGGTGTAAGTGTTTATTAGGTCAATGCCTTGATGAAGTTCGAATATGAGCAATTTGATTGGTTGTTGCCTTGGGACACGATAACTTTAGTTCTAATTAAGTGAGAGTGAGGACACTTTGTGTATAGTTTCATTACATCAATACCATGACTAAGTTTGATAATGAGCATTTTCTGCTCGGGTAAGCAGAGCGATAAGCAATTTGATTGGTCGAGACTTTGGAACGCAATAACTCTCCTTCTAATTGAGCTAGAAAGTTCACGCTTGGCGTAGGTGTTTATTAGGTGAATGCCTTGATGGAGTTTGGAGTTCGAAGATGAGCATTTTCTGCTTAGGGTATGCAGAGATAAGCAATTTGATTGGTTGTTGCCTTGGGACATGATAACTTTAGTTCTAATTAAGTGAGAGTGAGGACACTTGGTGTAAAGCTTTATTACATCAATACCTTGACTAAGTTCGATAATAAAAAAATTCTGCAGAGGGTAAGCAGAGCGATAAGCAATTTGATTGGTCAAGATTTTGGAACATAACAACTCTGCTTTTAATTGAGGTAGAGTTTTTAAACTTGATGTAGATGTTCATTAAGTGAATGTCTTGACTGAGTTCAATGATTTACATTTCGAGCAGAAGCTGAGTAGAGCTAAGCAATTTCATTGGTCGATGCTTTTGGACAAGATAATCTTGATTCTATCTGATAGAGAGTGATGAAACTTAGTGTACAGATTGATTCGATAACGAGTTAGCAGTTCGCACTATAATAGGTAAAAACTAGATAATGTAAAGGCAATTTTCTGAAAATTTCATTCAAATTGATCCACTATCAACCGAGAACTAAGCGAAATTTCCGTCTAGCCTCTATCATCATTACCAAAATCAGTACGACAAACAGCATAGTCTCGATTATCTATTTATTCGTTAAATCGTGAAGGAAAGTTATGCAGTAAATCGGCTCATAATCCATCGAGAGTTGATTATGGTCTGGATAAGTTAATTAATGTCTAATTAATAATTTAGATAACATTTCAGGCCTAAAGAAAGACCTGCAATAGGCAGATTTAGCTCTTGTATAATGTATGTTTAATATGTGTCACTGTTGGCTTGTGGGATTTTGGCGGGGGACATCAGCCTCACTGTTGGCTTTTACCTATACATCCTAATGACAAGAGATAAGTTTATCCTTCGTTTATCTTTGGTAAATCTCACCAGCCATAAGACGGCCATTTTGAATGTCAGTTGATGTATCCTTCTGTTGGTGACTTCACAAATATCCAAGATGGCAGCTTAAACTCACGTTTCTTCAGAGATTTCACGTATTAAATAGCCGAATCACTAAAAATAGTTCCCGATAAATCATCAAATCGGCTGTTTTGAAATGAAGTTTTGAAATGAAGGTGTGGAAAATGTTCCAAGGATCATTAATATGTCATTGTTGAGAAATCGGCAGTATTTCATTTTAACAAATCCTGGCGATCAGGAGCCACTGGGGGAGGAGCTCAGGAACCGAACTGACACTGATTAATGACCGGACGAGTTTTACCAAAGATAAATGAAGGGTATCACTGGGACTGTGATTGTAGATACTGTTTCTTGCTCTGCCCTCCTTCAAGCACCACTGACAAGGGGAAACTACCCTAGGAAATAGTGATGTACCTTTTGTTACTTAGATAGTGGTGGGGATTATATTGTTTGCTGGCAACCCATCTTGTTAAAGGGATTGTGGTAGTCCCGGGTTCTAACCATGACAAAAGATATGGTTTAATGTCTGTCGCTTCTGCTCCAACACCCAGAATGAACACGTGGAACATGACAAGGGATGTAGTGTACCCTTGGGATTGGTTTGAAACCTTCTTGTCATTTTTGTTAGATGGGGGTTGGATGGCCGAATGGTTAGCACGTGCGCGTTGTATCATAAGGTCTGTCATTGAGTCAACTTCCGTGGTTTCAATTCCCCAGTTGTACGTGACAAGGAGTAGGGTCGCCTGTTCAACCTCGTGGGTTTTCTCCAGTTTCCTCCCACTGCACCCCTATGTGCAAGCGAATTATTGAAATAAAATAGAACCATGTCTTAGTTCCGAAATGACCTGGTTTGTGTCGAGTGGGTGTTAAACCTAATTTCTCTCTCTCTTGTCATTGGTAACACATTCAACACGGACTTGTCCGTCCACAATTGTTTGTGGACTCTCTACAGGTCACAATTCTTATCCGATTTTGACGAAACTTGAAATATAGGTGTATCCCCAAAAGCTCTCGGCTGCTTTCGATATTAGCATGTATCGGATCGAAACTTCATGGATTATGGCCTCTGTTTGTACGAAAAATCACGTTTTTAGCTTGTGGACCCTATAGAGGTCACAATTTTTATCCGATTTTGTTGAAACTTGAAATGTAAGTTTATAACCCAAAGATCTCAGTTCCTTTCGATATTCGCGCATATCGGACAGTAACTTCCTGAATTATGTCCCCTGATTGTACGAAAAATGATGTTTTTAGCTTGTGGACCCTATAGAAGTCATAATTTTTATCTGATTTAAAAAACCGTTCTATTATATCACCGTTACACCCTAAGGTTGACTGAGTTCGAATTTCGTGAAAATCGGCCCAAAATTGACAGACAAAATGGCCGCCGTTCGTTCCCAAATAGCGGAAGAATATGGTATATCAAGGTTGTGGACCCTATAGGGGTCACAATTTTTATCCGATTTTGTTGAAACTTGAAATGTAAGATTATAACCCAAAGATCTCGGTTCCTTTCGATATATTAGTGCATATCAGACCGTAACTTCCTGAATTATGGCCCCTGATTGTACGAAAAATCACGTTTTTAGCTTGTGGACCCTATAGAGGTCATAATCTTTATCCGATTTAAAAAAACGTTCTATTATGTCACCGTTACACCCTAAGGGGGACTGAGTTCAAATTTCGTGAAAATCGGCCCAAAATTGACAGACAAAATGGCTGCCGTTCGTTCAGTTCCTTTCGATATTTGCGCATATCGAATTGTAATTTCCTGAATTATGGCCCTTTCTTGTTAGCTTGTTCTCTATCCATCTCTCGAAAATGTGGGCGTATCTTGCCTGGCAGCCGCTGGTTTTATTTTATTATGAATGGAAGTTGAACTGCAAATTGGAATGTAGTCCAATAAACATCGCAGGCTAGCGAAGCCATCGAGAGTTGATTATGGTCTGAATAATGAAAGACCTGTAATAGGCAGATTTAGCTCTTGCATAATGTATGTTTAACATAAGTTACCATGGTCTCAAAATGTCTAAAATATTATTTCGACGGATTGGGCATGTCACTCTAATACACAAAACAACAATAGGATTGACTTTCTAAATAAATTTTTACATTCATTTTTTCAGACTGACAGCGGATTGGTTTATCCATCAGATACAGAGCACGAGCAGACATTCTCTTATTTTATTGTGGATCCGTTAAAACGTCATATCACAGTATTTTATCATCGATTTGGAGCCTCAGCGTTTGATTCCTAGTTGTCAGAAATATATTAAATACTTTACTTTCATTTCAAATCATTATCCATTGCTTAATTAAGGATAATATTGTTATTCAGATTACATGTGACATGTTATTCAGATTGCATGTGATGTGTTATTCAGATTAAATGTGACATGTTATTCAGATTGCATATAACATGTTATTCAGATTGCATGTAACGTGTTATTCAGATTACATGTGACATGTTATTCAGATTACATGTAACATGTTATTCAGATTGCACGTAATGTGTTATTCAGATTGCATGTAACATGTTATTCAGATTACATGTTTCGATTCCCCTCCTGTATGTGACAAGGAGTAGGGTCGCCTGTACAACTTTATTGGTTTTCTCCCTCAAGCCAATTATTGTAATAAAATTGTCCCGAAGTGACATATTTTGTGTCAAGTGGATGTTAACTCCCTCCTTGTTCTAACTACTCAAACCCTCCAAATTCATTCCATTATATTCTTTTTATTTATTGTAATAAATTATTTTTGAATAAATTCTGTATTTAATAGTTGTTTTTTTAGTAGACAAGAGGTATTAGTGGGTTTAAGATTCAATAAGAAGTTTTATAAATGGTTCTGTGGGTTCAAGTTTTTGATAGTTTTGTTCAAATAGTCAAGGGTTAGGGTTAGTAATAAGACAATCATATGACACATAGTGGGCTAGTAGGTATGCAACATTTCCACCTACTGTAAGAGTTCTTGTTTTTTGTCCCCCGCCTTTCGAAGAAAGCAGGGGACTATTAAAATGGGTTCGGCGTCTGTCTGTCTGTCCGTCACACTTTTTGGACACAATAACTCTCCTTCTAATTGACCTAGAATGTTCAAACTTGATGGAGTTCGAAGATGAGCATTTTCTGCTTAGGGTAAGTAGAGATAAGCAATTTCATTGGTTGATGCTTTGGGACACGATAACTTTAGTACCAATTAAGTGAGAGTGATGAAACTTGGTGTATAGTTTCATTACATCAATACCTTGACTAAGTTCGATATTAATTTATTTTCTGCTCAGGGTAAGCAGAGCAATAAGCAATTTGATTGACCGAGACTTTGGAACACAATAACTCTCCTTCTGATTGAGCTAGAATGTTCAAACTTGGTGTAGGTGTTTATGAGGTGAATGCCTTGATAAGAGTACAAGGATGAGCATTTTCTGCTTATGGTAAGTAGAGATAAGCAATGGTAAGTAGAGATAAGCAATTTGATTGGTTGATTCTTTGGGACACGATAACTTTAGTTCTAATGAAGTTAGAGTGATGAAACTTGGTGTATAGTTTCATTACATCAATACCTTGACTAAGTTCGATGATGAGAATTGTCTGCTTAGGCTTAGGAGCAATAAGCATTTTGATTGGTCAAGACTTTGGAACATAACAACTCTGCTTCTAATTGTGGTAGAATGTTTAAACTTGATGTAGATGTTCGTCTTGACTGAGTTCAATGATTAACATATCGCGCTAAAGCAAAAGCAGAGATAAGCAATTTCCTTGGGCGATGCTTTGGGACAAGATAACTTTGATTCTATCTGATAGAGAGTGATGAAACCTAGTGTATAGTTGATAATCAGTTTGATTGCTCGATACTTTTAAAAAAAAAAAGATGTGCGATTAATTAATATGTGTCATCTATTTATTTGGGGATTTCGGTGGGGGACATCAGCCTCACTGTTGGCTTGTTTTTTTTATCCCATCCAACTGACTAGATTCTGTCCTTGCCAGGTCTTCCAGGTAATACCACGCCGAGAGGAGCTTTCTCTGCCAACACAGGACCTCCTTATTAGCGAGGAAGCGCCTAACTACATGATCTGACATGGGCCCCCCCCCCCCCACCAGGATTGCTTACTAAATATGATAGAATTGAAATAAAGGATTTTCAACACAGAATATTATATAAATTTAATAGTAACCATGGTAACAGCATACAGTCAAACCTTACACTGTATATACAAATTGTGCAAAAAATATATATATATATATCACATTTCTCCCAAAAATGTACATTTTGTAAACCAGTTCGAGATAAACAAATAGTTTATACTAATCATACACCCATATCACATCTTGTTAGGTTAGATAAAAAACAATTAGAATCTGCTGTCTACACCAGTAGAAAAGACGACTTGTCAAACGAATGTCGCAACACAGGATATTTGGTTAGGTGTCCGGAAGAAGCTGGAATTCCTGCTCTGATCTACAGAGGTGTCCGGGAGAAGCTGGAATTCCTGCTCTGATTTATAGAGGTAGGAAGTTGAATATTTAGTTGGGGGGGGGGGGGGGAAGGGAGAAGCTGGACTTCCTCCTCTTGAGAATAATTTGAGAAATTGGTGTGTAAACCCGAATATAAGAAACATTTTCATTAGCTACATGTACATCACCCCTACCAACAAAATTAACACCATTCACAAACAGAATAAATATTACTAGGAGTCCACTGGAATTAAACGGCTAATCATTCACCTAACCTCATATTAACCTTAATTTGGTTTGAAGCTAGTCATAAAGATTTACTGCCTTTTACATAAATCGCAATTTGGTTTGATTCTGGTCAGAAGAGTTACTTTCCCTTCCCTTACATAAAACCTCAATAACATGTAAATGGTGAATTGACCACCCTAATAACTGAATATAAATCATAACACAAAGCATTTATAATATACTAACACTCATCATTATAACAACAAGTGATTGCCATGCAAGATACGCCCACATTCCGCAAGGGATGGACGGAAACCATCATCTCATTGTTCTAATGCTTCACATCGAATTTAAAAAAAACAATTAAGTTACAAACTGATAAAGACCCCGACACCTGGTGATAAAGACCCCAACACCGGGTGATAAAGACCCCAACACTGGGTGATAAAGACCCCAACACCGGGTGATAAAGACTATGTTTTATAGATATTGTCCTTATTAGTCAAAGGTATTGCATAGTTTTAGGGAACTGTCTCAAATTTGGGGCAATGAGAGAGAGTGAAATGGGGTTTAATGTCCACTTGACACAAACTAGGTCATTTCGGGACTAACATATGGTTTAATTTTTTATTTCAATAATTCACTTGCGCGTAGGGGTCTTTAGCAGTGGGATGAAACCGGAGGACCCGGAGAAAACCCACGAGATTGGACAGGCAACCCTACTACTTGTCGCATACAACCGGGATTCGAAACCACGCCAGTTGACTCAATGCCAGGCCTTATGATACAGTGCGCATGTGCTAACCATTCGACCATCCACACTCCCTTGGGGCAATGAACCATGATCGAAATATACCAAGGGCTCAGAACCAGCAGTGAATATCTTCAATTTTTCCCATCTTAATTAAAGCCCACCAACATAAAACTGTTTTGGCCAGAAGTGGATATCTGGCACATGGTCGCTTCTAGCACCAAAAAGCTAATGACAGAACTGGTTATGTGTCACAGATTCACTTCTGGCTGGACTGTTTTGTGGTATTAGGAGTGAAAGCCCTTGATTTATGATATATTCCCAATGTCTATTGGGTAGTAACAAAATAACCAACAGTGAATATACATGATATCAGCCTCATATAAGATACAATGTTTCAATAGTGTTCATTATAAACAGTGATGCAGGAAGGACAGCTGTCTAGTCGTTCAGATGGTACAGATGGTCTTGTGTACACATTGGCGTGCACGTAAAAGATCCCTTGACAGTTGGAATTCAATATAAGAGTAGGCCGTAGTGCCGCTGTCCAGGCAAAATTTTCTCATAGCCTGTCTTCATTAGCCCAGTTTGGAGCAGAACAGTAGGACGTTAAACAGCATTTCATTTCATTATAAACATAAATATTCATGTTAATAAATTCAGAAGTAGTATATCCATATAAGTGTTTTTAATTTTACAAGATATGTCTACCAAAAATGCAAAAATTTGAAGCAATAAATCAAATAATTAAGTAACTCAATAGGTAATCGAAACCATCACTTAAAGCCATCGTTTACTTTTTCTAAACTTGGCTTATCCAGATACTTGAATATTGGGACTTTACCACAAAAAACATATGGGGACCATAAGTTTGTATTGATGCAAAGAGGTTCCATCGAAATCCACACAGTGGTTCAGGATTTTGATACAGTTTTCCACACAGAATCTATCTGTTTGATTCCCTGAAATATATCTGGGACAACTCCCTTTTATGGAATGCATTGATCAAAGTAATAAATTATTCCCTAGTTAGTAATTCTTCCCATATTTTTAAGCACCAATAACATAAATTGTAAAAAACGCATAAAAATAAATATTCGGTTTGTCTGTCTGTATGGGCTCTTGTCCACTCAGTACAAACAGACCACAAAGAAAAAATTGAACTTGGAAGTCATTTACATCTGATGTAATACACGTGTATTACTACACATATGATGTAATACACACTATGACGTAATACACACACATATAATATGACATAATACACAAATAATATGATGTAATACACATAATATATCACGTAATACACACATAATATGATGTTATACACATATACTACGACGTAATACACACATAATGATGTAATACACATATAATCTGACATAATACACACATAATATGACGTAATACACACATAATATGATGTAATACCCATATAATATTCTGTAACACACACATACTCCTACACATCTGACATGAATATAACCAACAATAAATACATGAATTAATCCAACTTTAAATACAGACATTTTTATCATTGCACAGATGTTGATTTGGTATAAAGTAGACAAGGCATTCAACAGTCATAATAACATTAATTAATCATTTGGTATGAATAAACAGTCATAATAACATTAATTAATCATTTGGTATGAATAAACAGTCATAATAACATTAATTAATCATTTGAGAAAAACAAACCTATCAAGAGAGAGGGAGGAATGAAACCATGTCACTTGGCAAAATGGCATTTCTTGTGATTTGTTGGACAACTTGACCAATTAATATACCAATACCCTAAACAAATATACCCCTACCCCGGCGGTCCTAGAGATATAATCAACCCCCTGTCCTAGAAATATAAACAAATACATATTTCTCCAAAATCTGACTGAAATCCATTCAGCGATTCTGGAGAAAACCATGAATCTGTAAATATTGAACCGAAAGCCAAAAGATAAGAAGAGACAACTGTGGTAATAATAGCCTGATGTATCGCCGAGGTATATAATTATAGTATAATGCCCCCTTCACTGACATACAAAAGCAAGAACAGATAACTCTAGTATTGTCAATAAGAAATAATAGCTAGAAAAATAAAGTATATAATGCCCATTTGGCTGACACTTGCTGTGTATTCCTAATGTTAAAATACTCGTTCAAAATGTTGGTCTGTTGGGGGTCTAGCCTGTTGAGGTTGAGGAACATGTCCGCGTCTCCTAGGTGGCGCCAGATATTCAAACATAGATTGATTGTGTCGAGATAACATGATAGACAAGTCAGACGGTGACGGATCTTCCCAGAAAAAATCGTGATTAAGCGCTGTATCACAATCGACACGCTTCAAGGGATCAATTTGTAGCATTTTATCGAGGAGATCTAACGCAAATTGGTCTTTGACGTAGGGTTTTAACCTCTCTTTCACTTTACGCTTCATACCCTTTGGAACTTCTAATTTATCGTATAGGTCAAGTTTATCACAGTCGGGCCACACTTCCGGACATATTGATCCACATAGTTGACTAATTAACGTGATCTGGTGTTGTTCTGTGTTACCTTGCATTATGGGGCTTCGTGTCCACATCTCCGCCATTATACATCCAGCGCCCCACACGTCAATCGATGGCCCGTAACTCCTCTCCCCTAGCAACAATTCAGGTGGACGATACCACAATGTGACAACACGATTCGTATATCGTGGTGGACCTCCTTTCTGATTCAAGCTGCTGTAGGCTCGAGCTAGACCGAAATCAGCAAGTTTGAGAACTCCATTTTTGGTTATCAGCACATTGGCAGCTTTCATGTCCCGATGTAGAATTTTATTTGTATGTATAAAATACAAACCATTTAATAGCTGCTGCATCACACGTTTTATATCTCCTAATGTAAACTTGACGTTGGCGTTACTCAACAAACCTGCCAAATCATGTTCACAAAACTCAAAGATGAGGTAGAATGTGCTCTTAAAACGGTTGTATGGTCCTGCTGAAATAACAATACGACTTCTAGTAACATGGAGTTTAATGGACTATGGTTCTCCAACAACTGGGCTAATGAAGACATTTTGAGGGAAATGCCCATTCTTTATCGAATTCCAATGTTAAGGGTTCAATGCAAGTCAACATGTGCACAGGACGTCCATTTTTTTTCACAGACAAAGACAGAGAGACAAATGGGGTTTAACTTCCGTTCGACACAAACTAGGTCATTTTTAGACTAACATATGGTTCAGTTTTATGTCATTAACTCGCATGTGCATAGGGGTCTTTTAGCCTTGGGAGGAAACGGAAGGTCACAGAGAAAACCCACGAGGTTGGACAGGCGACCGTACTCCTTGTCACGTACAACCGGCGATTCAAAACCACGCCAGTTGACTCAATGACAGACCTTATGATACAGTGTGCATGTGCTAACCATTCGGCCATCCAACCCCCTACAGGACGTCAGGTTTTTTCACTAAGGGAGAGAGAGAAAAGGGGTTTAACATCCGCTTGACACAAAATAGGTCATTTCGGGACTAACATATGGTTCAGTTTTATTTCATTAACTCGCTTATGCATAGGGGTCTTTTAGTAGTGGGAGGAAACGGGAGGACCCGGAGAAAACCTATGAGGTTGGATAGGTGACCCTATTTATTGTGACTTGACTCAATGACAGACCTTACGATACAACATACACTTGTTAACTCAATACATCCAGTCTTGGTCAATTTATATCAACACTGATGTTGTTATCTTACCGTGAATAGATGGGCTTCTGATATCCAATATTTAAGACAAAATGAACATTTTTAAATTGGCACACAAATCTCACGAACGACACACGTAAAACTTAACTGAAATGTTTCAAGTGTGCGACATTTTTATTGGCTAGGATTAATGTCCAAGTACTTATCCATCATTGAAAATATAGTTTAGTTTTAAGGTCCGTAAAGAAAATATACATTACCTCGACTACGACATATTTCTATTAATTTTACAACATTTTCATGATTGAGAAGTTGAAGGATTCTAATCTCTCTTAACGCTGTGATGGGAAACTGTTAAAAAAAAAAAGTATACTTAAATATATGTTACATAATGGCTATCAGAAGATAGGTTGCCAAGCAACGAAACATAAGCCACCCAGCAGCTATGATCTACTGACAGTCCATACAGGTTGTAGACGTGCATATGCCATACAGTGTGCTATGAAGGAAATTTTGTCCTAACAGCGGCATTAGAGCCTACTCTTATATCAAATTCAAACTGCCAAGGGATCTTTTACGTGCATGCCAATGTGTAGGCCTACATGGGGCCTTGGTTCCCACCTGAACGACTATCCACTATCCCTTGCCAGGCCCTTCGTCCTGCCCCACTGTCAAGGAGGAAAATCTCGATGAATTTTCAAGACCAACGCAGAAAATCGAACCTGGGTCCTTCTGGTTAATGAGCCAACGTCTTACTCTCTGAGCCACTGTGGCTCCTGTACTTCAAGCGAACAAGGACTGTAACTCTAAAATGTTACCATCTAGATTCAAATTGTAATGTAGGCTATATATATAAAAAATGTTACATCAGACAGGACCAGAACGATACCATTTGGTTTCATCATTTGTTTGGTCCAACCCTAGCATGTTGGGGTCTTTAGAAAGTACAGGACCTGAATGACCGGGGAAAAAACCCACAAGGTTCGGCACGTGTACAGTTGGGCTGGAAACTCTGCCACTTAACTAAATGACAGACCTTATGATCTGAAGAACACTCGACAAGTGATTTAGTCCAAACTATTAAATTAAAATCTTCTGAATTACCCACCCCTTCTTTTTCATTTTCCATCAGAACTTTCTTCATGGCCACAATTCTTTTTGTTTTTCTATCTCTTGCCTTAAAAACTTCACTAAAACAAAAATATTCAAAATAAATTGTTGTTTAGTGTCATTAAGCAAGCAATTATCACCATTATTTCAACTAATATGACAAGATTTATAAATTAGAAGTTATTGTTGAAACAATATACCGTGAGACGGTATATACATGCCAAGTTTCGATTCTGAGTACTTTAAATTCTGTACCGCATATCGGTAAACACAGTACCGTACCGATTTATTTAACCACCTGTTTTCCTCTTATAATTAACTGTTATGCAGATTTATGTTTGCCTGTAGTTCCTCTGAAAAGGTTGCCTGTCCAACCTCGTGGGTTTTCTCCGGGTCCTCCGGTTTCCTCCCACTGCGAAAGACCCCTACCCGCAAGCGAATTATTGAAATAAAATTAAACCATATGTTCGTCTCGAAATGTCCTAGTTTGTGTCGAGTGGACGTTAAACCCCATTTCTCTCTCTCTCTCCTCTGAAAAGGAGGAAAGATGGTTTCCAGCAATGAAAGCTTTGCTTCGAGTGAACCACAAATTACGGATATGGGAACATTTTAGATTAAAAATACCAGATACAATGTTACAATGTCTCCCTCATTATACAGTGTGCCATTAGGGAAATTTTGCCCGGGCAGCGGCACTACGGCCTACTCTTATGTCCAATTCAAACTGCCAGGGATCTTTTACATGCACACCAATGTAGACATGGGAACTCGGTTTTTCATCCCTTCCGAACGACTAGACAGCTGTCCCTGTCATGCCCTTCATCCTGCACCACTGACAAGGGGAAACCACGTCTCATAGTCAAAATCCTGATGAATTTTCTCTGCCAATGCAAGGATCGAACCCACTTAGCCATTGTGGCTCCCGAGAGAAAGTGAAATGGGGTTTAACATCCACTCGACACAAACTACAGGTCTTTTTTTAGACCGGACGAAACTCACTAGGTTGGACAGACGGCCCTACTCCACTCCAAGTGGGGGATCGAAATCAGGCCACTTGAAGTTGATGATTCAGTGATAGACCTTATTATTATAATCGAACGCACATACAAGTTACGACAATTTGGCCATCTCGCCCCAAATGTGATAAGCTTCTTTAATTGCCCAAATAAACAATCCTACCAAGTTTTACACAAGTCCATATTGATTTTTTTTTTGCCCACTCCCAATATAAACAGCAATGGCAATGGAGAGGAAATTCGAAATGAGAGATGACAGTAGCCTAGGTACATGTACATCATATGTACACACGACTTCATTGGCCATCTGGATGAACATGATGTTGATGATGATGATCAAAACCAAGGAAAGGCCAACCGCCAAGGGTTGGTTCATTTTATTTTATTGTATGCAAACTAACCCAAACGTTCCCTGTCCAATCTTAGTGAGTTTTTCATATTTCTCGCTGGCATTTTCACAATATGGGAATTCTAGTTCTTCCATGAGTTTGGCGTGGCTACTCATTTTAAAGCCGTAAGTTCGATCGTTACCCAACACAGGTGAGCAGAAAGTTTCAGAAATAGTTCATGTGTTCTACGTCATCAAATTGTGTGTATTAGCCTCAGAAACATTGACAATAACTAGAAATTTTTATCGTTATACCAAGCATTTGATTTAAATAGTTTAGTTTTTTCAATATATATAAAATTAAAATCAAAATGTCACACAAATAGATGCTATACTTTATAAATTTGATTTAGTGCTGTAAGCGGCGTAATATGTTTTACTCAAATATCCAGACATACACACGTTTTTCAACAAAGTGGAAACCAAAGAAAACGGCCTGGAGTAATCCGAGCTATTTGTATGACGTAGTACGCACCGGAAACCAATATCCTAGTTTGAGAATTTGTTTTAATTTAATTGTGTGAAAAGGCAACAATTGGGAAGCGAACATGCCAAAAGTTGTATCTAAAAGTGTGGTGTGTACAGACACTAAAGATCAAGAAGAATATCAGGGAGAGAAACCTCTCTATGTCTATTACTGTATCTGTGGTCAAATGTCGCTTATTTTAGGTGAGCTCCAAATCCACAGGTTCCTTTACTATTTTTAATGTAGTTAGAGGGAACGGTATCCTATCTGTCCCTGTTAAACAACAACATGAAAATACCGGTCTTCCCCACCTCTATTCAAAGGCTATTTTGGAATCCCCTCCTTCTGCTTTTCACCATGATTCTTTATTTTTCGCCAAAATCATTTGGCCTAGTTGTAGTACGTTGACCTGGCTGGTACCCGGACCAAGACCAATCGGACCAAAAAAAAGACCACTCGGACCAAAACGGAGACCACTCGGACCAACCTAAAAGACCACTCGGACCAACCCAAAAGACCGCTCGGACCAACTCATTTATGTTGGAAGACCACTCGGACCAATATTTATGTTGCCCCTCGGACCAATTAATTTAATTTGGAAGACCACTCGGACCAACCCAAAGGATCGCTTCTCGATCCAATTATTCACTTTATGTTGGAAGACCACTCGAACCGATATTTTAAATTAAATAAATATTATTTATTAAAAAAAACAATACAAGGAAGCGAATAATTTATAGGTAAATCTATACATAATTTAAAAATGTCATCATTCCTTACATAAGAGCAAATATTCATATTTATTACATCAACAATTTATAAAATAATTTTTTATTTTTAATATGCCCGTGACATATGGTACAGGTAAGTAGCATATTCATATTTATTACATCAACAATTTATTAAAAATTTTTTTTTTTTTTTTTTTTTTAGTTTTTGATATGCCCGTGATATGTCTAGTGACCTATTCGCTGGGACCGTAAATTAACCCACATTTCTTTAATAGTTGGCTTGTGCTGATTGCTTCTTCACTGTAAAGTTTCCAAATCGCAAAAAGTTTTCCCTGAATTGAACAGGTCCGTCTTTTTTGGTGTTTTTTTAATTTCCCTTCTGCCTTGGTCGAACTAAAGAATCGCAAACTATACACGTATCAGACATTTTGACAAATGATAATGAAATATATATTTTACATGTTTATATATAATTTAAGCGCTTGGACATTACTCCAATCACACCAATTAAAAATGAATCAATTTTCTTTCATGTGCTACATCTACTGTACTTAATTACATTGTAACATGGGTGAGTACATTATCAACACATACTAATGTATTAATCACTACTCATTTATCGTTGTTTTGTTAATTAATCTTCTTTGATGTGCTTCATTATGATCAAATACCACGGGTAAGTACATAACACTTATAATTTTCATATTAAAACAAACACAATTTATTAAAACAACAATTTATTAGCGATCCGAGTAGTAGTAGTCATATTAAAACAAACACGATTTATTAAAACAACAATTTATTAGCAGTCCGAGTAGTCATATTAAAACAAACACAATTTATTAAAACAACAATTTATTATTGGTCCGACTAGTCATATTAAAACAAACACAATTTATTAAAACAAAACTTTATTATTGGTCCGAGTGGTCTTTTTGTTTGGTCCGAGTAGTCTTTTTGTATGGTCCGAGTAGTCTTTTTGTTTGGTCCGAGTGGTCTATCAATTGGTCCGAGTGGTCTTGGTCCGAGTGGTCTTTGGTCCGAGTGGTCATGCATTCACCTGGCTACTTTTGACTTCTAACCCTAACCCTAAGTTATGTAGCCGGATCAATGTACTGCGGCAAAATCATTTTTATATTTTAACCGAAGAAAAGGTATAAAAAGTAACCGGAACGTGTCTTGTTTTGTGCCAGCATTGAATACAGATCTTGACAAAAAAAGTTATCCAACACTTGTTAAATTAAAAAGACCAGTAAAATCAAAACGATACCAAGACTCGATACAATCAATTATCGTTGAAAAATATACCACCAACCACTTGGATTGTTACCAAATCAGCAGGGCTACCGACAACCACTATCACAGCGCAATTTGTGATATATGATATATTTTGTCCGTTGCTACTTGCTAATCAAAAATGAAAATCAAACATTTTTGATTCGCAGTATATGTAACTGTGAATCATTAGTATGCCGGTCATTTTGGATATTGACGTGGAGATTTATCCACATTGTGACATTTTCTTCTCGAACTACCCAGACACATATACCGGTACTATATAAAACGGGACATAACTCTATGAATAGAGACTATTAAACCGGAAATAGGGAATCAAGTAGTGCTACTTATGCTGCGAGACATGTCAATTTTGAGTAATTATATCAGTATTCAATTTGAAAAGATAAATCCAGTGTATCCCCGACGTACTGTTAATAAAATATAAAAAAAATAAATGCATGTAAACGTATTGTAAAATGAGAAATCAAAGTAAGAATTCACGTAAAATATTATCTATTGTTTATATTGCATGATTGTGATTGTAGTTAATTAATCAAGTTTATTCGTTAATTACTGCGTGTGTCTGATTGAACAAAAATAGTAGCACACGATAAAAAGCAGACGAAGTTGTTTTCTAACGAAGAAACAACAATTAAAATGAGTGGGGCTTCGGAAGCCACTGCCAAGAATTGGCTTCAGACAAAAGACCTATCCCAAAGTATACCCTCTGGGTTGTCTGGTTTTCTTCTTCTGCTAAAGATATCTACACAAATTTTCAAAATAAAATTGTCCCGTATGTTAGTCCCAAAATGTTTCAATTGCTGTCCCTCTCATATTTCTGGCTTCATCAATTGAGTTAGAATTTAAGTTAGAAAAACATTCAGTGATTAATGATGTGTAAATTTCAAACGTTTTTGTTTCAGATTGTCCGATGGAAAAATTACCGCTAAGGAAACGAGATGGATCGAGAGTGATCGATGGAAATAAACATGCGCATAAATTAACATGTGAACCTGATAATATAATTTATCTACAGAGGTTTGTCTTTCAAGTTAAATATATGAGCAGGTTTTATATGCCATCCATCTGTCCGTCCAGATTTGTATATTATCTAAGAACAACAGATAGTGAGCGAATATTGTTGTGAACCAAAGTTTGTCTGTGCATCCACATTTTTCATTGGATTATAATAAAACTTGATATGTCACTTTATGTCCATGAGATCTTATCTTTGAGTGAAATTCTTTCAATTATTCAGCAAGTTATTGCCCCATGATAGGACAAAATTAAATTGTTAGCGGTCACATTTTTCCCCCCCGATTTTGATGAAACTTAAAATGTACATTTACAAGCTAAAGATAACGGTTCGTTTCGATATTCGTGCTTGTCCTGGCTTAACTTCCTGGATTGTGGTCCCTGATTGTACGAAAAATCGTGTTTTATCTTGTGGTCCCTCTAGAGGTCACAATTTTTGTCTAATTTTAAAAACCAATAAAATACATCACCATTACACCCTGATGATGGTGGAGTTCGAAATTTGGACTGAAACTTGCCCGCTCCTCGTAAGCAAATAGTATAAAAGTATGCAAGCTTTTGGACCCTCTAGTGGTTACAATATTCATCCGATTTTGATGGAACTTAAAATGCACGTTTATATCCCAAAGATCTCTGTTCCTTTCGTCATTTGCACATTTCGGTTCCTAGCTTCCTAAATTATGGCCCCTGATTGTATGACAAATCACTTTTTTAGCTGGCAATTTTTATCCGATTTTAATGAAACTTAAAATATATCCTAAAGATCTTACAGTAGTTCCTTTTGTTGTATGTCAGACCGTAGCATTCTGGATTATAGACCCTGAATGTTAAAAAAATTGCTATTTCAGATTGTTCTCTGACCATCTCTTGCAAAATGTGGGCGTAGAGACTGTTCGTTGGGATTGAGTCTTAAACAAAAATGCCATTGGAATTGGGAGCAGCAGGCGTTCAATGAGTAAGGTGTTGGCGCCCTATCCTGGAGGTCCCATGTTTGACCCCAGTGTTAACCATGAAAGTTCATCAGTATTTATTAGTGGTGCAGATGGGATGGAAAACAGAGGTTCTTTATACACATTGGCATACATATGACAGAACCTTAATAATTGGAATTCAATATAAGAGTAGACAAATAGTGCCACTGTATGGGCTAGATTTCCCTCATAGCGCCACTGTAAGGGCTAGATTTCCCTCATAGCGCCACTGTAAGGGCAAGATTTCCCTCATAGCGCCACTTTAAAGGCTAGATTTCCCTCATAGCGCCACTGTAAGGGTTAGATTTCCCTCATAGTGCCACTGTAAGGGCTAGATTTATCACATAGCGCCAATGTAAGGGCTAGATTTCCCTCAAAGCACCACTGTAAGGGCTAGATTTCCCTCATAGCTCCACTGTATGGCGTAAACATGTCTTCCTGACTTCAGAATATTGTGGATGGGGGAGGAGAAACACACGAGCACCGTCTTCCCAGTGTTCATGAATAAAGTTTAGAGTACATTACTCAGTTTAATTTTGAAATGTTAAAATAATTGATTTCAGACCTGAGGGAATAGAGAAACAATACAGACAGAAATGTAAAAGGTACAGTATGTTTTTATACTCACATATTTAATATGGACATATTGTCTTTGTTTATTCACAAGGTCATGGTCTTTGGCTATACACAAGGTTGTCATCGTTCATCTGTCAACAGTAGGTCACAGGTCTGAATGTGAATTTCATTAGTTCATGTTAATAACTTCTACAGTTATGACTCTTGTTTCACTTTGTTGAACCTTACGAACATTCTATTAACAGCAGTTATCATCCGATCTGTATTAAATTTATATGCATCATTTAGATTTATAAAATCAAGAATCCGATAGAATTCAGCAATTTCTGTTAATAACTTCACTCTGTATTAAATTGATATGCTTCATTTAGATGATCTGTAAATTGTTATACGTGAAAAGTGAACAGAGTTATTCCCCTTGATTACAAAAGTTTAACCTGTAATTTATCAGAGAACCTTTCTCTTTGATTACTAGATTATACAAGGTATGAACGGAGGTGCCTGACAAAGGACCACATATAGTTGTTCAGATTGGGTGATTTGGTGTACCCGTAAAAGAACCCTTGACAGTTGTAGTTCGAAATAAGAGTAGGCCGCTTTCTGGGCAACATTTCCCTAATAGAAGACTATGTCTGTCTTCATTAGCTCGGAGTGAGTAGAAAAAAGTAGGATGTTAAACCCCATTTCATTTCATTTTGATTATACAGTCTTGTTACCCTTAAAGACTCCATTATAATCTTTATGAAATATGAAAAGATTGTCCAGCTTGATTTTCAACGATTTCCAACAATCACTCACAAAGTTATATCCCTTGATCTCTGTAAAAATGTAAATGATATAAATTTATTATGTGTAGATGTGGTTTATGGTTATATTATCATCACCAAGGTAACAGTAATATAATATTTGTTATAAATGAAGCTTTAAAGGTGGAGAGTGAAGGTATTAAAACAGATATTTATACTCAGTTAGCCAAACCTGTGAAGGTAAAATATCTTTTTTTATATATTCCTTACACTAGAATCTAATTTAATAAACTGTATTCTAGGTATGACAAATATTAAATCATGTATTTAGGTATAATGGTATTAAATCATGTTTTTATGTATGAGCCTATGAGAATATTAAATCATGTTTTTATATATAAGGGTATTAAATCATGTATTTAATAATCTTTTTGTTTGTGATTCATCAGGTGACGTTAACTAAACACACGAAAAATATGGGTAAATTTAGTTCCGTAACAGTTTCTACTATTGACGAAGAAGAAGATGAATTGGAAGCTGTAAGTTCAACAAATTATAATTTATTACCTGTCCAAATTTAATGTCAGTACAGCATAAACTGTCATCACCTGTGGGGTGGGGGGGGGGCAATGGTTTGATGACAGTGCTATGAGGGAAATTTTCCTCAGGCAGCGACACTATGGCCTACTCTTATATCGAATTCCAACTGCCAAGGGATCTTTTACGTGCACGCCAATGTATACACAGGACTTCAGTTTTTCGTCACACCTGAATGACTAGACAGCTGTTCTTGTCAGGCCCTCTTGACAAGGGGGAAACCATGTCGGAAAATCCTGATGAATTTTCACGGCCAATGCAGGGATCGATTCAGTCGAAGAAAATCAGAGAATTATTCCCCTCTCCCCCGCCCCCAGATGTTCAAAAAGTAAAGGTTCATGATTTTTCCTAAACAAAGTTTCTTTAAAGGGACAATAACACTCTTGCTGGCTTGACAGCTCCAGAAAATAAATAATAGCCTTATTCTAAGTACTAGATGTGTTACACATCTATGTTGAGATTCTGGTAGGGTAAAAAAAAAGTCCAAGAGGGAAACTCATTTGCATCTTGTATTAGACCACTGTAGCAATTAAAATCCGAAAAAATTAAAATCTTGTAAAGAGCCCTTTTCCGGAAATGAAAAAAATGCGCGCCTCCGGCTCAATTTCACCATTAAAGACAATTTGCCCCTGACTGAATCCACAAAATTTGATAAAAAGCCCATCCAAATGATGAATACGAAGAAAAGGATCATAATTAATTGATATTTAACTTTTATTAAACATTCTCCACTAAACATTCTCCACTGACTTAGATATTATTCCGACATTAAAAGAATCATGTATACTACAATCATGTAACACATTATACAATAATTTCAACCTCTTATCTGTGTCTGGAGCAGTAGGTTACCACGCACTGCAAGAGCTTACTGGCGTACTCCGTGTGCGTTAAATCGCGCTTGTATCCGCCCGTTTTCCACAAGGCATTAAAGTCATGGTGATCGGATTCTGAGGCTTGTTCTGACCAAATGCCTAGCCCTTTGTCGAACACCTTCCGTTCGCCTATGGGCAGTCCAGTTTGCTCTTTTTCGAAAATATTTTTTTGGGCCTCTAGAAATTGGGTAATGTGTGCAAACACCGCATGACGCTTGCTTGTGACCGATATTCCTAGATTCAGGTATGCCTTCCGAAACTCTTCAATGCGGTCTTTGTAATTAGTTTCGGCCTTTCTTCCAAAACAACTCTTTCGCACTTCGTTGAATGACTTCAGCGCCCGAACAACTTTTTGGCCCTTGAGCCCTATCTTCGCATTCTCGATCAGTATTTCCAGCAATGCTGTGTTTTCCAATAGTTTTACACACTGAGGGCCGTTGAATTCGCCTCCGTGCATTGGAGGCCGTCGAATACCCAGCTGGTTTGACCAGTCAAGTGTGCCAATCTAGCATTCAGTCTGTGTAAATATATTGTTGATCTCATCATAGAGGCGATTTGTGATACCAAGAAGCACATGTAACTCCATAACGGGTAAAATATCCAGAACCAAAGTTTCATCCGGTAAATTTCTGGTTAGCGGTGGTTGGATGCAGCTTTTGTAAGCTGCTGCGGACAACGGTTTCGATCCGTGATGCATTGATGCTGCCTCTTGATACTGGGAGGCGTTTTGCCGAATAGCGCCGAGAGTCCTCAGAGTCATGGTTTCGGGGGCTGCAAACTGTCGTTTCGGCGTCTCACACCAGGGGCAGGGGCACGCTGATGAATGTGAGCCTAATCCAAGAAACGCGTTGGCCAGTTTCATATCAAAGGCCGCCATGAAATCTACCCTTTCAAGTCCGAGTAAGTCCATTATGGCAACCCTTATTTAAAGGGAAATGACCACCAAAATACTTGGTCCTGCGTAATTTGTCTTGCTTCATGATTAGAAAATCAAAATAAACCACAGAAACTACAAATTGTCGCTCATGTTTGCCGTATAATCAAAGGAACGCGTATAAGCGCGCAGGAGGCGCGAAAAAAGTGCAATTCTCGTGAAGGGCTCTTTACAAGATTTTAATTTTTTCTTATTTTAATTGCTACAGTGGTCTAATACAAGATGCAAATGAGTTTCCCTCTTGGACTTTTTTTTTACCCTACCATAATCTCAACATAGATGTGGTTAGTGTCCTACCTGTTGTGTAAATTATCCATTACATCCTATTTTACTTGTCCAGATGGTTTGAAAATATTTTTAAATCCAAGTCACATTTGAAAAGGTTTACGTTAGGCTTTTCAAATCATTTAGTTGAAGTTTTCCAATTTTTTAAATTAGGTGTGTTAAGATGAAATTTGTATCATCAATTAATTGGAATATTGTAAAATAGTACAATTTGTTGACCAGAATAAAGATTGGGACATATTATTCAGTTACAACAAGAGTGGTATTGAGCCTTTAAGACATAAGTCAAACCCCCACTCACAAGTTTAAATGTTTTCCTTGCATGACTTGTTGAAAATAATAATAATGGGGGGCCTGACAAGCAACTGTCTATGTTTCACAGTTTGATTCTAATTATGTGTTTGTTTTGTTTTTATCTCAACAGAAAGAAATAGCTGATTCCTACGCTGCTAATGCCAAAGTTATAGAGAAACAGTTATTACGGAAAGGGATGAATAAACGTAAATTATTAGAAGAAGCTGAGGCGTCAAAACGACCAAAAGGAACCTTGATAGACAAATAATAAACATGAATTTAATTTTATTTGTACAGACAATATAATTAAGTAAGACTGTTTAAAATGTTAAAGTGATAGTTTAAGTCGTGTCATATTAAGACTGGATATTCAAATCAAAGTTCTAGTAATATAGAGGTGTGTTGATTTACCAGATTCAAACCCAAGCATGGACTGTAAACGTCTCCGAGGATAAACAGGACTGTGTGTGGTGTTATAAAAAACCCAGTGACAAGATCTTCCTGGATAAACAGGACTCAAGCGTGAAGTGTAAAAATCTTCCAGGATTACCAGGACTCAAGCATGAAGTGTAAAAATCTTCCAGGATTACCAGGACTTTATTGTCAGAATTGATAGAATTAAAACTAAAGATATAACTTGCACAATTTAGTGATTTCATCCACGCAAGCAATGAGATTAGTATTCTATTAGTGGTGGGGGTCACCTGTTACAGCTGGAGGATATTTGAAAATATTAATATCGCGATATTGTTTTAAAAATCTTCAATATATTGTCACTATTGCGATATTTTTGTGCACTAAGCATTAAACTCAGTAATTGTGTATCCATAAAATTGTACCTTGTGTTATTATATGTTAAAAATCAAGGAAGACAAGCAAGTGTTGTTTAATATCGGGTGCTATTCCTCTCAAACAACAATCTCTCTTATTCATAGTTTAAATATGGGCCTTGAATTGTTTTATTAATCAACCTGCATCATACTTAATATATTTTATTTAACCAAAACCACGTTATTTCTTTTTCCACTACTTCGTTGTCTGCCATTTTCAGAACTTTTGTGAACATACCATTTTTACATATTTTTGAAACAGGTTTCGAAGAGTTTTGGTTCTGTTATGCAAGATCTTTTTCGACGTTCCAAAGTAAAAGTTCAGTTCTAAGACCACCTAAAGATACATTTTAAATGTTCCTATTATTAAACATGCATTATGCAAGAGCAAAATCTGCTTATTACAAGTCTTTCTTTAGGCCTGAAATGTTATCTAAATTATCAATTAGACATTAATTAACTTATCCAGACCATAATAAACTCTCGATGTCAAGGCTAGCCTTCGATGTTGGCTGGATTAAATTCCTATATGCCGCTAACGGCCGTTGATAATTAAATCAAGAAAAGCGGATAATCGAGACTTGCTTTTATTGAAAGGGTGATTACTTTCGATCATTTTCAGCTTATTTTCATGATACAAGAATGGCTGTGCGTTCACTTTCAGTGCAAATGAACTCATTTGACCTTTGACCTTTGGGTCTGGTTTTGTGCCCATTTGATGGACACCCTCCGCACTGAGCCTCCAGACTAATATTGCAGTGCAAACGTTGGTAGCTGGTCCGGGCAAAATCGATGCCTTTTACTCATGTCATGTCTTCGCGTACTATTTTATGAACCTATTTACACTAAATAGGAAATATTTATTATCCAGATATACTTCTAAAACTTTTTTTTTCTGAATATTTTAAAAATTTGTTTTAGAATTGAATTTGCAGAAGAAGATAAGTTAATATTGTGAGCTACATGTAATTAACCCAATGTTATTGACGGCCAAGCTGATCGGTTTGATGTACTTTAACACTGTCAACAATTTGTGTCCCTTTTCGCCCATCATGTCGTTGTCACTTCTGTCCGTTCATCCGTTATTAGTAATAAGTAATTCTCGACTAAACAGTTTGATGGATTTCGATGAAATGTAGTAGACATGTTGCGAGGGTGTTCAAATACACGGACATCACAGAGGGATAAATTTAAATATTTTTGACTTACATGTACTCTCTTAAAGCTTTTTGATTTTGATACAAATGTATGAATGAATGTAATTATGCTGTTTAGTTTGGTGTTATTCGAATTTATTCAAATAAAGCTGCTTGACCCCACAGGGTTGGGATCGGGGCACAATTTACCCAAATCTACCATTATTCCAACTTATAAGATTAGAATTTATATCTATATTCACTAATCTATATTCTTGATGCCAAATTGTCATTTTTAATTGAAGACAGTAACGTTTTTGTGTCAAAATGACCTCAAAATACAATTTCCAAGATTGTTTTAACACATTACAATAATTTTTATGGATATTTGAAAATATACCCTCCTTTGTTCTCAAATATCATTTTTAATTGAAAATCGTTGTGTTTTTGTGTCAAAAATGCCCCTCAAAATGTGATTTCTGAGCAAGTTTGGAAGGTTTAACAAAGGGACATAACTCGTGTTTTGCATGGAATCTCTTGCTTGGTAATTGCATATTTAGAGACAATTTTGAAACAAAAACATTATGATTTTAAATTAAAAGTATATAATCAAATACAGATATAAATTATTATCATTATAGGAGTTTAAATAATGATGGATTTAGGTAAATCGTGCTCTCATACAAGAACCCTCGTCAGTTTAAAGACACTGTGACAGTTGAAAATAGAAGAAGAATAGACGGACACTAAAATACTGTATGTTTGTTTCATATAAATAAACAATAATAAACAATACCATTCAGAATGACAGAAACATTGTGTCAGACATTAAACCCCATTCCATTCATGAGAACCTTTATTTAATTTCAACCTTATTCTTTGATGAAGGGAGCCACGGTGGCTAAGTGAGTAAGACGCTGACTCGCTAGCCTGGAGGTCGCGTGTTCGATCCCTACATTGGCCGAGAAAGTTCATCAGGATTTTCTGACGTGGTTTTCCCTTGTAGGTGGTGCAGGACAAGGACAGCTGTCTAGTCCTTCGGAAGGTACAGAAAACCGAGGTCCTGTGTACACATTGGCGTGCACGTAAAAGATCCCTTGGCAGTTGGAATTCGATATAAGAGTAGGCCATATTGCCGCTGCACAGGCAAAATTTACCTCATAGCACACTGTATGGCGTATGCCCGTCTTAGTTAGCCATGTATAAGAGCAGAACAGTAGCACGTTAAACCCCATTTCATTTCATTTCTTTGATGGTTTTCAACCAAACAAGGTCACCCTCAGCTAGCCTTGAGAATGGTTCAGAGCGGGTAGGGGCCCACTGATGATTTGATCCTCCTGTTTCCTCCTGAAAATGAAGGACAGGCTAGGGAGAGAAGGGCTTTGGACTCCTTCCTGGACCTAGGCCGAATGTGGATGGCCGCATGGTTAGCATGTGCGCGCTGTATCATAAGGTCTGTCATTGAGTCATCTGGTGCGGTTTCGATTACCCGGTTGAACATGACAAGGAGTAGGGTCGCCTGTCCAACCTTCTGGGTTTTCTCCAGGTCCTCCAGTTTCCTCCCACTGCTAAAAACCCCAATTGAACCATATATTAGTCCCGAAATGACCTAGTTTGTGTCGAGTGGACGTTAAACCCCATTTCTCTCTCTCTAAGTAACCACATGGTTAAATTTAACAACAAGTTCAATAACCAGCCCATGCGATGGTTACCAAATGACCTAGTTTCTTTTGAGTGGATGCTAAACCCTATTTTTTGAGAATTCTCCACCGATTGATTACCGTGCTACTAACAAACTACCACTCGTGATAAATTTGTTTTAAAATCCCTTAGTATCGGCCTCTACCTTAGGGCCCAGCAACTAACTCCATATATGTGATATGTTTGGAAACAACTTAAATTAGTCAAACTTCTTCTGGAAATGAACAACTCAATATTTGCAGCTGAAATTTTGAGACAAGGTAAAATACATGATTCCTCTGTAATTTGGCGCTTAAATTTCATATATACACAGACTTTTATTTCGGAGACGGGGTCACAGTGGGTAAGACGCTGGCTCGCTAGCCTGGAGGTCCGGTGTTTGATCCCTACATTGGCCCAGAAAGTTCATCCAGCTTTTCTGTCATGGTCCCCCCCTTGTCAGTCATGCAGGACGGAGGGTGTGACAAGGACAGCTGTCTAGTCGTCCGGATGAGATGAACAAAAGAGGTCGCATGTACACATTGGCGTGCACGTAAAAGATCCCTTGGCAATTGGAATTTGATATAAGAGTAGGTCATAGTGCCACTGCCTGGGCAAAATTTCCCTCATAGCACACTGTATGGTGTTAGCCCAGTTTGGAGCATTTTCATTTGTATTTCCGAGATTGTTAAAGTCAGGATGGTACCTTTAAAGCCTTAATGTATTGATTTTCTCTTCATGTAAATAAAGACAATGGGCTGTTAACCGGGTGGTACAAGATACATAAAATAAGCCACCGGATAAGCCAACTCTCTTTCACTTTCACATAAAATAAATAAACAAAACGATAGCGTAACACATTATTTTTTTTTTGATATTAAAGCAGATTCTAAAGTATAATAGCTGTTGCTAAAGTAGCTAAGTCTCTAACTCAATATCATCCAAAATCTTCAACATTGAAAACACAAATTATTTGTCAATTTAAATCAACATTGATGCTGTGATCTTACCGGAAAAAGATGGGCTTCTGATATCCAATATTTAAGACAAAATAAACATTTTACCATTGGTACACGAATCGTGTACCATAATGCGTTTCAGCCCCAGTTCTAGCAAGAGACTCGAGGAACGAGGCTAGACATATTGCACCAAACTGAACGGCGTATGTAGACTGGAATAACCAGGCGCTAGAAATTTGCATTCGATTGAGACTGCTGGCTTATTTCGCGGAACATAACTGATTTGAAATTAGAGTAAAAACAGAAACCATTGAATGTATATCAGTTTATATACATTCATATTACAGTATTATATGAGTTCCGACCCACTTGTGTCAATTTCTAGGTCCCAAATGTTAGCGATTTAGCTCCTTTAATGAAGTGGACAAAATTAGATTTATAATATATAAACTATACAATATAAATAACTGTATTTAAGTGGGGTAGATCTGATTGATGGCCCATTACGACATCTTATTAAAGTATACGTTACTTGGTGTACCCCCCCCCCCCCCGCCAGACGTTTTGCCCCCCCCCCCCCTTGTGAAAAAATTACCGACCATAAAAACAATAGATATACATTTTCCGTCAATTTTACAAAACCCCTAACAACACCCCCTCTCGTTGCTCTGAGCTAGTTACGTCCCCGTGTACCAGATTCTATTGGTCACAATTTCTTTGAATGTTTCCATCTTCCTGAAAATATACACAATATAGTATTTGAGTGAAATGTTTTAAAATTAATCATGTGTTATATCCCAAAGATCGCGCGAATAATGGACGGTAACTTCCGGGAGTATCATCGCCCTTATGATTGTTCTCAAAATCGCGATTTTTAACTTGTTGACCCTCTAGAGGTCAAAATTTTTATCCGATTATAAAAATCTTTTAAAATAACATCGTTACACCCTGATGACGATTGAATTCGAATTTCGTAAAAATCGGACAGTAACTGCCCGTCAAAATGGCCGCTCCTTGAACTCAAGAAGAAGAATAGACGGACACTAAAATACTGTATGTTTGTTTCATATAAATAAACAATAATAAACAATACCATTCAGAATGACAGAAACATTGTGTCAGACATTAAACCCCATTCCATTCATGAGAACCTTTATTTAATTTCAACCTTATTCTTTGATGAAGGGAGCCACGGTGGCTAAGTGAGTAAGACGCTGACTCGCTAGCCTGGAGGTCGCGTGTTCGATCCCTACATTGGCCGAGAAAGTTCATCAGGATTTTCTGACGTGGTTTTCCCTTGTAGGTGGTGCAGGACAAGGACAGCTGTCTAGTCCTTCGGAAGGTACGGAAAACCGAGGTCCTGTGTACACATTGGCGTGCACGTAAAAGATCCCTTGGCAGTTGGAATTCGATATAAGAGTAGGCCATATTGCCGCTGCACAGGCAAAATTTACCTCATAGCACACTGTATGGCGTATGCCCGTCTTAGTTAGCCATGTATAAGAGCAGAACAGTAGCACGTTAAACCCCATTTCATTTCATTTCTTTGATGGTTTTCAACCAAACAAGGTCACCCTCAGCTAGCCTTGAGAATGGTTCAGAGCGGGTAGGGGCCCACTGATGATTTGATCCTCCTGTTTCCTCCTGAAAATGAAGGACAGGCTAGGGAGAGAAGGGCTTTGGACTCCTTCCTGGACCTAGGCCGAATGTGGATGGCCGCATGGTTAGCATGTGCGCGCTGTATCATAAGGTCTGTCATTGAGTCATCTGGTGCGGTTTCGATTACCCGGTTGAACATGACAAGGAGTAGGGTCGCCTGTCCAACCTTCTGGGTTTTCTCCAGGTCCTCCAGTTTCCTCCCACTGCTAAAAACCCCAATTGAACCATATATTAGTCCCGAAATGACCTAGTTTGTGTCGAGTGGACGTTAAACCCCATTTCTCTCTCTCTAAGTAACCACATGGTTAAATTTAACAACAAGTTCAATAACCAGCCCATGCGATGGTTACCAAATGACCTAGTTTCTTTTGAGTGGATGCTAAACCCTATTTTTTGAGAATTCTCCACCGATTGATTACCGTGCTACTAACAAACTACCACTCGTGATAAATTTGTTTTAAAATCCCTTAGTATCGGCCTCTACCTTAGGGCCCAGCAACTAACTCCATATATGTGATATGTTTGGAAACAACTTAAATTAGTCAAACTTCTTCTGGAAATGAACAACTCAATATTTGCAGCTGAAATTTTGAGACAAGGTAAAATACATGATTCCTCTGTAATTTGGCGCTTAAATTTCATATATACACAGACTTTTATTTCGGAGACGGGGTCACAGTGGGTAAGACGCTGGCTCGCTAGCCTGGAGGTCCGGTGTTTGATCCCTACATTGGCCCAGAAAGTTCATCCAGCTTTTCTGTCATGGTCCCCCCCTTGTCAGTCATGCAGGACGGAGGGTGTGACAAGGACAGCTGTCTAGTCGTCCGGATGAGATGAACAAAAGAGGTCGCATGTACACATTGGCGTGCACGTAAAAGATCCCTTGGCAATTGGAATTTGATATAAGAGTAGGTCATAGTGCCACTGCCTGGGCAAAATTTCCCTCATAGCACACTGTATGGTGTTAGCCCAGTTTGGAGCATTTTCATTTGTATTTCCGAGATTGTTAAAGTCAGGATGGTACCTTTAAAGCCTTAATGTATTGATTTTCTCTTCATGTAAATAAAGACAATGGGCTGTTAACCGGGTGGTACAAGATACATAAAATAAGCCACCGGATAAGCCAACTCTCTTTCACTTTCACATAAAATAAATAAACAAAACGATAGCGTAACACATTATTTTTTTTTTGATATTAAAGCAGATTCTAAAGTATAATAGCTGTTGCTAAAGTAGCTAAGTCTCTAACTCAATATCATCCAAAATCTTCAACATTGAAAACACAAATTATTTGTCAATTTAAATCAACATTGATGCTGTGATCTTACCGGAAAAAGATGGGCTTCTGATATCCAATATTTAAGACAAAATAAACATTTTACCATTGGTACACGAATCGTGTACCATAATGCGTTTCAGCCCCAGTTCTAGCAAGAGACTCGAGGAACGAGGCTAGACATATTGCACCAAACTGAACGGCGTATGTAGACTGGAATAACCAGGCGCTAGAAATTTGCATTCGATTGAGACTGCTGGCTTATTTCGCGGAACATAACTGATTTGAAATTAGAGTAAAAACAGAAACCATTGAATGTATATCAGTTTATATACATTCATATTACAGTATTATATGAGTTCCGACCCACTTGTGTCAATTTCTAGGTCCCAAATGTTAGCGATTTAGCTCCTTTAATGAAGTGGACAAAATTAGATTTATAATATATAAACTATACAATATAAATAACTGTATTTAAGTGGGGTAGATCTGATTGATGGCCCATTACGACATCTTATTAAAGTATACGTTACTTGGTGTACCCCCCCCCCCCCGCCAGACGTTTTGCCCCCCCCCCCCTTGTGAAAAAATTACCGACCATAAAAACAATAGATATACATTTTCCGTCAATTTTACAAAACCCCTAACAACACCCCCTCTCGTTGCTCTGAGCTAGTTACGTCCCCGTGTACCAGATTCTATTGGTCACAATTTCTTTGAATGTTTCCATCTTCCTGAAAATATACACAATATAGTATTTGAGTGAAATGTTTTAAAATTAATCATGTGTTATATCCCAAAGATCGCGCGAATAATGGACGGTAACTTCCGGGAGTATCATCGCCCTTATGATTGTTCTCAAAATCGCGATTTTTAACTTGTTGACCCTCTAGAGGTCAAAATTTTTATCCGATTATAAAAATCTTTTAAAATAACATCGTTACACCCTGATGACGATTGAATTCGAATTTCGTAAAAATCGGACAGTAACTGCCCGTCAAAATGGCCGCTCCTTGAACTCAAATAGTGTAAACATCTGGTATATCAAGGTTGTGTGTCCGCTAGAGGTCACAATTTTTGTCCGATTTTGATGAAACTTAACATATATGTTTATGTCTCCAAGATCTAAGTTGCACATATCAGACCATAACTTCCTGGATTATGGCCCTTGGTTGTACGTAAAATCACATATTTAGACTGTGGACACTCTAGAGGTCACAATTTTTGTCCGATTGTGATGAAACTTATTTTTAGATCCCAAAGATTTCAGTCCCTTTCGATATTCGCACATTTCAGACCATAACGTCTTGAATTATTGGCCCCCGATTTTTCTCTATGTGACTTCTAAATGGTCAACAAGCTTAAAACGTGATTTTTCGAACAATCAGGGCCATAAACCAGGAAGTTACGTTCCGATATGCGCTATTATCCAAAGGAACTGAGATCTTTGTGATATAAACATAAATGTAAAGTTTCATCAAAATCGGATCAAAATTGTGACTTCTACAGGATCCACAACCTGTACACTATTTGCGTACGGGGAGCGGCTATTTGTCCGGCAGTTTCACGAAATTCGAACTCAACCGTCATTATGGTGTAACGGTCATATATTCGAACGGATTTTTAAATCGAATAAAAGCTGTGTCCTCTGAGCAACCACAAGCTAAAAACGAGATTTTTCGTACAATCAGGATAATCAAGAAATTTACGACCCAGTATGCGAGAATATCGAAAGGAACCAAGATCATTGGGTTATAAACATACATTTCAAGTTTTATCAAAATCGGATGAAAATTGTGACCTCTAGAGTGTCCAGAGGCTTAAAACATATCTTTCGTACAGTCAGGGCATGAAGTTAAGGTCCGCGATACCTGCCAATATCTGATATCGGAAAGTAATCGGATAAAATTGTGACCTGTAGCTAGAGTGTCCACAAGCAAATTGTGGGCGGGCGGGCGGACAGGGGCGACGACAATATGCGTCCAAATATAAATGTGGGCGTATAAAAATATACAAACGATTAAATACCAGCTATATATAGACAAATTCTACTCACTTGTTTCTATTTTTATAACTGACGTCATCATATATACAGGCGGGTCTGTTTATATCAGGTGAAGGCCATCTTATTTACACCAGGTGAAGGTCATCTTATACACGTAGGTAAATCTATTTACATCAGGTGAAGGTCATCTGATACACAGGTAATCTGTTTACACCAGGAGCAGATCATCTGATACACAGGTTAGTCTATTTAGATCAGGTGAAGGCCATTTGATACACAGGTAAGTCTATTTACATCAGGTGAAGGTCATCTGATACAGGTTGTATGTATACATTAAAGAAAGTTGATCTGATACAGGTACATCTATATACATCAGGTGAAGGTCATCTTATTGTGGTAATTGTAGACTAGAGCTATAATGGTAACTGTAGTCTAGATTGTCAAGTGTTAATATCTGTCTATATCAGTAATGGTAATTGTGGCCTGGACTGTAAACTTGTTACCATCAACAAATCTACGAGTAAAATCATCCCAGTCTATAAACTGAGGCAGGCCATATCCAATACCACTACCAGGTTTAAATGTGTATTCTAGTTCAGCTCCTTCTCTAGATTGACTCTGATCTGTTGGGTGAATCAGTTTTAGTTTATATTTAGTTGAACATGTTTTAACTGTTTTATCAACACCTGGGTATAGAGATAGTAACAAACCTAAAGATGTTGTATCTGTATGATGTCTAACACCTATACGCCATGGTAGATATTGTATAGTATGACTATAACCAGCATAGCATGTATCGGTTGGTACATCAGTTAAATTAAACGTGTGTGTAAAAGTTGAACTAGTAACTTCAACGGTTGTCTCTATAGTAAAATGGCCGTTGTCTAGAAAACCGTTTACATCATTCTGTAATGTATTCCAGTCTATAAATTCTATACAACCGTATGTATTCCAGTCTATAATATCTGATGCACCGTGTCCAGTACCGCCAGGTGTATATAATGTATCAGTAGACTGTTTTTCTATAGATTTAGAATCATCTGTACCATGAACTAATTTAAGTTTATAATCAGCTGAGCAGGACGTCAAATTCTTTTCTTGTTCTGTATTCAGGTCCAGATAAACTCCTAAAGTTGATTTATCATGATGATGTTCAACTCCAGCTCTCCAGTATAAATCCTGTAACATAACCAACTTGTTATTCCAGTAGTTTGTGTCTGTATTGGCTCTCTTCAGATCAAAACATGAAGTAAAACACATTTTACTTATTTCAACTGTTGCTTGTACTATAAAATCATTGTTATTGTCAGTGAAACCAAGGTTTTGGCATTTGATCTTGTACCAGTCAGTAAACTCTACCCATTCCCGCCCCCTGTCACCTGGTGTAAACGTGTGACTTCCCTGCTGTGATATAGACTCGCTGTCATGTATTCTATTTATCAGTTTAAGCGTATATTTAATTGTACAAGATTTAACATTGGTGTCCTGTACGTTCTTTAGACACAGATAAATACCCAGTGTTGATGTATCGGTGTTGTGTTTAACACCAACATGCCAGGGTAGATCCTGTACCATATAATAATCTGGACTCCAGTAGAGTTGATCTTTCTTCATCTGATCCATATTAAAACAGGTTGTAAAGGTTGGACTGTCCATGGTATGTAGTTCACCAAACAGCCGTGTGAGGGAGTCTGGGTTTATCTTCGTCTGAGGGAAATTGAAATACTTAACAACAGGATTACAGAAACGTATTGGACTGTGATCTTCAGCTAGAGTTTCAATATGTGGTAGAATATTTATAACCTGAATGGTTGACACATCATCCAAAACATCAACAGCACATTTAACACTGGTCTGTAGTCGAGTTTTATCTTTGTTTATTCCCGCTTTAAGATCTTCTACTTTCTTGCTTTCTTCTACCCGGAGAACATCAATCTTATCGTTGATTTCATTCCCTAGTTTTCTGACTTCACTACAGATGGACTCAACTTTCTTGAGAACATTATCTTTAGAAGTTTTAGCAAACACGTCGATGTCTTTTGATTTCTCGTCTAAATATTCCAACTGATTGTCTAAAAGTTTGATTTGATTTTCTATTTCTAGTTTGATGGTTTTTAATGATTGTCTCAATTCAGGATCAACAGTTTTTAGTTCAGCTCGTTTATGATCAGCATGATCAACAGCGATGCAGTCAGAGCAGATAGCTACCGAACAATCACGACAATAAAACTTTAATTCCATTTCTTCATGTTTAGGACAAATATTCCTATTACTCCGGTCTTCGATATAGAAGTTACTGGTAAAACCGGCAGCTCCGCCTGGTGGTACAGGTATTTCTGTTCTACACATTGGACAGTTAATCTCCCCATTTCGAGCAGTCTCCGTGATATGGCATTGTAAACATACCTTACAAAAAGTGTGAAAGCAAGGCATGATTTTAGGTTCGACAAAATCACCCAAACATATACCGCATTCGTGTCTGGAAGCCATCTTAAATGTGTTAGATTTTGAAATGTTTTTGTAAGTATTGGAATTAATCAAGCGCTATAAAAAGTTCCGTTCAAAACATTATGATATAAAGTCACTCTTACTTCCACAAGAAGACAGCATGCCTAATTTAACCTTCAAACTCTACATGTCTTCGATGACATCAATCCACACAATAGTTTCATCTCATATTTCAGACCGTGTTGCCTCCACGTGTCAACAGAAGTAAAATGCTTTGTCTTCTATTTCCAGATCAGTCCTATATATTTGCTACATAATGTTTAGGTTATGGCCACAGTTTCTTATTCCGTCTTTACTTGATATAGACATTACATCTATACACTTCTCTTGCATTTACAGATCCTCTGCTGTAAAATTATTATTAACCGTTTATATTTACAGATTTCATGTGACGTAATATTAATATTAACCGTTTATATTTACAGATTTCATGTACTGTACAATTAATGAAACAGTATTATTCTTACCAAATATTTCGTTTCACTCGGCAAGTCAATCGTCCAACATCACACGCCCGTTCTATGTAAGTGTTTCAGTGTTTTATATCCAGCCACCTCAATAGTTGGCGTCGTAACTGGTAATTCTACTTTGTGTCATGAGATATGAATGGTTGACAGACGGAGTATAATAGAGACCTTAATAAAATGATTGGTTGGTGGGTTCATTACGTCATCAAATTTATTCCCCGAGAAAACTAATTAGAATAGATATTGATAGAAACTTAGTAGTAATATGAAAATAAGATATTCATAAAAATATTCCCCAGAAAAGCTAGTTAACGTGATCTCGCTTTTATACATTTTTAGCCTGATTTTATCTCAGGGGTTTTCAGGTTATTGAGGAGATGAAACAGCACTGGTTTAAATAGTTTATTGATTCACAGAAAACAAAAAATACCAAAAACAAAAGAAAAACACTGAAAATATAAATATAAAGATATTACAAACATGCAAACAAGATAAACAGAACATAATCAAAATAGAAATAAATATACAAAAGAAACATAAAATATAATCTGAACTAAATATATTTATAGACATTTAGAAAGACAGAAGAGGAAAACAAGAAAACTAAACATACCCTGGGAAAGGTGTTTTAATTATAAAAGTACCAGTAAGGACTATATTACACAAGCTAAAATAAAAACAAACACGACAATAAATAAAGACCACGGGGAAAAGGGGCGAAAATGGCGAGAAAACTAAAGATATGAAATATATATAAATTAAGGAAATTACTATTACAAGAATTATTAATTAAACTACTGAAAAAAAACCTATGCTAAATAAATATATTTACTGATAGATTGAACTTGATAAAATTACTAAAAATAAGAAAAATAATATACCTGAAGTTGAAGAAAACACAAAGATCTTGTCATTGGTCATGTGAAGATACAAGTGCAGTTTTAAACAAATTACAACACCATATATATTACATAAACTTTATTTACATATATACAACTAAACATTAAAAAATTCCACCCTACTACACATTCAACAAAACATCTTGACCTAAATGTATTTTTCAAATACGTGTATTAACATATCGTTTACTAGTGCCTGCCGAGGGTGTGGGGGTGTGTGTGTGTGTGTAGTGAGGCCTTCATTACTATCCATGAGACACGCTATGTTATGTTAGAGCATCTGAAACCACCCCTCATCCACAAAGTAATATAATATTGTCAAGGATCTAAATACTAACGATGACTGTGGATTTGACATCTTTATTTTAATAATACAGGAACACACATTAATAACAACCAATACAGGAACATAACATTTCATATCGTCTTAGTTCACGTCTGCCTCCATTGTGGTACACCCTCGTTCTGTCTGGAGCTTCCCAGCTCCTCTAGTGTGGACAACCAAAGCCTGTCTCATTTATGCCTAAGCCATTGTATACTAATGTATCAGCTGGACTGATTGGATCTCCAACTCACAACACAGCTATAAACCACTGCTGCTTAATATTATGTAACACCTTTGTTAAATTAAGAATTACTAGTTTTCGGCTAAAACACAGTTTTTGTGACAAAAGTATCTCAACAGGGTGAAAAATAAATTGCCTTGCAACTCTTAAGTATCAATAGCTTCAGAAGCTGTTAAAAATACACCTTTGTGAAGGTTTGTAAGTATGGGTCACTATAGTGTCCCTAACCTTTAAAAAGTGAAATAAATCAACTTCAAATTTAAATGAATAAAAAATATTTTAGATTTTAAAAAAAATGCACATTGAAAAGTAAAATATTACTGAAGATCACAGTTTTATTGTAGATTTTCAGTGTTTTTCATGCAAATATCCACTGTGAATTTGAACATTTGGTGGTCATTAGGAGAGGTCATTATTACAAATGTTGAATATAAGAAATGGACTGTAAATTCTGGAAGTTGTTTCCAAACTGTATATAACATCAAAACATTGAAAACAGGACAAATACTACATCGTGACATCATGATTCTACACGAAAGCTCAGAGCTCATTTCGTTTCGTTTTTTATGGTCAGTAATAAGAATTATTTGTGACCTGTATATACAATATTTGAATAATTATTATGCAACTATACACGTCAGAATTAGGCATCAATTCATTTCTAGAAAGAGGACGGATATTAATCACATGACGTCATTCATATATACTCGGGGAAAACCACCATGACACATGTTATTCTGTACACAGCTACTATGATTCACCATAGATATCATATTATTTGTTTGCGCAAATATTGCGTCAGAGGTTGCGGGGAAGGAGAAACAGACTAGACAACTTTTAAAAAATGTGGGGCACTATAGATGGATCATGGGTTAGGTTTTTTTTCAGACGTTAATTTCTCCCGTTTACACCTTTCAGCGCGACATTTTCTTTATGCACTAGTTATGAAACAACACAACTTAACGCATGCTATTTAGAAACCATTTAGAGACATGAAAGTGCTGAGCAGTCAAAAACCTTCAATATCAGCTTTGGCCTTTGTGCAATGGATTATATACAATCGGCTTATACCTCAAATTATTTATTTTCTAATTTTTCCTGAAAGCTGATTGCACAATTGACAATCATTTGTGGACTGGCACACACAGACCATCAATGGTAGACTGGGCCACAGACCATCAGTGGTGGAAATGAAATGAAATGTGGTTTGATGGCACGTCTGCACCAACCGGGTTATATTGCGCCAAACATAGGATGATTATTTCGAGACAGGCTAAATTATACCACAGAAAAAATTCCATCAATGGTGGACTATGACACAATAGACCATCAGTTGTGGAATGGGCCACAGGCAATCAGTGGTAGACTGGGCCACATACCATCAGTGGTAGACTGGGCCACAGGCCATGAGTGGTGTAGTGGGCCACATGCCATCAGTCATGGAATGGGCCACAGACCAAGCAGTGGTGGAGTGGGCCACATACTATCAGTCGTGAAATGGGCCAGACTTCAATTGTACAACTTAACAAACTTTCTGGTACCTTTTAAATTCTGTAGTAACACTACAATGGTTTCAGTATAGAATTATACACAGAATCCTCACTAGAAACGCCTTTCTACATAAAATATCAAGTTTATAGATTCACCTCAGGCCACCTGTAAGCTATCAGAACACTAGAACGCCTATTGTATAAATGTCAGTGCAGTTATTGTTGTAAGCTATCAGAAACACTAGAACATCTAATGTATGAATGTCCAAAAGTACTAAACATTTGGAAAGAAATTATCTCACGAATTATAAAAATCTGTGGAAAACCATTAATATTTGAAAAAAAACCCCACAATTTTAATATGTAGCTTTGATGAATCCCCGAGTAATGACATAATGCCATATAGTTAACCGGGTAATCATGAATGTGAAATTATAAAATTTACACAGACATCACTGAAAATGAAAGCTATATGCTAAATACAAAATTGAAATAAAAAGATATTGGATACAAAGGAGTGAACAGTCTGACAAATACGGAAGCTTCTTAGAGAAATTGAACACATTACTAATAGAATAAAACTGACTTATAATCTAAATCCATGTACAACAATACGATAGTGGACTGTGTCCACATAATAATATAATATTTATTTATTTGGGGATTTTCTCTAAATATGAATATTATTTTGCTAGAAAATCAAGTTGTAAAAAAAGGGAACAAAAACTAAGGATTGATATATTGAAAGCGGCTGTACTAAATTCCGAAAAAAACCGAAAAGTTTCGAAAAATACCGAAAAAACCTTTTTTGATACTAATGACGGAAAAAATCCGAAAAACCGAAATATCACTAAATACCTGAAAAATCCTAGGCCACACATAATAATTGTTAGGTGGATTATGCCTCTAGGTCAGGCATGAAAATGGTGGACAGTGTAGTTGGGTATTGGGTTACTCTACGCCACATATAAATATAGTGGAACACTCTAGGTTGGTCATGAATTACGCTAAGTCACGCATAAGACTTATGGAGCACTGTAACAAAGTAACAAAGAAAAGGAGAGGAACTGTAACAAAGTAACAAAGAAAAGGAGAGGAACTGTAACAAAGTAACAAAGAAAAGGAGAGGAACTGTAACAAAGTAACAAAGAAAAGGAGAGGAACTGTAACAAAGTAACAAAGAAAAGGAGAGGAACTGTAACAAAGTAACAAAGAAAAGGAGAGGAACTGTAACAAAGTAACAAAGAAAAGAAGAGGAACTGTAACAAAGTAACAAAGAAAAGAAGAGGAACTGTAACAAAGTAACAAAGAAAAGGAGAGGAAAGTTGGAGTAGCTCAAAAAATCCTGCAGAAAAAAAACTGTACAAAGGATCAAGGCTGCATTCAATCTAATACGTACAAACTTTGGTTTCATTCCAAATTTGTACAGATTGAAGGCCTATTTCTGGCCTGGGAAAAGGCAGGCTATTTCTATTCACTAGAATCACTCATTAATTAATAATATTTATTAGTATAATATAGCTGTTTAAAATACCGATGTGACGTCACCCTTTGATGTTGGCCTACCATTATTTCAAATGATCGTACGGGCAACTTTGCTAATCGTACATTATTTATACTAGTGAAATATTGGACTCGCGTGACGTATTTCACTGTAAAAGCAAGTGTGAAGTGTCTGTCCTTTAAGTCGTTTAATGGTCTCGAGCTTAAGACATTGCGTAATATTTTGTAAAAACACTCGGGACTCACGGCCCTCTTGTTGCTACAATATATTACTTAATGTCTTGCTGTCGACCATTAAACAATACATATTGATCTAGATACCAAGGTAAATAGGAGCCTATATCGATCCGAAAGTTTAGTTACATAATATATGGGTTCAAACATGACTTACTCTTTTCCTATTTGTAGTTGTAAGAAATTGCCTAAAATGTACCCTGTGAGGCGGGATTTACAGAAAAATTGAATTCTCGGAAAATGTTCGGTTCTGAGGTCTGCAAACTTATCATGTGGTTTAGTGGTACTTATTAAAATAAGTGTCCATTACACATAGTTTTATTAAAATCCATCACCCAGTGCCTTATTACATTTTGCATGGTTCTTAAATTTTCGTTAGCGTGTCAACATCCTTTTAAACGTTCGAC